CAGGGCCTTGGTGATGTAGGCACCCAAGGGAATCTCCTGGTCTGCAGGTTGCGAAGACCATGGGAAAAACATAGTGTCTGGGCCAGAGTGTACCATTTCTCAAGGCACAGTCCCTCATGGCTTCCCTTGGCTAGTGGAGGGAGTTCTCTGACCCCTTATGCTTCCTGGGTGAGGCGACACCCCACGCTGCTTTGGCTCGTCCTCCATGGGCTGCATCCACTGTCTAACCAGTTCCAATGAGATGAGCAGGTACCTCAGTTGGAAATGCAGAAATCATCCACCTTCTGCAACTGATCTCCCTGGGATCTGCAGACCGGAGCTGTTCCTATTCAGCTGTCTTGCCAGCCTCTGGCCACTTCTAAGTCTTTATCAGTAAAATATGAGGGTTGGACTCAGAAACTCAAAACTCCTTTCCAGACTTTCTTAACATTCTTTGATTCAATGAATTTAATAGACATTTTCTTGTAACGGGTTCCACAGATCTTCATGCAGAATCCAGTGATACACGGGCAGCCTTAACATTACTCTTGTCTTGGTTTTCATCTGCCTTTCTATCCATTGTCCACATAGTGAAATTTATGTTCTTTGGTAATCATCATTGATCTATTATATTCTTATCTATTTAAAGCTGTATTCAACCATGAGCTTCTCCTGCCATAACATTTTTCTGGTTTCCTTTTAAGGTTACCATGTATTCAGCTATTTTAAAAATATTTCTATGGTCAACCAGTGCACTCTGAGTATTGTGTACTTTACTGGAAATTGTGTTGATGTTCCTGTAAATTTTTTTGTAATCCATATTTAATAATGAAAGGATCTCCCATTTCTCTCTCTTAAAGTAAAACCCGTTAATGTTTATCTATTATTCAAATTAAAACTTCTACTTTTAATGGAAATTTATTCATTTTTGTGTATCTCTGCCAAACTTTTCTCTATTGATATAACCCATTATTACAGACTTTTATCTTTTTTGGATACCATCTGAAGCCTCTTCCTTAAAAGCACCACTGGCAACAGACTCTCCTTTGAAATATTAATTTGTTAATTTTACACATGAATTTCATCAATTCTACTTTTTTACTTCTCTTTTGCAACTACATTTAGTATCATCGTATACATATAAAAATATCTCTTAATTCCTTATCCTTCTAATTTAAATATCAAATTTCAGATGTTATTTTTTTTTCTTTTCAGCTCTACCTCCCATTCTAAGCTACAACCGAAATCCCTTCCCTATAGCATTTTCTATCGTAAACAAAACAAAGTATCTTAGCCTTGTGAAGCAGTGCTCCCTAAAGGTCAATATGCGTACAAATTACCTGGGGACCCTGCTAGAATGCATATTGTAACTCAGTTCTGCATCTTTAACAAACTCTCATGGAATGTCAGGGCTCCTGATTTTGGGATTATGTTTCAAGCAGGAAGGAGTTAGGGTTTTCCTGTTCATAAGTCCTATTTTAAGGCGTACTTTCACCGTGTGTTTTTTTTATTGTCGCTTAATCCTTTTAATGTGTTCCTGGGACTCTTTGATTTAGTTAACATTTGAACAGTGCTTTAGAATTCACCAAGCATTTAAACACACAGTATCTCATTTGATACCCAGAGCAATCCTGTGTTGTAGGGTGGCTTAGGGTCCTGAAATTCAAGATTGTGCTGATAAACCTGTGGTGACAGAGTTAAGACAAGAAAAGATTTCTCCTCTGATTCTACATCTTTCTCCAAACTCTTTCTGCTAACATCATTACCTCCCACTTCAAATGTAAAGAGAGCCCTTTTCTCTCCCATCCTGAACAAACCACTGGTTTCTAACTAGTCACATTCTCTCCCTGAGCTTATGACTATGATCAGGAGAGCAGATCAAGCTTGGGCTCATGCCCATTCATGCGGCCCATTTATGAGGTGGGTTAAGAAGACCAGCAGCCCTTCTAGAACCACATGGATTATGGAATGTCCATTTTCCCCAAATGAGGGAGGGCTGTCCCAGAAGAAGGGTGCAGGGGTTATTGGGCAGAAAAATGAACACGTATCTGCTATTTTACCTCTTGATTTCCCAGTGCACACACGCGTGCACAGGCACACACACGCACTTTTGAAAACTTCCTCTCTAAACCTAATAACATTGCTCGAAAATTCACCCTCTCCCAGAGAAGAGATAGTAAAAAAATTTGTGCCCAGCTACTGTATCGAGCTACAAGGTCAAGATCGCTAGATAGTTCACAATATTCTCAATCAAGTTTAGAAATAATATTTCATGGATATATAATCATGAGGCTAAGTCATATGTTTTGCCTATTCACAATATTTAACAAAAGAAAAACCTTATACTCATAATAACATCTGTGATTTTTAAAGTGCACGCAGCACGCTCTATTCACCAGTTCAGAGCATAAGACACATTTTGCTGGACAGACTGGAGAGCAGGGGCCACAGTGGCCTCAGTTCCTCTGTCAGCCAATGTGTTTGACCCCAGGTTATGCTCTCAGGAAGGTTCTTCCTTGTCCAGTGTCCTCAGTGGACATTACTGAGAGGGCCACCAGAGCCTGACCATCTGGGAGCTGGTTCAATTGGCACAATTACAGGGCTTGGCATTTGCTTTAGGGATCGAGCAATCCCAGGGGTCCTAGACTTAAACTCACTTGAAACTTAGCTCATTTAGAACTTTAGTTAGATACTAGGAGATGTGGCTCCTGGGAACCCTGTTAGTTCCCAGAAATTTAATCAAATTTTTGAACTTTATCTCAGCCAGTGTTAGTTTTCTCTTTGTAAAGGGAGCTGGAACTCAGCAAGTCTACGAAGTAAAATGGTAGATTGCAGTGGCAAAGCAGAGCTCATCTACTTCCAGTCGAGGCTGCATCAGCCAGTGATGCTTTATGATGAGGGAATTGTTGCCTCTCATTTTTGGAAGAGGTCTGTGTGATCAAGCTTTCCCCATGAATCTTTTCTTCTGCACTTTCCCAATTCTTTTCCCTGGTTTGAATTAACATTACCCTGAGGCAGTAAATTCAAGTTTTGCAATTCAGCAGGGAAATAATTGGCCAAACCTCAAAAAGTCTTATATCCCTGGTTACAGGTTGAAAGATTTTATTTGCAAAATTTGAATGTTCTTTCCTTTTACACTTTCAGGTAGAACTTTACCAAAAATGGAAAAAAGTAGGCAAGACATCCTATTTTTTAACTTTTTTTTAAAGGAAGAACTTAATTGCTATATAGTCTAAGAACCAAGGATCGATGGTTAATAATGAACCAATTATGTAGCTACCTCTAGCCAATGATTGCCACTTCTCAGCTATGGATTAAAGAGTCATCATCCCTCCAACTATCCCTCTTACTCTTAGAGTGTGTCGCTTGCAATACTCACCCACCTCTATCAAATTTTGCAGGACAGAGATCTGAGAAGGGAACCCCGGAAACAACAAATGTTCATCATAGCTATTCTCAAGTTCCTTGGTTTTTAAGTTGTTGTTTGTTTTGCTAACCATTTATTTTTATAAATGAAAATATGTTCATTTTATCTATAAATAAAAAATGTTTATTCTCCCCATTCCTCTATTTTTTTTTCCTCTGTATTGCAGAGAAATTTTATCTTCTAATGGGATATCAGTCTGCTTTCTTACTGAGAGTCACTTTGTTCTGACAGGTCTCTTAGTGGCCATCTTATTGTAGTATCTATTTCCAAAGAATGTATAGGCAGAGAAACGTCTTTAGAATCCAATGCCCTGAATTCAACTTCTGTTTTAATAGTTGAGTAACCTTGGATAATCTTTGAGAACTCGTTTGTTTTTTCTTAATCTTGATCTAGGAAATGATCTAATAATACATTTCATGCTTTCCTTTTAACTCTATTAGGAGGATGGGTCACATACGCATCATACATGAAGATAGCTTTTCAATTGCAAATGTTCACAAAAGTTCAATTCTAGTTTAAAATAATCATATTAGTGTTATTTATTTTCTTCTTACTACCTTGGAATTCATGCAGTACTATTTTATCTCTTACTATAGCTCCCTCTCTTTTTTCTTATAATTTTAAGATCCTGCCTGTTTTTGGATAGATCTTCCTCTATATACTTTTCTTCATTCATTCTTAGCCCTGGAAGTCAGCCAAGGTTTCCCTTCCTCACTTTTATTATGACATACCCTTGGGCAGATAGTAAAGATAAACCTCTTTTTATTGCTAAAGTTACACTTAAGTTTCTTTTTACAAGAGAGTGGTTTGGCCTGGTTTTCTAAACACTGAAAACATTATTTCCAACTACACATCAGAGTCAGGTGATTTTCTTGAGCCTTCTGGAACATGTCCTTCCTGTCCCTTAGACCCAGCTACATCCTCTGTTTTTAAATGGAAAGCACTTGGCAAATAGTTAACCCTATTTGCTTTTTGCCAGAGTCCCATTTCATTTTTTAAGTTCTGGATGCAAGTTCCAGAACTATCTGCAGCATTTTCTGAAACATCTTTTAAAACCAGATTACAATATCTCCTTTGTGCACCGTTTCTCCTTGAAGAAAATGACCAGCATTTCTATCCTTGGCTTGCTGAATGGAGTAAAATCAAAGATTCTCCAGCATCCCTGGTTCTTTTACTCTTGATAGAGTTCCCAGAAAAAATCCTGCTTCTAAGTGAAAACTCTTGGATGAGAATAAGGGTTTTTAGGAGTTTTGGACTAGATTTTCTTCTTATTCCAAACCATCAGTTAGTTTATATTTAAACATAAGTGAGGCCTGAAGACTTAATGAGTTGAGAAATATTTTGGGATGCCCAGAAAGCAGTGATAAAGTTCATGGAAGTATATGCTTTTTAAAAACTGAAGGGAGCACTTTGTGACCAACCAGGTCACTGCTGTAGCAAAATATAAAATATGCCATGGTCAAAGCAGTGATGATTTCCTTTGGGTGGGGTTCCTAGAGATTCCAAGAAGATATCATGATATATGTGAGTGAAACATATCACCAGTGAAGTTCTGTCTGCCTGGCACTAACTTTTTACTTGACTTGAGTTGTAGGAGGAACAGACACCTTTACATATTGCCTCCCGCCTGGGTAAGACAGAAATTGTCCAGCTGCTTCTACAACATATGGCTCATCCAGATGCGGCCACTACAAATGGGTACACACCGCTGCACATCTCTGCCCGGGAGGGCCAGGTGGATGTGGCGTCAGTCCTATTGGAAGCAGGAGCAGCCCACTCCTTAGCTACCAAGGTAAGGAGAATGACATGATGACAACATGGACCAAGAGGATTCCTAAGTCATGGTCTTTCTACTCTACCACATACAGAATCAAGAACGTAGATCTCCTTAGGCCTTGACTTACTTCTTTCTCTACATATTTAAGATTCATTGTCTAAATGATTTAAGGGAATTGTGAGATTCCATATATCTTCAATAAAGAGTGCTGAATTTCATTCTAATTAATGCCAATGTTTCTAGGACAGGTATCTAGTACTCTAAGACGATTTTCATAAAGCAAGGACTACTTTTTCTTCTCTTTTTATTATAAAATCTATAATATATTCTTAAGAAAAAGATAAATGAAGTTCCTAAATACACTGAACTGGTAATACTAATGAGGAAGAGGGTACTGCATTAGATTGGCAGTACTATATTTGTTGTGAGTTGTAGTACCAGATCGAAGCTCACTTTACTTATGCATTTTTGCAACCCTACTATTAGCCACCACTTATTTGACATTCTCATTCCCATATTAGTTTCCAACGTTACCAACTACACTCTTGCTTGGGTATTTACAGTGTTTAAACAGAGCTGAGCTGGAAAATCACACCTCCTTAGTTGTTATTGACATCGAACAAAGAATTTGACTTATGTTCCAAGTTTCATGACAGGGCAGAGTAATTTTTCCTATGCTTTATACATGCTATTTGACATTCACAATGTGGAGATGACTTAGAATAAAACATGAATATACTCAGCTAATGAGAGCAAAACTGAGCCAGCACACGTGAATTTGTCATGGAGCAAAATAATTCCTACAAATATAACAGCGATTCAGATTAACAAAAGGACAATTTCAATTCTCTCATAATCAGTAGGCATAAGCACTGCATCCAGGAAGAGGGAAAGTTGCAAATATAAATTGAGCTAGTGATGTGGCATCTGTCCTCTTATAAGTAGGAGCAGCGCACTAGCTCTTATGGCTTATCTGGTTGCCTGTTATGACTTACCTGGTTGCCTATGGCTGTAAAAAGTATTTTGATATAAGAAATTGACAATTATTGAAGTTCTGAACTCTGAAAAGTTGAAAGGATTTTAAAAGTTCTTTAAAAAAAAAAAAACAGAAACTAAGCAACAAATGTAGTAATAACCTGAGAGATTTGATAATTGTCTTGCCAGAGGAGGGTGTAAATCATCAAAATTAAGATACATAAAATACAGAAATAGAAAATAAAATGTAGTCTCTTATCTTTCAAAGATATTTAGGATTTAAAAAATATAACTATATCTATGGTAAATTAGCGCAATAAAATAGAATAAAATGTTAAACAGCATTTTTTTTTTTGAGTCAGAGTCTCGCTCTGTCACCCAGGCTGGAGGGCAATGGCATGATCTTGGCTCAATACAACCTCTGCCTCCTGGGTTCAAGCGATTCTTCTGCCTCAGCCTCCTGAGTAGCTGGGACTACAGGTGCCTTCCACCACGCCTGGCTAATCTGTTTTGTATTTTTAGTAGAGACGGGGTTTCACTGTGTTAGCCAGGATGGTCTCGATCTCCTGACCTCGTGACCCACCCACCTCGGCCTCCTAAAGTGCTGGGATTACAGGAGTGAGCCCCCGCACCTGGCCAAACATCATTTTAAGAGTTCAGCTGACTAGGGCTGAACAGTGGTTGATTCATCATTATTAAAGCCATTTAAGTGTTTCTAAATATCAGAGGGTAAATGAAGTCTTGGTGAGATTAACATAAAAGAAGAAGGTAGATGTATGACTCAAGAGATGCCTTCTGACTTTGGTTTTGTTATTCTACAGTAGATTTTATGTAGTTTTGTCTAATAATCATTTCCAAACTTATAAGAGTTGGATCACTATTCTAACAAGACTTTAAAGATAAGGAATTTATTTTTTCTTCCTCATCATGTAGTTAGTCTCAAAGAACTCTGTTTCATCCTGAGTATCACCCTAATCATTGTGTGCATTGAGTGGCGGGAGGAGAGCTCTAACCACAAGTGCTGGTTTATATGGACAATGCAAGAAAGAAGAAATACTTCCTACCTTTGTCCCACACTTGGAAAAACCAGAAGATTCACTCTCTTCCAAGAATTTATTAATACCAAATGTTCAAAAAAGAAGCAAAAAGAAAAACGTCATCTCATTTAAAAATAATTTGTCTGGAGACACCGAAAGGGCAATATTGCTTCTTGGGGGATATTCTGTATTTATGATGGGGGCTTAAATGGTCCCAGGATAAGCCATAGCTTACAGCACCTAATCCAGGCATATTTGCTATGTGTTTTACAGGCCCTGGTCGGTGTTAGAATTCCCCCACTCCCAGTGTAGTGCCAGAAGAGCATGTGGTTAAACTGTCTGGCCAAGAGGATGGATTTGACATCATGGTGTAGGAACTGTGCCATCCTCGAGATCTTAGTCCAGAGACTTATCTGTATTTATAAGACACTGCTAATTACAGAGTAAGGCCATTGGTTAGGCACGAAAGACACTGAATGTACATATATCAACATGTGTAGGAGAGCAGCCCTCTGAAAAAAAGCTTTAAAGCTTTAGTGTGTTTAAAACTCTGGTGTTAATCAGCCCAACATCATGCCAGAAGTAGAATGTGTTTTACAAAAGCAATTGGTCTTCTAGGCAGTGTGAGTCTTCTGGGAAAGGGGACAAGTCAGGATGGGAGTTGCTTTATAATAGTGCATGTTTTTTGTTCTATAGACCATTTATCTTGCCATTTCTGCAGAAAATATGTCAATTAATTCACGAATACTTGTTTTTACTATGGCTGCCAAAATATCCTAAAATTTAAATGAATTTGGAATTCAGGTGTTACAAAAAGGATTGCAAGAAAGAGAAGGAGGGTTGGAGAGAAGGCAGCTGTTGTTTCAAGTCTATTAATTTTAGAGGCAAGAAAAAGATTTTTTTCCCCCATTCACAAATTGGAGCCAGTTTACTGACACTAGTGGCTTTTAAAAATCCCAAACCTATAAAGTCAGATTTCGGTCTCCAAGCCCTTAAAATAAAATTTCTTTTGTTCAGTCTATCAAGCCAAACTTTTGTATGTTAAATTTTATTCTTTTTCTTTGTCCTTGTTCATGGCTAACAGATATAATGCTACCAGTATTTTTTTTCAAATGAAGAATCAGTATAGTTTGCTTAATATGTTAACAGATAAACATATTTTGTGAGGAGTTACAATAATAAATACGATTTTACTTTTGTTTCTCACATTTTCAGAAGGGTTTTACTCCCTTACATGTAGCCGCCAAATATGGAAGCCTGGATGTGGCAAAACTTCTCTTGCAACGCCGTGCTGCCGCAGATTCTGCAGGGAAGGTAAAGATTTTCTATACGTTATAATTATATAAGAGTCAAGGTGATAGATTAGGAGATCTGTAAAGACATTTTTCTCACTTCTCTGAAAGGAATGTGAGAGCACCTGATGAAACTATACCAAATAGACATGGTGGCGATGTCTTCCGTGACCGTCCATGTACACACTGATTCAGAAAGCATTTTGAGCTGTGCCTCAAAGTCTTGTCACAACAGCCCCAGAAGTCTGTATATTAAGAAGGATCCCTGCAATGTTAATGTAGTCTTTCTTACATAGCAGTTTAGACCTTTATACATTGTGACCATCGAGATGCCCTTTGCTGGTGGTATGCTCATTTTCAATTTTAGTTATGTTTTTAATATGAAAATTATTGGGGATTTGTTTATTTTCATTCTTTTTTCTATTGACTATATTAATTCATTAACATGAATGTAATCAGCATCAGTTTCCAGGCATCCTGGTAGCTTCAGGGCAGCTAACCCTAATTTATTAATGCTGAAACTTAAACACACCCTTTACAGAATGGCCTTACCCCGCTCCATGTTGCTGCTCATTATGACAACCAGAAGGTGGCGCTGCTGTTACTGGAGAAGGGTGCTTCCCCTCATGCCACTGCCAAGGTGAGGACCACAGAAAAGGATTTACAGACATAGGGTGTAACTATCACCTGAAAACACATGAGAATTATCTTTTAAACACATGGTATAGTATAACTGCGACTAGACCTGGCGCTAGTAGTTTTGGTATTGACACCCTTTTTTTCCCCTTGTATTTCCACCAGTTGCGTCTAGAAAACCTTTTTTAAGATTTTTAAAGAGTCAGCAAATATTCAGGGGGTGTGCCTATAAACCAGTAGAGATGAATCTTATCGCTAACATTCTGTGTATTAGAGAATGAAGTCTGAATTTTGAGAAATGAGAAATAAAGTCATCAACATGTTTTCCCTTCTCTCCTATAAACCAAATGCTGTGATTAAAATGTCCTTTTATACTCTCATTCTTTCAGACTTCAAACTTCTATTTGTTTCTTTGGGTTTTTTAAAATGTTTTACCTGTGTTAACTGTAGCATGGATCCCTCTAAGTCCCTAGACTTGGGGGTGGCGGGGGGGATGCTTTTTCGTGTACATCTAGCACCAAATTCCGAAACAGCTCCAACTAAGACTTGTACTTATGGACAGGGCATTTCCCACCATTTTAGTTGGCCCCTTATTAAACTGAAAATATATATGAATGTCGTATAATGCATAAAGTCCTCATTGCGTCTTTCGTTCATGAACTCAGCACACCTATTTTGAGAACACGTCAGGGTTTATTTAAAAAATATTGATCGTAATGGGAAAATATGTATGCTATAATAGACAACATAATAAAACAACTGCCACCATTTATTTGCCAAACACTACGCCGAGCACTTTACAGCAATATCTCATAATAACCCCATGAGACTGGTATTCTAATGATCTCCATTTTGCAGATGAGAAAGTGAGATTTAAGTAGGTTAATTTTCCAAAGTCATCTGAATAATACGTGTTAGAGCTTGTACCTGTGTTTGACCTCAGGCAGACTGACTTTAGAGCTGATGCTCTTAACCACTAGGTCCTTTGTGTCCCAAAGCAATAGACAGAGATTTATTCCATTCTATTATACAAGTATATACATATATACTCATATGCCTATTTAAATTATGCATATTATAAATATAAAATAGGATATATACAAAAATATGTTCTGTATAATATATATTTATATATAAATATGTTATATATAATATAAATATATAACTTTGTACACATACATACATATACATCTATATATATTTATATCTTTTTGATGCCAATAAACAGTTTACAATACAGTACTTGAACTGTCAAAAGAGGATGCCAAATGTTCATAATTATCCTCACTGTTCTTACTCCTCTTTTTTTCTAAAACCTCATCAATTCTACACATATTTTATGTCTTTTTTCACACTACTAGAGTAGTGTTCGTATCATATTCATTTGCATATCTATGAGGTGTTTAATAACATATGTGAGTTCCCAATAAATTTGCATGAAAGAATGAAGATTGAGTAACTATGGAATAAAAATATATCTGCTCACTTAACATGGCAGCATTTTTTTTTCGTAAGCTTTCCAGGCTGACCATTCTCAACATAGATACAAAAAACTTCATCAGTACTCATGAGTACTTTCATTGAACTCTTATGATGTGCAAAGAAAGGATTATAGGTACTCAATGGGAGGTAAAATTGTAAAACGTGTGATCTCTTTCCACAAGGGACTCTCAATCTACTTGCAAGAGAAGACCTAGATTATAAAATAATGTGTATGGTTTTCCTAAAGAGACAAACATAGCCTTGATTTCTAGCCTCTACCTTGTATGGTCGTTAATCTTAGGCATGCACATACCAAGTTCAGACGATAACGTAAAGCATTTCTCTACTCCAGAGTCCACAGTAGGATGGGTATTCTGGGAATGCCTCTCTAGTGTCTTTCACTTATCTGCCCCAGCCTGTCAATGAACATGAGCCCTTCATCTTTAGGGCAACTCCTAGAGGTCTCCAGATGGTAAGATCCCCATGGTAGTCTCCACTTTAGACTCTCTTTCTGCTCCTTATAATGTCCCCTCTCCTCAACACGCATGGTCCTTTAGCCATGAGAACTCTGCTTCTTTCCACCAGAGTCCAGAACCTTCTCTTAGTCTTTATTGGGAGTGCTGCAATTATTTGAGTCCAAAACTGTTTCCTCTTTGTGGAGTAAGAGGGCTTTTCAGATCTTGTATGTTGAGTACCTACCAGACAAACCTCCTCCACTGCCAGAATTGACACCTTCTTTGATGGTCGCTTATGTTGTTTTGCTAAAATGTCCCTTTACCTGACCTTAGTAGAGTCCATGCTGTAGGCATGGGGGTAATTGAGACTAAAGAAACACATTGTAGCAAAAAGAAGTTGACTAAACTTACTTGGTCCACAAAAATCTATGTGTCCTTTTTTTCAACAGAGTCTATGGACACAAATACAATATTTTGAAGCATCCGGGACCTCTGATCAAACCCTGAAAAGGCTTCCAAGCTGAATTTCCTTCAGTTGCTTCAGGAGAAACATTAGTTGTCAAAAATGAAAGAGACTTATTCTTGCTTAGAGAAATGGGGACAGAGTAGATAATGTAGGGTTGTGTGAGAATCAAGATTTGATGATGGCTCATAAAGACATTTAAATTCTCAAAACACTTTTTTATTTTTTGGTACACTTTGCAGTTAGCTTTAAGGAAATAGTATGACATAAAAATACCTCTCATGTTTGATTACAGGCTCAAGCCTGTAATCCCAGCACTTTAGGGGGCCAAGGTGGGCAGATTGCTTGAGCTCATGAGTTTGAGATGAGCCTGGGCAACATGGTGAAACCCCATCTCTACCAAAAATACAAACAAAATTAGCCAGTCACAGTGGTGTGTGCCTGGAGTCCTCGGTACTTAGGAGGCTGAGGTGGGAGGATCACGAGCTCAGGAGGTGGAGGTTGCAGTGACTGAGATGGCACCACTGCACTCCAGTCTAGGTGATGGAGCCATACCTTGTCTCAACAAATAAATAAATAAATCATCTCATGGTAATCTCACAAGAAGCACTTGATCATTATGCTGTCTTTCCCTTCAGCATGTCGCTGAGGGGAAAAGCTACAGTTAATGGCAAAGCCACTGTTGTTAATTTCTATCACACATTTCAAATGGAAAATTCTACCACATTTGATAAAGAAAAGGAAATGAAACAATATATATTGCAGACTTACAGTTGTTCCACATTTTTTTTCTTTTAATTAAGTATGGGGTTTAGAGTTTTGTTCTTGTAAGCAGAGTATAGTTATCCTGACCCTCTCCACAAACTCCCACCCGAAATGAGCAGCCTCATATTTCTACTTTTGAAGCAACAAGTTATGAAGAAGGGGAGATCTAGGATTTGAATGGACCATAAAACTAATATAAGCTAATTTTGTTGTTGAATATATTTTAAATTAGAATTGAACCCATTAAAGACAGGGATCATGTCATGTTCACCATTGTATTCCCACACCTAGGACACTGCTTGGCATATGCTAGGCACTCAGTAATATTTGTTGAACCAGTTTAAAGTATAATCCAAACAGAAGTGTATTAGTTGGAGTATTATAATAAGATAATAGAAATAATTCCATTTAATTCTTTACGTTATAAACATATGTGAAGTGTAGCCTTGGTTCCAGATAGCACATACAATTCAAGAGCAATATTGACAAACTAGAATCAGCTCAGAACAGAACATCCTTATAGGGAGAGATCTAGAAATGGCACTTCCATCAGCAATGGTTGAAGAAATGGAGAAAATTAGCCTGGAAAACAAAACACTAAAGGTGGATATGAAAATCATCCCCAGATATTTAAAGGATGGTCATGTAGAAGAGGAACCTGGCTTATTCTATGTTGCTCTTCAGGAGAGAAGCAATATTATAAAGAGAGAGTTTTCAGCTTTGGAGCTTTGATGTCTATATCTGTCTTACAGTAGAATGGGATACCTTGTGACTTTTATTGTAGAGATTTGGTTATTGTTGAATGGAAATGTGATGACTAAGAGTTTGGATTAACTGTAAACTCACTTTTAACTCTTCTGTTGATTAGAGATTTTTATTTCCTTTAGAGATACATATTAGAGCAATTGCTAATCTTACCCTATATGCATGTGTTTTATTTTTGTCTTTTTTAGAATGGCTATACTCCTTTACATATTGCTGCCAAGAAGAATCAAATGCAGATAGCTTCCACACTCCTGAACTATGGAGCAGAGACAAACATTGTGACTAAGCAAGGAGTAACTCCACTCCATCTGGCCTCACAGGAGGGGCACACAGATATGGTTACCTTGCTTCTGGATAAGGGAGCCAATATCCACATGTCAACCAAGGTATTCTGTCATTTCTTGCTTCAATCAAGAGTGTTTTGGATGCATGTAAACAGGAATCAATCACAGATAGTTTGAAACAAAAAGGAACAATATATTAAAAAGAAATAGGGATAACTTACAGACCCCAAGGACAGGAAGGGAGTCAAGCCTTACGAGAGATTAGAAAACCATAAGGAAGCAAGGGAGAGAGACTCTCTGTATGGCAACATTTTGGCTTCTTGACTTTTCTATGCAAGTCAATTTTATTCATCTCTATAGCCCCGCTTTCCTTGCATCTCTGTGTGTGTTTAAAGAGGCTACCCTGTAGCTCCCTATGTTAACATCACTATAATTGCACCAGTGTCTGCTGCTCCTCATTCTAAATTTCATATATATATATAGAGGAAGAACGGTTCCATCTGGGGTTGTAGCTTAAACAACTGCCTCTAAGCTGGAAGGCCCATGTCCACCACCCAGGGCATTCTTTAGTCTTGCTGGGCATCTGAGGCACCTCTGGATAGTAGAGAGGAAACGCAATAAAATACAGATTTTTTGAGTCAATGTAAGCTTAGCTTGAGAGGTTTGGTAGTGGTGGTGAGAAAATCTTTTTTGTTTTTTTAATAGAGCACATCAGTCATTTTAGCCTTTCTCCACGGACTGGCCTCTGTAGACCTCCACATTAATTATAATAGAATGGCAGTCAAAGATACAAGGGAAAAAATTCACATATAAAAATATATATTTTTTACAAGTATATGTCTTTTGATACATCTATCCATCCATCTACCTAAAGATCTATAGATCTATCTAACTTTCTATCTTACACTTATATACATATACTCTGCTATAGCCAGCTGCTGAGAAACACAGAATTCGAACCTGTGTTTATTAAGTTAGTTTGTCATTTGATGTCTTGATGCTTTTTGTAATACGTTATATGAGCTTAGTGAAAATTAAGTTTCTTAGCTCTTTCCATAAATATACAAATACTCTATGTTTTCTACATTCCACTGTTAATTGCTACTTTTAAAGTATCAGTGATAAGTTGATTTTAACGACATTTGTAAATAGGTTGTGTAGCATGCATCCTTTAGGAAAAGCTCTGAAACAGGCAGGTTGCCTTGAATATTTCTGCAGTCCTAGTCTATTTCCTTGTCACTCGGAAGTGTTCCTGTACATCCCCTGCCCTTACTTACTTCTCTGGCCTTTATAAAAAATCCCCACAAATCCTTTTTTAAAGTATGATGAGAGCAAATTATAGGGTTAGTCTTCCAAAGGATAGTTGCATTTTTACAAGAATGAACACGATAAAGCCTTATAGTGAAATTCAGTGTATTAGATGGACAATCATTACAATCTAGGACATGGACGTCCTTGTGACTATTGACGTCTTGTCATTCAGGTGGTCATTTACCCTGTTGGAGAAAAATCTGATCATGAAGCATAGAATATTTTATTTAATATTAGTGTATGAAGGGCATATGTTTACTCTATTAATAACAAATAAATCTTCACTTGAAAATAAGCCAAAGAAATCCATAAACAATTCAGCAGTATTTTGAGTAGGATTAAAATTCAGATAGTTCATGAAATGGATCTTACAGTGTTTCTGATGGTGTTATTTTTAATTTATAAAAATGACAGGTACATACCTGAAATCAGTTCACTGTGTTTTCCTTTATGGTATTCTTCTAAATACATTACTTTCTTTGAGAGAGTTTTAGCAGTTAACAAATATTTAATGAATATTTTTGAGTTGCACACTCAGCAATGAAGAAAAACATTCAATTTTGAATCACAAAGTAATTTTGTTATCTTTATAACAATGATTTCAGTAGTACATTTGAGTGGTGTCCTAAACACATAGTATATTTATCACTAAAGTAAAACTTCAGTAAGTTTGTGCAGATATATCTGAATAATAATACAATATATAAAATTTACATATAAAACATATAACCTTGCCTTTTGGTTAGAATTATAAGATAAAGCAACTATAAAAATATCTCAGAGGAGAAGCAAAACTGATAAAAAACTTTCCCATTGCTTTTGAAGAAAACATATATTCTTTTCTTTTTAAGGCCAACTGATATCAATAATTTCATATTCTCCAAATGATTATTTCACATGAAGAACTATAATTTCATATTTTCACGTGAAGAACTATAATATAGAAATGATATCATTATCCAATCACCATCTATCATAAAATAAAACCAAAAAAGATCAGTTGTTGAGTCCACCAGTGTGTCTTAGGAAATAAATTACTTTTTTTTTAGAAGAACTGCTTCAACACTTCCTATTTTCTTGATTTATTAGAAAAGTTTTTTTTTGTTTTTTTTCCAGAAACCTTTCAAACAGTGTTTTTCCTCTATTCTCACACTACCGCACAACAATCATCAACACAGAAGGCTTCTGGGACCAAATATGTAGAGGTTTTCCCCACATACTGAGCAGCACACACCAGCTGGGTGTCCTCCAATTCAGTTCCAGCACTGTCTATCTGGAGAAAGTGTTAGATCCCTTCAGTTGAGGGCTCAGTCCCCAAGACTGCCCTCTGCACTGACACTAATCACAAGTCTGGGCCTCTGAACTTCTGACCGACTGGCTTCAAGTTGGGGTTCCCAGGACACTCCCTTTGAGTTCCATTAACTCACTGGAGTGGCTCACAGAGCTCACAGAAACACATTTACAGTGCTTACAGTTTCTTATAAAGGATGAAGAAACTTACAAAGGATGAAGATGAAGAGACACATAGGGAAAGGTATGAGGGAAGGTACACAGCTCCCATGCCCTTCCTGGGAGCACCACCCTGCACAAGGAAGCTCCCTGTGTTCAGCTGTCCAGAAGCTCCCTGAACCCTGTCCTCTGGGATTTTATGGAAGCTTCATGATGTCAGCATTCATTCCCCCAGGGTATAGGGTGGGACTCTCTCTCTCTCTCTCTCTCTCTCTCTCTCTCAGGAGGGTCTTATGACCCATGAATGCTGTGGGGAAGATTAGAGCCTAGCCTTGGGGAAACCGAAAGGAGACTGGGGAAGGTGGGAGATATTTTGTTTCCTGAGGCCTGCCCCTGAGGCCTAAAATGCACAACGTTATAACAAAAGACTATAGTAAGGGCTCTGGGAGTTATGAGGCAGCAACTGTGGACAAAAACCTATATTCACTGCCGTTTACATCCTTTGATTTGGATATGCAAGTTTACCACAATAAACTGCAGAGATTTTCATACTGGTTGTTAGTTTGTAATCTTGCATGGCAGAAAATCCATTCTGCAAATAGAGTAGAAAGAAGCACACATATTTAAAAAGTCATCAAAAATATCTTTGAGATTTGATGATCACTGCATGTAATGATCACTTCAATAACATTTTTAAACAGACTATCTCTGTAAAGAGAAATATTCTTATGTTTGTTATTTTAGTAAGGAGAAAATTAAGACTCTTGTTTTATCCTAATATTCAGATTTTTTATACATTAGGATTAAATAATATTTGTTTGGAAGAGATGAAAATTTTAATAGAAAAGGATACGCCTTCTATCTCACCCTGTGTTTATGAAACTCAAAGTTGAGCTCACCCAGAGCTCTCAGGATTAAAAAGCCCCAGGCCCACAAGGAAAAAGCCTCCTCTCAAGTTGTAGAATGGTTTTCTCTCTGTAGGTTTCACTTACATTTTTGAAATAAGGTCAGTGTACTTTTTGATTTCCAGAAGTAGCACCATGGCTGGAGATCATGAATTTTGAAGAACATGGCTTAGCTTTCTCAGCCTAAGTGCTAATGCAGGAGACTGGGCCTGAAAAGTTGTGGCCAACAGGGCTGGTCAATTTTGATCAGATGTAAAGTGGGGAAGAGGTGCTGACTCAGAGTCCAGGTAGTCACCTCAGTCTATAGCTGCAGGATGTCCAGGAAGAGCATAAGTATAGTAGGCATTTGAACAATAGTGAGGGGAGAGAAATATACAGTATAAATATATTGTAGGCTAGAATGTAAGCTCTATAGAGACAGAAACTTTTGTTCACTGCTGTATTCAAGTGCCTAGAATATGAACACTTCATGACATATGAAACATACTCAAGAAAACATCTGTTAAACATGTAAATGATGTAGTAAGGCTACCCAACTGTGACATTGACTGAACAAGCCACTTTCCTCCCTCTTTTCTCCATGCCTTCCTTTTTTTATTATTAATTCATAACTGTACTTTAATTGGATATTCAAATAAACAAAATAATTACTTGATGTATGTATACCAAACATGTTGCATAAAACTGGGCAGTTTATGGTGCTCTGTAAATAATGAGGTTACTTTAAGGTAACGTTTAACGGAACCTCCTGAAAAGTATACTCTCTTTGGGTGCTAGAGAAAGTTTTTCTGAACTCACTTCCTGTAACTGTCCATTTTTTACAATGATATAATATTTTGTTGATAAACTATAGATGATTATTATGCTTATAGGTGTAATAGTTGGTTGATCAGTTATTTAAATAAAGAAGTTGGTACAACAGGAGATCTAGATGGATTTGAAATAAATATCATTTGAAAGCTTATTAGCTGTGCTAGTTTGAAGTCTCACATCATAATATAAGAACCTAATATAGAAAATGTAATTTGCCTTATGTGTTGATCGACTTGGAGCACATGTCTTAGATGAAATGTCATTAATTTAGAGAATTTACCTCAAATATCAGAAGATATAGTTTCTGGGAAGAGGCTATGAGTTTTCCAGGATTTTTTCAATATTTTCAATGTATTTTCATAATATTACAGATGATGCAATACATTTTCTTCTTCACATGTATCCCTTTGGTTCCATTCTTTCTGTAGAGCGGACTCACATCCTTACACCTTGCAGCCCAGGAAGATAAAGTGAATGTTGCTGATATTCTCACCAAGCATGGAGCTGATCAGGATGCACATACAAAGGTAAAGCAAATCGTTCTCAATATTGTGACGGGTTCGGGATGGGATGATTCCCAGTAGCCCCCATTCGGGTCACCGCATGTCCAGGGTCTTCCCTCCTCAAGAGTCTGTTCTGAAATGTAAACTAATCATAACCCTCTCCTATGCACAAATCTATGATGGCTCCCCATTTTTTGCTGGAATCAAGTCCAGTGGATAGCATGGCGTCAGGACCCTTTGAAGAAAGACTCCAATTTTTGTAACCATAAGTCTATTCTCTCTCTTACTGCTTTAGCTAGTTCACATGAGTTGCTGTGTTTCTCCTTGTCTTGTCTCCATGCCCTTGGTCTGGAAATGGATTTTCCGTCTCTAAGCCATAAAATTCTTACCCATTCTTTAAGCCTGCTGTAGCTACATATTTCCTGCATCTCCTATCAGAGTCATTCTGTGTTTGCTGTTTTCAGATATTATTTGTGCCTCTCTCTTAGTTCTTTGCAGATTAAGTCACCCACATCTGATCTCTCTCGCTGATATGAAGTTCCTTGTGGTCAGGGGTACATGTATAATCTGCTAAATAATATCTTTAGTCAAATTGAATCCTACAATAACTGATACTCTACCCAGTCCTTCTCCTCTGGGATGTTAACCACTAAAGTAGTAAAGTTTCTACTTTTTCTATTTTTAACTTTTTATTATTATTTACAGCTTGGCTACACACCTTTAATTGTGGCCTGTCACTATGGAAATGTGAAAATGGTGAACTTTCTTCTGAAGCAGGGAGCAAATGTTAACGCAAAAACCAAGGTAAAGTACTTGTGGTCATTTTCAATTACTATAAGCAAAAAGGTTCAGCCATCTGGATGCTTCACTAGTTTACCAAAGCTACAAGTGTATTTTTTCTTCCTTTTTAGTTCTTCTAAAGTGATTTTGAAGAGGTGATGTAGTTTTGTAATTATTTGAGAATTTTCATTCTGATAACCTTTGACAGCCATGCAGGTTAGCTTCAGAGCTATTTCTATTATAAAGTTAAAGTAGCTGACATCAATTTAACAACTTACTGCAGGATACAATAGATGCCTGCTAGAACATCTTGATGTTCTGGCAGATTTCCTTTACATTGTTTGAGGACCTTGGCCCCCCTCCCCTGACCTCTTATCCTCTCATGCAGAAATACAGACAGGCAGCCTAGACTGCATGCCTTTCATTTTTAATGAACTCTGTCACATTCAGAACATCACGTGGACATGCTCAGTGAGGCAATAATGTATAAGGCCTGGGCTGGAAGTTCTCAAGGATAATGCAGAGCTGACTTGATCCCAATAGTTTCCCCAGTGGCATTCAAAAGGTCCTATTCAGCAAAGCAAGCTTGGAACATAACACCTCACTTCAGTGCCCTCAATTTGGTTCAAGGTGAAGAGAAGTTCATACTATAACTGTGGCCATTATGCATAATATAACTTGCAGCTCCAAGTTCTTTGATCCAAAGAAATATTTATTTGCACATTTATTTAAGTTCATATATCAGAAATTTATTTTTCTTTTTGTTTTGAGACAGGGTCTTACTCTGTTGCCCAGGCTGGAATGCAATGGCACGATCAGAGCTCACTGCAACCTAGAACCTGGGCTCAAGTGATTCTCTTGCCTCAGTACTGACTAGGACTACAGGTGCGTGACACTATGCCCAGCTAATTTTTAAAAGTTTCTGTAGAGATGAGGTTTCACTATGTTGCCTAGGCTGGTGTCGAACTCCTGGGCTCAAGCGAAATTCTCCCACCTTGGCCAACCAAAGTGCTGGGATTACAAGTGTGAGCCACCAAGCCTGACCCAGAAATTTCTAATTGTAGCAATTTGAATGAGCTCAAGTAAATGAGTGTGAGAACATTCAGGACTTTTCAAAGCCATCAATTCAAGATTCTACAAATTAAAAATATACAGAAGTTTTATAAGTCAGTCTTTATATTAGAAGCAGAAACAAAATCATTTCTATACATAAGCATGTTTATAGCTAATTTAAAATTAACTGATTTTTAAACTGTAAATAATACTATTAACATTTAAGATTTAAACCTACAACCTAACTCTAGCAAGAATAGCTGCTGCCTAGTTTCTGGCCAGTTCTTAAGTTCTCATGAAATTGTACTTTGAGACTTATTTAAAACCTCTAATATGAGTTCTCAGGCATTAGCTCCTAAAGCATTTTCTGCTGAGCCAGCTCGCATATAAGCACTCCAGGAAAGGCATTTTTGTTGGAATCCAAGTATTCTCTTGAAATGAACAAATGCAACAGTATAGCGAGATGTTGGCAGGGCTTGAAAATGCTTATTATATTTTTAAATGTTTCATTGTTTAAATGGTTATAATATTTCGAAGGCAACACTATATTGTCTAGAGAATATCAATGGTCTCCCTGGAGTTTGACCTGCATTGAATGAAGATTTGATTGAAAGAAAAATCTCATTTTATCATTTCATTTTTTTTTGTTTTGTTTTTTAAGTGAACTGAGTTGCTTGCACTGTTACATTTAGAACCACGTATCTTCAGGGAAATAGATACAAACCTCAAAAGACAATCTTTTAATAAACTCTTCAGATTTTTTTTCACATGAAAATGGCATCTTTGGGAAAGGAATTAGGTTTTCTTCCTCATATCTTATGTGTAGCTGTAGTTACTAAAAATGGATTCATTGCTTTAAAAATGTAAACATATATATTAACTTTACTCTGTAAACTCTCATGATGTGGTATGAAAGATTTGGCAGAATGAACTTGTTTTATAAGACTATTCATTGCTTAAAATTAGAATGAAACCCTGTTACAGCAGCTTGGGACAAACCAGACCTGGTTAATCATATATTTAATTTGTGAAGAGGGTTTAGAACAGCACATGAAAATAAAGACACTGAAGATTATAGAGCTCTTCGATGAGGAAAAAAAAGAAAAAAAACACACACACCACAGTGTTTGCTAAAACTTTCAAAGCTAGAAAAGAAAACATATTCAAGAGCAACTTATCTGTTCCTTCATCAGACTTGAAATCTTGGCCATTTTCATTTTTCAAATGAGAAAACCGGAGCTTAGAGAGGATTAAGGGTCTGCAAATAATTGGTAGCACTGGGTCTAGAGCTCCTGGCCAGATGGGCCTATGACAGTGGATTAAGAATCAACCAAATGTTTATGTAAACACTTGAATTGCTCCAGACTTCCCTGGCAAATATCCTCACTGGAGATTTCAGGTAAAGGTTAGATTAAATCAGGGCTGGGGAACATTTTTGTGGCCACAATGTCCACTGATCTATTGACAGCAAGAATGTTGCTTTGGCATTATTAATTTACATATATTTATAGAGATTTACATTTATTTATATATTATAGTGATATATTATTTTATTAATTTACATGCTAAGTTATTTAGCACATAGTGTGTGAATAGTAAATGCTGTTGAATGAATTAACTTGGCTGATACTAAAGAGATGAACTAAATTCAGTGGATTTAATGGATGTAAACACAATGAAAAGGAAGAATTTTTACGAAAAGAAGTGTCACCTGGTGTATTCTCCTTAAACGTCCGTGGATTATTTGATTTGACAGCAGAGTCCCTGTAATAGCCAAAGGCTTCTTGGAGTCCCTGTAATTGATTTATATTTTCAGGTTTCCTGGGGTCATCCCATTGTAGGGATTTATAAGGAGATGTAAGACTTCCAACATGACAGAGCTGAGGATGTGCCACACTTAGAGACACTGAGGTAGACCCTGATACATATGGGCATGTTCCTATGGGCAGACAGAGTGCAGTGAATTTATGGAAGAAATCATGTAGCACCCACATATATAGTAGACAGGACAAGCAAGTATGTATGTTGCTCACAGGGCAGCAGTGACATTGGATGAAAGGGATACGTACACTTAAAAGCTTAGAGTATGAAAGCGCCACTCAGAACTTAGAGCCCAGGACAACATTTGGGTCTGAAACATATAGATAACATTTTATGAGAAGTGAAGCAGGTGGATTTTAATAAATAATAGCCATTGTCTGGTAGCCATTGGCTGTCATGGTCTTCTGCACAGGATCTGAACCTCGCCCGATTGTGGGGAAATTACTTAACTTTCTTATTTTCAGTTTCATCATGTCTGAAATGGGGAGAAAAGCTGTTCTTGGAAAGGAATGTAGGTTTTAGATTTACTTTCAATGATTTAGAATCCCTAAAGCTAAGCCAAAGGTTAATAATTGGGAGAGTCATGATGAACAAGCAGTGGTTTATATGACCTTCTGCAGCCTTCAGTTAAAAACAATTTTACTCTTGTTTCCCAGGGAAGAAATCACAGGGATAATGCTCTTTCTTATTTTTAATCTCTCCTCTCAGCTCAGATGTGAGCAGAAGTCGACTGCACCCACCCCCTTCACCTTCTTAAGGGAGCCCTCCTTTTTAATGCTAACTGGTTAAAATGTATTAATAATGATCATTTGGAGTCTGTTAAGCTTGTTTCATCAGCTGGTCTCTTCTCTTTGCTTAGCAGACCATAAGGTGTGAGGGAGTGTTTGCTGCTGAGAAATGGGTTGCTGATAATCTTGGGCTCCAAATAAAGCATCCGTGATGGTTTTGTTGTAAATAAGACTATTCAAAATGAAGGCTAACCTAATTTTCCTCTCCCTCTGCAAATCGGGTGCTGGGCCCGCCACCACTGTCCTCCACAGAACGGCTACACGCCTTTGCACCAGGCCGCGCAGCAGGGTCACACGCACATCATCAACGTCCTGCTCCAGCATGGGGCCAAGCCCAACGCCACCACCGCGGTAAGGCAGACGCCACTGCCCCTCACCACGCTTTCTTCTTTTTCCTCTCTTGACCTGGTGGCTTCGTGTCTGAGCTGAGTGAGGTCAGATTCCTCCTCTTTAAATAAGCCCCCTGGACTCTGGAAAGCCCCAGATTTTTGGGCAGACTTTCCAGAAGTCAGTGTGACTTCCCCAGAAGTGCTTGCCCTGGGAGGAAAAGCAGTCAGCCTGACTCTTTGGCTCTCTCTGGAGAGGGGGGCCCTCCGCTTGGGCTGCTGGAACGTGCTCTGCTTACAGCTGGTTCTCAGATGTGAGCACGAATTGACCCCCCTCGCCTTCTTAAGGGAGCACAGTAAGGGAGCTGCTGGCTTAAACAAAGCTCATTGGGTTGCGGAGCCATTGAAATGTAAACTAAGCAGTGCAATTAAACGAACTGGGATCCCGAGTGGCCTGGGTTGGATGCAGCCTGAATTGCTTGCTTGTGTTATTTTGCTGCACAGTGAGTTTCTGCACAGCTGTAGCTAAATATGTTACCGTGTTCCCTACGGTAACATCTTACCTGCAGCAGATGGCCTGGCCTCTGATGAGGGATGAGTGTACCTGGTACTTGCTAACAGGTTTTGGAGGCGTCGTGAGGCACTTTCTTAAGCGCAATACAATATTTGTAGAAGATATTTGACAACCTTAGGGTTAAAGCGTCAAGTGCTTCTTATTAAAAAGAGCAAGCAGATGCAAGCTTGTTGTGTTACCATGGTGACCTGGGCTATAGTCTGAAGAAGTTACAAAGACAGATTTAGACGTAATGGTAAAAACTAGTGATTTTCCTAAGCTGTGCCTTGTTTTGGAAGGAAATGCTGGCTCATGCAGAGCAGCGGGTGAGCTCATTGGCTCACATCGCAGTCCTCTCTCTTATTTCTCACTCTCTTTCTTTCACTCTCTCCTCAGAATGGCAACACTGCCTTGGCGATTGCTAAGCGTCTGGGCTACATCTCCGTGGTCGACACCCTGAAGGTTGTGACCGAGGAGGTCACCACCACCACCACAGTGAGTATAAGTGACTGATTAGCTTCAGCCCTGTTATCTTTGTTTTCAAACTAAATACACGTACAGTACTTTTTCACTCACAAGATGTTTGGGGCTTTTAGTTTTGAACTTCTTTTTGTTGAATATATTGTAGCACATACATAGGAGTATGCAGAAGTAAATGAATTCACACAAGGAACACAGGGCTTCAGCTTCCTTTACTCAGCATCTATCCCTATAAAATGTGTGAATATAGTTTTATAATATTTAATTCCTTTTTCTGTGACTGGTTTCTTATTTTCTGGCTCCTCTGCCCTTTTCCTTTAGTTGTGTATGACACCTACTGCTGGCAAAGCGGTACCACACTCCACTGCACACTTCTTATCTTAGCCAGGAGGTCAGGCCAGCCTCTGGAAAGACCCTGCTCCTCCCAACACTGTGCTCACGACTGGATCACATGAACTCCCAGTGAGAGCAGTTCATCCTTACTTTGCATCTTATTTCCGATTATTATTTTTTAATTCAAAAAGAGAATTCCTTGTGCTTACTAGCTAAATTGTGCCTGTATAGTAAAAACGTATATTTTTAAATTTTTTATTTTCTCTGTTTTGAATACAACTGCTGACTTTTCATGACACATCAGTGATTATTACTGGCCTCTGCTAGAGAAACTCTAGAAGAGTCAAGACCATGATACTACTGAGTCCTAATGCTCCTGTACCATTCAATGGGAGCAAAGTTTAAAGGACGCCTCTTGAGAGGCGGCTCCTACCTGAAAGTGGAAGTGCTGTTACATTTGCATTTATTCACTCACTCACTTTCTACTTTAAGCATGAATTAAAGAATAGCTCTTTAATTTATCTTTGTAAAGTAGAAAAGTAGAGGAACAGTAAGACATGAGATGCTCTTCAAACACAGTAAGACCACAAATGAATAAATAATTCTGAAGGAGGTTCTAGTAAATGCTCCAAACTAAAAATGCAGATAGAGTTTGAAATGCTTGTTTTTTTGACAGATGTGAGGAAAAAGAAAGGAATTTTGTTCTTCAGGCTGACAGTACGTTCCTGTTGACATACATTGAAGTGATGGAATACAGTTGGTTTAATGTGCAGTTTTAAGCAGAGTGGCCTATGATTTATTAATGAGCTTCAAGACACAAACTGAATTTAGATGGGAGAAAATAGCACTGCTTGTTTTCTGAGGCAGAATCTTAAAACCTTTGGCCAGTGCACCACAATATTTTTAAAGATTTAAAGTATAGCTTTAATAAATTATATAAGAGAAAAACAGGTCTCGTCACTGCCTGGCACCATACTTGTAGGTCACTATATTTAATAGTTTTTTCTTACTTTATGATTTCTTATACCAGGAATATCTTCATATTAAGGGCCTACACATATATGCCACTTCATTTGATATCTTTAAAACAATGTGTACATCACAATACATGAAGCCTCTAGTGACAAAATTGGCCAAGCACACCTGTTCTGCCATTAGAAGTCATGTTTTCTCTCAACTTTATTACCTTTTCCCTGCTCTGGGAATAATGTATGTTTATTTTACCAAGTTATCACTAGATGGCAAGCTTGTATCTCTTGCTATCTTGTACCTACTTTGCTTCCATTCATTTCATTAACTGATTTATTCCTTCATTATTTACTGGGCATAAAATATGTGCTAAGTTCTGTGCTAAGTGCTGAAGAGTTATCAGTGGTGAAAACATTACTCCTTCCCACCAGCAACTTCAGTGTCATGAGAGTAGAGAATGAGAATCAGGCTTGGTAAGAAAATAAATTCATATTTTACACAACAGAACTATGGAACTTATATGTCTGGTTTCAAAGAGATCTTGGGTTTATAGATACTACTCAGGTGAATGACTTCAAAGATCTCTATTTAAAAAGAAGAGCAAATAAACATTCTCTGGTTTGTCTCTAAATACTGTAATTGCTGTCTCTGAATAAGTTCTCAGTGTCCTTGTCAGAAATCAGAGACAAGATCATCTCTCTACCACATCTAGCTCTGGAGAAGACAGGGGGATGAAAATTCCTTTTAGAACCCTCTGTGAGCTTTCTTTTCTGGTAACTATTATTCTTTACATTCTGTAGCTGAGCATTGCTCCATCAAAAGTCACTATACTTAGAATTCAAGTTTCTAGATGAAAAGCCAATAAAAATAGAAAACATAACAGCATTTCTGCTTTCAGTTAGGACACTAAGAAATCATTGTCCACATGAACTCAACAAGTAACTCTGTTATCTAAATGGATAGTTTTAGTGGTTACATGTTTTGATGCTGGTCTCTCTTCACTGTCTGCTGCTCTTTGAATTGGTTTCTCTTATAATTGTGATCTTAATTGTTTTGTGAAATGGAATTTTGGGGTAAGGACTGGAAGAATAGACTTATTCTCATCTATTCTGAGAGTCTTCTTACAATAAACTTCCTCTCTTTGGAAAGAGATTTTCAATCATTCTTTTCCCACATAATATTTTTTCCACATAATGTGTTATTAATGATATTAAAAAACAGTAATATTTAAGTTTTAAAATATGTAAGGCATCGAGGGCAGATCTAAGCTTCAAATTTAGGTTGTTGGGTTTTAAATCCTATGTTCTTAACCTCTCTGATATAACTGACTTTGGTTTTGCGGAAAATAGCTTAATAGGAATTTTGTGAAGAAACTGTTTTCACCTAATTTTCAACAGAAAGAAAACCACTTAAATAGTGCTCTTTATTGATTTTTGTGGAGTTTCACATTCAATATCATTTTCTAAAATCTAGTCACTAAAAATAATTTGAAACTACTGATGATAGTGCAATAGACAACTTAATAGTTAAGTTAAATTTAAAAATGTTAATGTTGTTATCGCTTAAATGGAACAGTTGCATTACACCTGCACAACTGACATATTAATTTAACATGTATTGGATTTGTGTGATGTGCCATATGAGCAACCATGTAGTCCTTTTGATCGAAGAAAGTTTCCTTTCCTATTCTTCCTTTTGAGTTCTTTACCCCAAAGTATGAATAAAGTCATCGTGTAGAGACCAGAGTAACACAGGAGTTTGTAAAGGAAAAACCACTTCTGTAGAAACTTCTGAGGCATTTTGGAATTGTGGTTTGTTTCCTTAACCTTTGCTTTTCTAACTTAACTTTGTGAGATGCAGCAGGGAATATGAGACAGTTTAGCATTCTCCTGGGATTACAATCACTATATGTTTGCCAGAATGGATATCAGAATGCTAGAGACACATTTCTGGCGACAGAAGCCAGCAAGGCCAGTTCACTAATGCAGCTTGGAAGAACTGTGACATATGACTCACCCTTCAACTAATTGATCAACCATCATCAATTATTTCTATTATTTGTATAATCTTAAAGTGATTGTGTTTTATGTTGCATATAATTGGTATGCAGACCATAAGTTACTGAATAAGTTAGTAAAATAAAAATATTATATTATGTTATTACTTGATCGTTAGGGAATATTTAAGTAAACTGCAGAAAATGTGAATATTCTAAGTCCTAAATCTTACCTGATGCCACAGGTCAGTTAACATGAAAATCAGGGGAGGAGGGGATAAAGAGGAGTTGTCTAACGGGTACAAAAATACAGTTAAATAGAAGGAGTAAGATCTAGTGTTAGGCAGCACAACAGGCTAACTAGAGTTAACTAAAATGTGTATTTCAACATAACTAGAGAAGTGGATTTGGAATTTCCCCAGCTCAAAGAAATGACAAATGTTTGAGGTGATGGATATCCCAATTACCCTGATTTGATCATTATACTTACATTTATATCAAAATATCACTTGTACCCCATAAGTATGTACAACTATGTATCCATAAAAATTTAAAAATTTTAAAAATAGTAGCCATAAAAATGACAATACAATAAATACTTGTAAAGTCGTTTGACACCTTTTGAGGCAGAGCCAAAATTGTTCTGCAAATATAGGTCATCGGTTAGAAGTTAAATTGCCATTCTTGCACAAACAGTATCAATACATATTATATTATGTATATATACATGCTATAATGTGTATGTTTATATGATATTTATATGTCCTGTGTACTTTCCTGTTCTTTCTTTTTTTGGAGACAGGATCTCACACTGTTGCCCAGGCTGGAGTGTAGTGGCGCTATCACGGTTCACTGCACCTCAGGTGATCCTCCCACCTCGGCTTCCAGAGTAACAGGGACTACTCGGGAGTAGTAGGTGGGCAGGTGCCTTGGCCTCCCAAAATGGTGGATCATTTGAGACTAGCCTGGACAACATGGCAAAACTCTGTCTCTATAAAACAACACAAAAATTAGCCAGGAGTGGTGGCACTTTAAAAAGCATCTACCCTAGTTATTCTAGAAAAAAAACAGTATTTACATAATATTCAATTTAGTTGTTAAAGTTATATTAATATGTATGATTGGTATAAATATATTTAGAAACAAAAACAAGTTTAGCTTGAACTTTACTGATGGAAGCCATGGATGTGAGCATTAAAAGGTGGTATCATAACCAAGATTACTCAGTATGCTGTAGTGGCTTAGTGATTATGTGATATAAATGCAATTGTTGACCAGGAGGATTGCCTGAGTGAGGGTTGGCTAAGTGAAGATCAGTTAAACACACAGTTTCTTTTGCATAGAACAAATCAGATATTGACTACTATTTGTAAAGCAGAATGTTAAAAACTCCTACTTTATTTTCTACATTTTTCATATCATGATTAACAATATAAATTCATTATTAAATCTCTCTTCTGTCTATTATATACTATTTCTTTTGCCATATTATCTGATTTAATTATATCCCATTAATCTTGTACTTAGTATCCTACTCATTTTAACTTCTAAAGTAGTTTCTAATCTTGACCATAGTATATTGGATTCTGTGGCTGAAAGAGATGTCCATGATAATTTCATTATAGCTCTGTTCTCTATGTACTATTCAGAGGTAGTTGCATAAAACCATGTTTATGTTTAAATAATCAAGTTTTCAAAGGACATTTTGTTTAAAAGGAAAATATGTATTCATTTCTTGTTACATTATACATATGTAGGACTACTTATTTGCCATCCATTCAACAAATATTTACTGATGGCCTTCTAAAGGTCAAATACCTTCTCATGTATAAATGGTATTATATTTACGACACTGTAATTAGAGGCCATTTTTAATATCTATACAGAAAAATATCAGTCACCAATGTGATCAAAGTGTATTACTTTTTCTGTTGCCACATATATTTGCTGATAATTCTGATAGCATTCAGTTACCAAACTGAAGTAGATTATTATTTCCACTCTTACAAATAAGTACAAAGAAAATATAGTCCCATTATCAGCACCTGAAAATAGAAACTGAGATGACCAGGCAATGAAACTTAATGATTTAAAAACTATCTCCAGCAATTGTTTTCAAACAGATAATTATCTCCTTATGAAATGTTTACTATGAAGGACAAATACTCTAAAACATTTCTGCAAAAATTAACTTTCTAATACAGTCTAATGTAGTAGACATCCTTTCACATTTTTAGGTATTCCCAAAAAATTGAATAAAGGCCAGCCTCAGTAGCTCACATCTGTAATACGAGCACTTTGGGAGGCTGAGGTAGGCAGATCACCTGAGGTCAAGAGTTCGAGACCAGCCTGGCCAACATCGTGAAGCCCCATCTCTACTACAAATATAAAAATGAGCCAGGCGTGGTGGTGCACACCTGTAATCCCAGCTACTCGGGAGGCTGAGGCAGGAGAATCGCTTGAACCTGGGGGACGGAGGTTGCAGTGAGTTGAGATCGCGCCATTGCACTCCAGCCTGGGCAACAAGAGTGAAACGACATCTCAAAAAAAAGAAAAAAAAAAATGTTGAATAAGGTATCATAGTAGGGTAGTCTCTATGTTATATTTTAAATGCAAATCATTTTCCTGCAATTTATACACTTTCCCTAATACAGGAAAATGAATCTCAAATTGAGCTACACAATAAACCCACCTAAGGAACCTTTAAAAAATACCCTGGTCCCTATTATAGTGGACCCGATCCCTATGGATTTTGATTTAATTGGTCCATGATGGGACCCAAGCAACAATATTTTTAAAATTTTTTCTAATAATTGTAATATGTAGCTATAGTTGAATACCACTGATCCAGAACATAGACTATAATTTATTGGTGTTAAATTTCTAAATTAAAATTTATAATAAAGTATTAATCAAGTTGTATATTATAATAGTCTTTTTGAGTTTGTTCATTCAACAAATATTTATCAACCACCACTATTCTCCAGATTTTTGGATGGATACTTTTGTTTTTCCTGCAGCATTTAGTTTGCTTTCAGTGAATAAGACACTGAATAAAACTATATAAACATCTCTAGAAATATGCAGGCAAGCTGAATTTACAACCCTTGTCTCCAATGGTGCCTTCATGTGAGTAGCAGGAGACTTTCTTTACTTTCTCCGTTTCTTCCGGTCTTTTAACTAAAATTCCACCCAAAGACAATCCATTTCATCATGATGTGGATTTTAAATTTATTTTTTGCATAATTTGATATTACCAAGTTTTTGATATACTTTGAGAAGCTCCTGCTATGTTTCAGGTGCTGTGGAAACAATCTTCCTCTTAAATGACTCACACTCTCGTGTGGAGGCAGATAAGCAGAGAGGGCACACACAGTACATAGTGTATGACACAGCACACACGATGCTCTAGGAGTACATAGCAGCAGATAAACACAGTTAAACAAAGACATTCACTGGGGAGGATCAGGGAATGTTTCTCCAAGAAAGTCACATCTAACCTGAGCCAAGAGAAGAGGGGAAAGGAGATTTCTGGTAAATGAGAGAATATGTGGAAAAAGTCAGAGGCATGAGAGAACATGACCTGTCAAAATAAAGGCAGCTCAACACGATCGTAGCATGGAATGAGAGATGAGGCCTTGCTACCTCTCCCCCTTTACTGAATCACAGGGCTCTTCTGAGCCAGTTTAGTCAGTTTTCTGAAGAAAAAGAAGAGCCACCAAAAACCTCATGCAGTATCACATTATGATCACTTCCCCTTAACACACAGATATTATATATGTATATAGTCAGAGTTGCTCAGTGAAATTTGATTAACCAGTTGAATTTCTTTATAAATATATTTGAAGTTATCTACTGCTTTTGGAGAGAAAATAATTGATGATAGGTTCATTATAGCCATTTAAACAATTCTCTAATGTCTATGTCAAAGCTTAAACAACTTAGACAACCTATTTTTTGTACTTTGATGGCTTTAGTTGAAGATGTTACTCTTATGTCAAGGGATTCATTTTCTTTTAAAGTTTACATGACAGTGTCAATTGTTGCCCTTAATGTATTTTCACTACAGAAACTGAAGGTTTGAATTTGAGACTCAATAGTCTTTAGGTGATGCTCAAAATCATGAGATTCAGATTTTTATGTTTTTGGGGGGTACATACATCTTTTATTTATCTATTTTAGTTGGCAAATAAAAATTGTACATATTTATGGTATACAATGTGATGTTTTGATACATACATACACACACACACACATTGTGGAATGGCTAAATCAAGCTTATTAACATACCTATTACCTCCACATACATATCCTTTTTTTTGTGATGAGAGCACTTAAAATCTACTCTCAGCAATTTTCAAGTATACAGTACATTGTTATTAACTGTAGTCTCCATGTTTTACAATAAATCTCTTGAATTTATTTCTCCTAACTAAAATTTTGTATCATTTAACCAACATCTCCCAAATGCTCCTCCCACTTCCTTCTCCAACACCTGGTCACCACCAGGTGTCTATTCTCTGCTTCTATGAGTTTTTTAGATTCCACATATAAGTGAGATTATTCAGTATTTGTCTCTATGTCTAACTTACTTCTGTTATTTCGAAAAATCACTGATACATTTCATGTCTAAAATAGTGCCAAGCATGCAATAGACATTCAGAATTTTCCTTGAGTGCATGAATGATTATAAAAGTCCAGAGACTCTTCACTTTTAAGATGCATTTAATACAGAGTTACAATAATAAATTATGCTAGCTAATATTTATGGAGTGCCACCATATGCCAAGCACTATTTTTAGAGCTCTTGCATATATTACATCATTCAATCTTCATAACCATTTTATGAAGTACTTTTCTATCCTTTATTTATAGTTGAGGAAATTGAGGTACAGATAGGTTAGGGGACTTGCTAAGGCCTTATAGGTAATAAGTGATGAAGTTAGAGTTTGAACCCAGGCAGCTAGACTCAGTTCCTCGTCTCCTAACCTTACACTTTACATTAGGAACGAAAGGCAGTGGATTGACAACCTTGGAGTGCTATTGCGTAAGGCAAATAAGCAACAAACCAGAACTGTAACCCAGTGAAATATTAAAGAGATGATTTGATTCTCTGATCCCAGAAAAGATGTGTCATATTTTCTGCCCAAATAGTTTATATCTTTCACATTATTTACAGCTTCTTTTCTAATGGCTTTGCTTTTAATACATTGCATATGTTCATTGCTTCTTTTTAAAGCTTTTCTGGAAACATCACTTAGCTCATTTTAGGGAAGCTTTGAAAACATCAATCTGCCTTCTCAATACAACTAATTATTATTAATGATACAATTGCTAAAGAATTTATTTTTCAAATGAGAACTCAAAATAATGAACTGTCTCTTGTACAACTTCTCTGGCATAAATGATCATTTATCTTCAAAAAGAACAAATGAGTTTTCATGAAAGCAAATTTCCAAAATATACACGTGGGAAAGATGCCGTAGTCAAGGCTTAATGGCTTGCTGCTGCTGTTGAGCGTGGCCTCCTATGTGATGCTTTTCATCTTTTGTTTACTTGAACATTAATGATTTTTGTTTTTCCAGACTATTACAGAAAAACACAAACTAAATGTTCCTGAGACGATGACTGAGGTTCTTGATGTTTCTGATGAAGAGGGTAAGACTTCTATTCAATCTTCTACGACACCTGTCATGTTCTTACACAAGGGCAAGTCACCCTTTTTTTTCAGAGACGAAGCTGGTTATGTGGATGACAGAATCTTAACATTTAAAGTCACTTTTTCACCTTTGTTTCAATACATTTACTTTTGCCGTGGCAGTGGGGGCCAAGGGGCAGTTCTGATTAGTATATTTTTTTCTGGTATTATCTCTTTTTCCTAGCATTATAATTAATGGCTATTAAATAATATGACTGGAAAAGGGGAAAAATTGGAAACTGGCCATGTATTAAAATAGCTATATATTAACACAATTGTTATTAAATATGTTTAAATTATGTTAAAAATCTTTTTTTATTCAAATGCCTTTAAGTAAAGACTTTAAAGTATATTCCATCAAGGAGTGTTCTTCTTCAGCCAAGAGATCTCTGTATTCTGGTTGGTTCATAGGTACAGAATATATTTTAAGCCCAGAGGAAAACAGCCTTAGAGAAGGTTTAAAAATAGTACAGCAGGAAGTAGTACAAATTCAAAAGAAGACTGTATTATTTAAGTCAGAAAATATCCCCCCTATAATTTTAGAGTTGACAAAAAATGATCTCAGGCAATAGCTTCCTAAGTCCCGGGAAGTCTGCTTTCCTAAAAGGAGCAGTGGGGACTGCCTGGAGTGGGTGTGTGACACTGGGCTAGAGGTGGAGATGGGCCAGTAGGGTGTCCGGCTCCCTATCTCTACTTCAACTAGAGTAGCTGATTTTTCTTCATTTTGTATTTTGAATTTCCATGTAATATTCCACTTGGACAAAAAAAAAATTTGCTACTAAAAAATCATGAAAGCAGTACATACAATTTTTTAAAGCATTTTTTATGAGGAGATAGAAAAAAGAAAGAAAAAAACCACGCAACCAAGTTTCAATAGTGCAGCAATTCATCCACTGTACGTGATTGAAAAATTACTGCCATATATGTACATGAAAATGTATGTTTGAAAAATTATTACTATTAAGAATGGCACTAGGTTTAATACTAATCGCTTTTACAGAGAAATATTAAAGATGTTTCTTTAGGTTCTTCAAGATAAAATCATAAGATAAAACTTCACATTGAGATGTCCTTATTTAGAATCAATCTGTCGAATCACCTATTGGTAATAGGTATTGAGTTTTCTCAGCTTTTATAAGAATTTATGACAAGAATGAACAAATGTTGGATCAATGTATTATTTTGAGTAAATTCAAAGGTATTCCCAAAGCCAGCAGTTCCAAAGATTTAGTATAATTTTGTGTTCTATCTTGCCAACTAGTTCTCAGCATTCCTATATGCATATCGTTCCTTTTGTTTTGTGGGATCATCTTTCTTATCTTTACTTGTATGTTAAACAGCTCTTAAACAGTTTGGTGACCACTTTATTGATGGGGAGGCACTTAGTGATTCAGGTACCCTTGGAGGAAATTTTTGGAGTGAAAACTTTTCTTTGCTTGTAATTTTTCTTAACTGGATAGAACAACTTGCTTAAATCTGTGTGCCTAACACTAATCTGTTTCTTTTGAAATAGCATGTGTAATATGAGTGGAATTGTATATGTGTTCATTTGAGTGTGTGGATTTTATTAACTTAGAAGCTTAAAATCATGAATTGTTTGTACTGTTAATGATTTTGCAACTATTATTGAGACCTGCTAACATAATTATAATCTACTGAACATCATATAAATATTTTCCACAACTAGTATCTTTTCTTAGAATATAAATTTAGAGAAAAGTAATTCTTTTGTTAGTCAACACTGAGCTAGCATGAACATGATAATAACTAAGTTAGACCACTTGAAATAAATGCAGTTTATATCACCTTCTGGGTTGATGATATATTTTAGGTGTGATTAAAAATATATTAATAGTTATATGATTTTTAAATGTAGCTAAGAATAGAAATAAAGTAACATTTAAAAATTGTTTAGGGTGAATTTGGCATATAAGGAAAAATGAATAATGTAAGATATTTTGTCTAGTAAAAAGTTTCCAAAGTACACGTGGTACTACTTTAAGCAACTCTATTACATGAAAATTTAAATTTGTAAATCAGATAAATTGAATAGTATTATTTAATTTAAAAATAGCCCTTTATTTACAAAATAATTTCTGGAGAATTCTATTAGTTAATTCATTTAAAATATTTAATATTGAGTTTATAAAAGAAATTTATACAAAATAGCCTCTCGATCTGCCTATTGCATTAAATGAGATGAGTTATAACATTCTGTACTTTCATTATTTAAAATGTTTATATTAAATATTACTGGTGATAAGAATTCTTGGTTTGTGAAGAATATTAGTGAATTACCACGATTATCTTTTGTGGTAAGAGAAGTCCATGTTTAGAAATAGCCAAAACTTAATAGTATTTCTTTCCCAGAAGAAAATTCAAGTTGAATAATTTTCATGTAAAGGATCTGTTTGAGTATTGATAAGTAACTTTTTCATGGAAAGAATTAGTGTGAAGGAAATTGGCTGGTTGACATTGGCAATGCCAACCCTTTAATGTTTTGTGAAGTTAATATGTTTTTATGAAACCTGCTATCATCCACGTGGACAGAATGCAGCCACATGTATTTGAAAATTATTAGCTAATCCCTGTTTTCTCTACAGTCTATTGTTTTATTAGTAGCAATAGTATATCGATACCCAAAAAGAGTATTCAAACTCTTACCATTAAGAATGCCACTATGTTTAATACTAATAGCTTTTAAGGACATTAAAGACATTTCTTTAGGTTCTTCAAGATAAAATCATAAGGTAAGACTTTACATTGAGATATTCTTACACTGAGGTATCCTATCAGGCTAACTTGCTGTATACATATTAAAGTAATCCACAATATCCACTCATGAATCCAATTAACAAATAATGAATGTGATGTTATTGTGTGGAAAGCTCTGTAACTGGTGCCACAGTAGAATCAAAGGTGAGCATGAGGCAGGCCTTAGGAGCCTATATAGAGAAATAATGTGTATATTAAAAGCAGCATAATGGAAGGCACTGTGTTGTCAGGTTTTTATATCCACTTGGGGAGATCAGGAGCTACATATACTTAACACTGTCTCATGAACATGCTGAGAAATGAGAGAGTAATAACCGGGTGCATAGATTTTAGGGATTAGATAAGGAACAGTATGGGAAAATCTTGAGATAGGAAAGTACAAGAGAGAGACACAGAGTGGCAGAATTCTCCAGTCATTCGATTTGCTGATGCATGAAAACATACCGGGCTCAGCTGTGGACTGTTTGAATTCTTTGCTGAAAAGTCTGGGAAACACAATACCGTAAAGATTTCCATTAGCAATGAAAACATTTAAACCTGTTTTTACAAAGATTTAACCAGCAGTGGTACATAGAAGAAGTTTTTTGGGAAGAACCTGGAAGGAAGCAGAAATCTAAGAAAAGAGAAAGCATTTACTAAACCTCCATAATGCTAGGTACATGTCTCATTTAATCCTTATACCATCCCTGTGACACAGGCTGTGAATATCGTTCCATATATATATATTTTTTTTTTCAGTTAAGAAAAGGCTTATTTTTGGAGAATGAGGCCTAGAGACATTAAGTAGTTTGTTCAATGGCACGCAGCTATTAAGTGGTGGGTGTGGAATCAAAACCTAGTATGAAAAGTATGGTAATAGCACAGCCATGATATAAATATCATCCTTATGGAAGAATATGGCAGTGAAATGCAAGGAAAAGACAGAAATGGGAATTCAGTCTAAGAGAATTATAGCATCCAGATTTAACCAAAGATGTGGAGGTAATCTGCTAAGTCTTCGTAGGATCATGAGTTGATCCCTGTCTTCACTGCCTCGGCTTCCCAGCCATAAATGATGAGGTGGGGCTCAGAGATTTTGGCATCTGTATAACCAAAATGCCTATAGAATTGTGACTTATGTATGCCTTTTCTCATGAATTCATGAGTGGGTGGCTTGTGCATATATCTCTGCTAGTACTCTGGAATGACGTGTACTGGCAATCAAGAGAACTCCAGACTGGCTGATTGTTGGGATGAAATATAGAGGCGCCTTCTCCTTTGATACGCTCACTTCTGTTGTGAACACTTAACACTTAGTGGGGCTCTTCATCTCAGGTTTCAGCCCTTTTTCCATGTCTCAGCTGGAATAATACTTGCTTGAGAGGGAGTGGGTTCTGTAACGTTTCAGAGAATCTCCTTGCCAGCGTTGTGTGGGGTTGTCAGGAAGGGAAGCTATTCCACCTTTTTTTGAGATGGAGTCTTGCTCTGTCACCCAGGCTGGAGTGCAGTGGTGCGATCTTAGCTCACTGCAACCTCCATCTCCCAGGTTCTCCTGCCTTTAGCCCCAGAGTAGCTGTGACTACAGGTGTGTGCCACCACGCTAATTTTGTTATTTTTAGTAGAGACTGGTTTTCACCATTTTGGTCAGGCTGCTCTTGAACTCCTGATCTCAGGTGATCCACCTGGCTTGGCCTCCCAAAGTGCTGGGATTACAGGCGTGAGCCACTGTACCTGGCTGCCATTCCACTTTATTTAAGTTATTCCCGTGCTATTGTCATCTGTGTCCTACAGGGGTTAAATATACCACTCACTGTCACTGAGGAATCTGTGTTTTCCGGGTATCAAAACATCAATCGTACATAAAAAGCCTGCAGTACACTGATGCTTCACAGTTAGTACAAAACAGTTTTCACAAAATTGTTTGGAAACATTGGACAATAAAACAACAAGAAAAAGCTAAGTCATTAACCTGGGAATCATCATTCTATTAAGTGAGTAAATAGGTAACAATCGGAAGGAAGTTATTCCAAGTGTAGGAAATAATAAAGAAATTCATTTTAGGTTTGTTCTATAATGTAAAAACTAAAGGTTGCTTTGGTTTTGTTTCGTTTTCACATTGAATAAATAAGTTGAAACAAAGAAAGTATATAATGATTCTCTTAAAGCTGTCTGAGTTGTACAAAATTCTTTCCAACTCTAATGGCACTCTATTCAAACAAATAAGAGCTAAAGCTTTTAATCTGAATATTATTTTAAATCATCTTTTCTCCCCCCTTGGCTTGGGCAGGGAAGTAGTTGTGCTATTTGCTCATGTAGGGAATTTTCAGAGAGAAGCATATTGACAAGGGGATGGGTAAAGAAGATGAGTTCTGCTGTGGACATGCTAAATCTGAGATGCTTACAGAAAATTTAGATGGAGAAGTCCAGAAGGCAATTACAATATAGATACAAAGTTCATGAGAGAGGTCTGGGACCAATACAGGTCTGTGTATAGTTAGTGGACCTCTAAGTCCGTGTGATAATATGTGAAATAAGAAGAAAGGGCAGATGGAAAATATCAACATTTAAGAGAAGTAGAGACAGGGAAGAAAGACTCAAAAATGTAGGGGGAAGACCAGGAGAGATTTGTGTCAGAGAAATCAAAAAGAATAGTTTACCAAATAAATCACTTCTCAGCCACTGATTAATTGCTGAAATTAGCAAACATCTGCTTGATAAGTTTAATTGTTAACAAGGAGGAGTCAGAATGTGAAATAAAGAAGGTCTAAGAGTTTGGGAAAGAAGCTACCATGTTTCAGAGATCGCAGAAATATGGATATTTTATCCATGGAAGGGGAAAGACCTCCATAGAATCTGTAGCAGAGGAGAGAAGGTTGAAGATGAAGGGCCTAGCAGACAAGGTATCTAGGAAGATGGGAGGGGATGAGGCTTTGGAGGCAGGGATGGGCCAGCTTTACACTAGCAGAAATCTTCTCACCCACTAAGGGAAGCAAGAAAAGTATTTCAGGGGCTCATTAAATACATTTAAAGCTTTGATTTGTATGCAGAATTTTCCAGCCATAGACCAACCTGGGTAATTTTTTTCCAAGTGATTTTTCACATTCTGTTAATTTCTGCTTGCATTCACTTTCCATCTTTTACTGCTGGTATGTATTACTGAATAGCATGATTTATATACAACTAACTGTCTTTGAGAGAAATTTTATATAGCACTGACAAGATGAGTCCCCAGAGAGGTGACTTTCCAGCTAATGCCAACACTGGGATAGGATTTAGACACTGCTTTCAGCATTTAGGGACTTTGCTTCTTTGGGTCATTTCTCACTGAGACATAATCAAGACATTAGCTATATACCTAGGGCCACCATAGGTGTACATAAAAATGCTAAAACTTCACTTTAAGTAGCACTGAACCTAGCAGCTGCCTTAGGCAGATGGCATCATAACAAAACCATCAAAATGCACAAAATAAGGGAGAACGTAAAGGACATTCACTCATGAACTCAGTGTAATCAGAGGTGGTTGTTTGTTTGTTTGTTTGTTTTTTGAGACAGGGTCTCACTCTGTTGCCCAGGCTGGAATGCAGTGGTGCGATCATGGCTCACTGTAGCCACGACTTTCTGGGCTCAAGCAATTCTCCCACTTCAGCCTCCCAAGTAGCTGGGAATACAGGCACATGACACCATGTCCTGCTAATTTTTAAAAATTTTTAGTAGAGATGAGGTCTAGGTGTTGCCCAGGCTGGTTTCAATCTTCTGAGCTCAAGCAATCCTCCTGCCTCAGCCTCCCAAAGTGCCGGGATTACAGATGGGGACTACTGTACCTGACCAATCAGAGGCTTTAAATTTTTGTCTTGTCACCAGAGTCATAAAATTTTGATATATTTGATTAAAAATATACTCTTCAAATGTCCTTCTATCTTCTAATAAGATTCTATTCACACGAGAGAGGCAGGCTGGGTTCCTGTAGTTGATTGGCATGTTCTACCTGATCAAACACTGTGTCTTGCTCCTTCAGACACGGAGTCATTCCAGCCAGACTCTCTTCTTTTATCTTTACCTTTCTCACCTCTTCTTTCTTCACCCTTATAAACCTTCCTCACCCTACCAAGGTATAACAAGAGGGAAAGATAGATGGGAGAAATAAGAAAATTTGAAATGTAGGCCCTATTTTGTTAAGGAGTTTTGTGCATTTTTAAGAACCAAGAAGTTAAAGCTTATTTTGAGTTGTGTTTATTCCCTGTGACCATCTTGGCTGCTGAGAGACCACAGTGAGAACTGGCAAATTAGGAGAAGCAAGATGAAATGCAAAAGCAAACAGACTCTGAGGAGGGACAGGATGCTCGAACCTGAGTAATATTCAGAATTTGGTGCTGGAGTTTTTGGGAGTAGGGGTGGGGTAGGAATCTGGGGGAAAGAAAGAGTATATAAGCAGACTTTTTTTTTTTTTTTTTTGAGACGAGTCTCACTCTGTCACCCAGGCAGGAGTGCAGTGGTGCAATCTCGGCTCACTGCAACCTCCACCTCCTGGGTTCAAGCAATTCTCCTGCGTCAGCCTCCCAAATAACTGGGACTATAGGTGTGCACCACCACGCCCAGCTAATTTTTGTATTTTTAGTAGAGATGGGGTTTCAGTATATTGGTCAGGCTGGTCTCGAACTGCTGACCTCAGGTGATCCACCTGCCTTGGCCTCCCAAAGGGTTAGGATTACAGGCCTGAGCCACTGCAGCCAGCCAACTTTTGTTTTTTAAATAATCTTTTTGGCTTTTTGCAAGGGATCCATAATATGCAGCTTGCACGGTGCTTGTATTATGTGACAGATTCTGTATTCAACCATCCCCTCCACCTTTTCATGAAAAAGAATAGATGTAGTCTCCTGAAATGTTAATAAAACTAATATTTTTTTCTGAAAGTACTGTAGGCTTAATCCTAAAGCAGACTATACCTATGTTTTGATAAATCTATAATTGGAATTCATCTTAGAAGTTTTTTCTCCTAGAAGTAAACAACAAGGGATATCCAAACTTAATATTAAAAGAATTAAAATTCAAGTGATTACTTCTTCTTGGTAAGTGCTAAGAAAATGAATCAAATGTTGTTTCTCTAAGTTTTAGCACTGTATAGTTGTTTGCTGGTGTTCTGTGTTCTAGTGTGCCGTGCAGTTTCATCAATATCAAGGCAATGATGTTGATGCATTTCACAATCATGATCATATTTTGTAGTTGACATACATTCAGCAAATAATCCTGCTTCTTCCTCTGATTGTTTCAAGGTGATGACACAATGACTGGTGATGGGGGAGAATACCTTAGGCCTGAGGACCTAAAAGAACTGGGTGATGACTCACTACCCAGCAGTCAGTTCCTGGATGGTATGAATTACCTGCGATACAGCTTGGAGGGAGGACGATCTGACAGGTATCTTGTAAAGCTTATACTTGATGTCAGCCAGAAATATCTGCAACATATTTTTTATGATGATGATAAAAATGTAGATGCAATTATTGAGCATTTAATAGGTACCTTATTAATCTCAGCATTTAGAATGTTATGTTATTTCATTGTCTAACAACTTTAAGATATGCCCATTTTAAAGAACAGAAAACTGAGGCCTAGAGAGATCAAATAACTTGGTAAAATCAAACAACTAGTAAGAAGCAAAACCATCATAAATAAGAACTCTCATCATTTAAATGTAGCGTTTTTCATCACTGGCCACTTTTTTCTCAAATTAAAAGAACAATTTTGCCTTATAGACATACTGAGCGGCATCACAGACACTTTGAATACTCTCCTGCCCCCACTTTTTTGTTAGGAACATAGTTTCTGTGAATAAAATATGTTGTGCGGCTGAATTAAAAAGAAATACATTCAGACATGGAAACCATCAGCTGGAAACCATCATTCTCAGCAAACTATCGCAAGAACAGAAAACCAAACACTGCATGTTCTCACTCATAGGTGGGAATTGAACAATGAGATCACTTGGACATGGGAAGGGAAACATCACACACCGGGGCCAATTATGGGGAGGGGGGGAGGGATGGCATTGGGAGTTATACCTGATGTAAATGATGAGTTGATGGGTGCTGACAAGTTGATGGGTGCAGCACACCAACATGGCACATGTATACATATGTAACAAACCTGCACGTTGTGCACATGTACCCTAGAACTTAAAGTATAATAATAAAAATAAATAAAGTTTTATTGAAATACAAAAAAAAAAAAATACATTCAGAACAAAACTGCCTGGAACTGACTTTTCATGAAAAAGAATCCGAACAGAATCCCACGAGAGCCTGGATACAAGAAACAATCGGAGCAAAATCTGAGGGAGCCTAGCGTTAATAGACAAATCTGGGAGGTTTATATAATATTCTGAGATATATAATCAGTGTTACTTTTTGTTATTATTAACTAGTACAACTGGCATTTTTTTTTTTTTTTTTGTGCAAGTTAGGTAATGACATTCTGTGGTTCCTCATCGAAAGTATGACTGATAAATTAGGCTTGAATATGGATGTCATAGCTGGGTGCAGTGGCACATACTTGTAGTCTCAGCTACTTGGGAGGCTGAGGTTGGAGGATCACTTGAGCCCCAGAATTCAAGTCCAGCCTGGGCAACATAGCAAGACACTCTCTTAAGACAAAAAAAAAAAAAAAAAAAAAAGAGTAAGTTTGTCCATGTAGTGTAATGTGTTTTGCTAATCAATAATCTCAGGTTTATAGTTTTAAAGTTGGTACTATTGTAAGCTATTTTATGAATATCCAGCATAGAGTCTAAGAAATAAATACCTTAAAGAGTAATGAAGTCTAAGTGCATAATTAGCAAAAACAAACTTTTCTTGGGCTTTTTCCTTGAGCACCAATGCCCCCTTCCACTATCTTTTTTTTTTTTCTTTAGCAAGATAGGCTTGCTAACTTCATAGCCTGATGAGATGGGAGAGGACATAAGCTAGTGGTACACACAGAGTGCCACTGAAGCCCTGAGGGTCTAGCTTCCTGGAGCAGATGAAACCAAACTGAGACCAAATGATGAGTAACAATGATGAGGAAACGTGGGGAGGGCGTTTGAAGCCTTAACAAGGTCTTGAGCAAAGGCTCGCAGGGTGTATGAGAAAAAAGGGAGTGCAGTGTTGCTGGAGTGTAAGTGTGGAGGACGGGAATTATATTTGCATAGCAGGTGGATCCTTCTGCCAGTGAGAAAGAGGATGAATTTTAAAGGAGAGTTTCAAAGGGCTAAACCTGGAGATTGCAACCATTCTGAGAAGCAATTGTGCTTGTATTAACTGCAGGTGTCATGAGAGGACTAGCACTCTAACCTTGGTGATAGTCATGGAGAGAATTTCAGAAATAAAAAATTTGAGAGCTTTTTGAGACATGTGTAGGAGGCAAAACTAGTCAGATTTCATGATGAATTTCACGAGTTAGGTGAAGAAGGGGAAGGAGATTTAAATTGACTCTTTGGCTTCAATAACTAAGATAAAGGGTGCTCCCAGAAGGAGGAACCCCTCTGGAGTTCCATAAGCTGTCTTGATACATTGGTAGATTTAGACTTTATACTCTGAGATTCTTAAAAGATTTCAAATTTGAATAAAGTATAATGTTTATGGCATTGTACAAATTAATGATAATCTATGAATAGTCATATTACTGTCAACAATGAAGCTTCTGTTTTTAGCATGGTCTCCCTTATTAAGAATAAGTACTTGATCTGTTTTTCTTCTTTCAAAGTACTTAGGTTGAGGAAGAATTTAGAATAATACTTTCTATAAAACAGGATGGATGGCTTGAATAGTCCTACTTAAACTCAATACTTTTCAGCACATAAGATCAGGGGACATGAAGCAAACAAGATATACTGTGTTCTCCAGGTCTCCACTTGCATTTCTAGATCACTAGATGTAGTCACCATTTCCAAAATAGAATTACAGGCAGCATCTCATTTTCATGGTTGTCGTCTTTTATTTTTAATTTTGCTTAGGCAATTCAATATAAGTTACCTTTTCTCAGTGACCATTTTTTCCTTTGCACTATTTCTTTATTTGAATTGCTTTCACTAGCACCATGCCCAGGTAGGTATTAACAGAGCATGGAAACAAGCCCTTCCTAGATTTATCCACATTTCCCTGCTCACTGCTCAACCTGCGTGTGTGTGTTGCCAGGGGGTGCTTATGTTCTAGAATTATGGATTTATTCTAAAATAAATATTTTTATATATTAAACTGAATAACTAGCTGAGCTAGAAGAGTTGAATATATTACTAAAATGAAAATCTGTGACATGACCCAAGTATGGCTTTGTTTCAACAATCACAGCTACACCTGTGGTTGGTAACACATTAGCGCGGCTTCCCCCAAACAACCCCAATTAGCCTATGTGTAGTTGGAGAAGATAGAAAAAATATTCTGATGCCTAAAATATGCAGAGATATGGAAGAATTCAAATACATACAATTTAATGTACATTAAATACAAATACAACCAAGTTATGATTAGTTGGATTTTGTGTCTGTTTTATTGTAGCTTACAAATTAAAAATGCCTTCCAAATTCAATGTAAAATACTAAATAACAACGAACCACAGAGGCTTCTTCATGTTTTAAAGCAAATTTATTGAAAATTGTGGATTTCTACTTGTTCAGTAAAGTTTGCCACTCCATTAATTGAATGTTTAATAAATACTACAGTTTACCAAGATAGTAATTATTATACTTTTCAATAAAATTACACTTTCATACCACCTATTATGTGTCCATAAAGTAGTTGTACCATAGTAAAATAAAAAGTATAAGTTAAGACCATAACAAAACCCCTAGCACATCCCCTAGTTGAACAGCAAGTAAAACTTTACACTTCTATGGCTATGTTATTATACATTTATTAACTGAATAGCAGAACCATTGACTTAATGAAAAATTGGCAACTGTATTGGAAAATATTTAAACTTGTTTTTAATGTCTTAAATCAGAGTGAACAATTTCTGATCCAAGAGCTTAAATTATTCCAGACCTTTGTCATGCCAGTTATATTTTAGTAGGAATAATTCTTTAGTTATTATTACTTTAGAGAGAATTTTTTTTAGAGAGAATAACTTCTCTGGTGTTGGAATAGTCCATCTTTATTTCATTTAAGTAGATTATACGACATCATTTTTTAGAAAGCAGTTAGAAATGATGCACATTGATTAAACAACCAATTAGTATTTCAGAAGGCATAAGTAAGTAGAGGAAGCTAGAATACAACCCACAGAAAGGTAGAGACACTCCGATATATGGTTTTGACTTATTCATTGTTGCTCCCTCTCTCTGTCCAACTTTTCTCACTCTCTGTGTACATATCCTAATATCTTTCTCTCTCTAATCAATTTTTTGTGGTTATATATCACTTTGTCTCCTTCTTTCTCTTCTTCTCCCTCTGTATTTCTTTCCTGTCGGGGTTTTGGAAAAGATAAAAAAAACACCAACACCTCTCTATTCCTCTCAGTACAAAACCAATTGAGAGATAGACTCAGGTATCAACTAAATGGATATCAGATTTTCACTTGTATGACAGATATACTGATTGCAAAGTGTGACTCTACTTTAATAGCCCAGTGGGTTCTTTAATACCACGTTCCTGAAATAGAGTTGTCTACTTAGCCATAGTCACTCCTAGAGAATGGCAACTGAGACCTGATTCATTCTTTCAAAGTTTAGACCTTTGCAATCTGGCAGCCACGTCACAAGGTTTTATTTGAAGTACCATTATTTACCATTTAGTTTGTTCTCATTCAAGCTAAATTTTCATTTTCCCTTTGAGACCGGTGTTTCTGCTATTCCAGAAGACAGTTGAGCCCATAGACAAGCCATATTAGAAATAGAACAGGTTGGCTCCTCTACTATTTTCCCTTCGTTGGCCAAATTCAAAACAAGATAAAGGTGAATAGAATTTAAGAGTTGCTGATCTAGTGCCACCTGGTACAAAACACATCCAAGTGGATCTTAGCTATCTTTGTGATTTACAGCAGGAAAAAAAATCATCGATTCCACCGAGACAAGCTTTTGCTGAGATAACTTTTCCCAATAATCTAAACCCCCATCAAAAGCTAAATGTAAAGCCTTCTGTAATATAAGTAGCCTCCAAATGCTGGAGCTAAAACTCTTGATGAAATTTCTAAGGCTCTGTCAAGAGCCTCAATCTTCTCCAAGAGTCTACATAACATAAAATAGTTAATTCTCAAGTTATATTTAGATTTTGTTTTATTATAAACACAGATTTATATATGTATAAACACAAGGATCAGACAACCAACTCTTTTTATATACCCAATACTTAAAGGGTATTGTCATTTACCCTTTAAGACTTTTTTTTGGAATATACCTACATGTAAAATAAGAAGGAGGAGGTCCTGGATTACTATGAATTACCTGCAAAGTGATGATTTCCTCAAAGACAACTGATGCGGTCTATATTGACACCTCGTAGATAGGATAGTACATGGTTTACAAAATTAAATATACTTGCAAAATGAAGATTGTTTATACTAATAAATATGCTAATTTAACATTTAGTCCATAATTCTACAGTGCTTCACTGGCCAAACACCTACTAGCTAAAAGTAAATGAAAGTTTGCTTTTATAAATATTGTGAAAGCTTGCGTATCTCTTTTTTTCCCTTATGGGCTTTGGGCTAATACTTTGAACACAGATCTTTAATACTTGAACTACAGTGTATAAAATATAACTTATTTAAGATATCAATCTGTCATCTGATTTTACAAACTGATTTAAAAGGAATGAGATTGCATCTATGCAAATGTCAAGTTTTACCTGTTACATTTGAGTATGTAATTTAGAACTTTGAAATTCAGATTTTTCAAAAATGTAATGCATGGTTTATCAAGGCCTAAATCCCATTTTGAAGCCAAACCTCATTTTTGGTCAGTGGCCATTGGCAATTTGTCTTTGTGCTGGCAGGTGTGTCTGTGTTCTGAGCTGGAGCTTAGAAACGGTTTCTTGTGCTCATGCATCTCATCACCACGGCAACCAACACTCTGGTGCCTCACTCACCACACACAGGACATGCAAAGGGGACAGTGCTCTCGTTTGAAATAATAGCATTGTTGGAGTCACCAGAGACAAACAAGAGGAACTCCACTTCCGCAGGAAGCATGCATCTGGCCACAGTTCATTTCACTCTGTACCTTCCAGGGGAATGCACCAACATTCAGTCATTCACAGTTTAGAGAGGAGGAGAAAGAGGCATGGAGAGAGAGTGGAAAATAATGAGTGAAAATGAAACTGGGCTTTCATTTTGTTCTTCTCTCTGAGGGCTGTCTACTTTCCTCTGATATTTTTCTTAGTTGCAGGGAGATTAACATTTAACACAGATTTAAGCAATCTATCCTGGAATTATTTCCTGTGTGAATTTCTTGTACTGGCAGTAATAAACTACAATTGCTGGTTTCAAACATTTCTGGGAAGAAAATGAATCAGATTAGGAGTATCACATTTTAACTTCTGGATTCCCTTGTGCTCTTGCCATTGAGCGGTAAGAGCCTGTCAAAGGATGTGTTAGTTCAGCTGTTGGACAAAAAGGTAGGACAACACAGAGACTTGTGTCCCCCTGGAAGTTGCGCTGTTAGCTAATAGCACGCTTTTTTCACTCTCCTGCTCGGCTCATCATTTTGTCATCCCAACCCTACTACCGCTGTTGGTATATGCCATGGCCTCCTGCCAACCTACCAGCCTTCGATCCTTCAGTTCCGACAGGTCTCACACTCTGAGCCATGCCTCCTACCTGAGGGACAGTGCCGTGATGGATGACTCAGTTGTGATTCCCAGTCACCAGGTATGTGACATTTTGCCTTCATGTCTTTGCTTTCTGGAGAGCTTTTTAATATTATTGGATGCTAGAAATGGCCTGAGAAAGTTTTTAATCCCCCCAAAATCATTCTTAATTCAATTGACAAGCTAGCATAAGAGATTTGAGGGTTTTCCTAAAACATGAAAAATGTTCACTAGATTTTTTCAATGAGCAGTGTTTTTCTGAAAAAGCATACTGCTTATTTCTTCAGCTATACTGAATTCTTCTGTGGAGATTATATATGAACATTATATTTTTAAAATAAAATCTCCATTAAAGGAAAAAGTGAGGTAGGGTGCATTTAAGGTATAAGATGAATGGTAAATGTTAAGTTATATCTTTCAATATTTAAAATTGTTAGCTGTCAGAAAGGCTTAAAGTTTATTCTGGAATATTTTAATTTTAGTTATGATTTTATCACTTTTGGTGGATTGGGTATAGGGAAAGAGATGGATACCTACTCTCTTCAAAGACAATTACGTGAATGTAATCTTATATAATCTATTTAAATAATGCAGTTTAAAAGAGAGTGCATTTTAAAAGATTCATAGTAAATACATTGGTTTTTTATTTTTAAGTGGAAGTTTTTCTAGGTTATACCACTTTCCAGTGATGCCACTTTTTGTACTTCGTTATATTTTACTTTAAGTGAACCAAAGTGTTTTTATTCAATCCAGTGTTCTTTGTGTTTAGGTGTCAACTCTAGCCAAGGAGGCAGAAAGGAATTCTTATCGCCTAAGCTGGGGCACTGAGAACTTAGACAACGTGGCTCTTTCTTCCAGTCCTATTCATTCAGGGTGAGTAAATCAATATTATGTATCCTGATCAAGAGGTAAAAAGAGATGGGAGTGAAAATAACAGCTTTGTCCAGTAGCTTTAGCTGGTGGCTAGCTTTACAGTGGAGGTGCCCTTTGTTTAAACTTGTAAATAACATTGCTTTATCCACCATGGACTCTATATCTACACCAACAAACCAGCAAAAAAGATTGAATTCAGCATTAAAAATAACTGACTGTTGTTTTAGAACAACTAGTAGAATTGCATCAAAGAGCTTGCTACCTAACTGGAATATACTGGTGGCCTTCCTACTATTCACATACTGTCTTTAAGACATCTTAAAAAGAGGGGCCGAATCATTTGATTTCTAGAAAGTTTCTATTTATTAAGATTAACTGATTGGTTCAATGAAATAAATGCCTTTCTAATGCTTTTAAAATAATGTTACAGAAGCTTGAATCACACAAATATAAGGAGGAGTTTATATATTGTTTGAAGTAGGGATATAAACAAAAAGGGAATTTGAATGCAACCAGTCAGGTTCTCAGTTATCTTTTTAAAATCATTCAGAGAGTATACATACCACTGTTGAAGCAATGCTACCTGTTTTTATTAACTCATTAAAAAATAGGAGTTTGAGTCATACTTTCAAACATACTTAAAGTTGTTCTTAAGGTGTTCAATTATGTGGAATATAAATTCCTTAAGGAGTTTTAAATTGTAACACTCTTCCAATTTCTTCCTTACATATTAGTAGTTGGCAATAATATAGTAATATTGTAATTATATGTAAAATTTCTATTTTTATTTAATTATTTTTAAGTCGTATTTATATTCTATATATCAAAATGCAATATTTTGGTTTTAATTATTGTCCTCAAATCCTTATCCATAAATCCCAGCACTATTTTGAAAAGTAGATTCTTTCTTATTTTTATTATTCTAAAATATTCTTTATTCAGGAAAGAGTTCCAAGATATTTTAGTTAAAAATTTTAGACTTCTTCAACTAATCGTATACTAAGTAAAGGTTCATACAATAACATTAGTTATATAGTTATTGAAAACAATCCTAATACTCTTTTCCTTGTTAAATAAGTAGAGACTAGTTCCTGATACAAGATTTATTCATGAGAATAAAAAAAAAATTACACTTCATTCAAATTTACTTATTTTTTTTTTTTAAAAAAGTTATAAGTTACTCAAAACATACAACATTACATTCTGCTAATGAACTTCTTCACAGTGGTAAGTAAGAAGGAAGAGACCTGGATGTAGAGTATTGTAGGATCATAGATAAGAATCTAGAAATCATAATGAGGTTTTTAAAGCTCATACGCAGCCTACAAAGTGATGAGATGGTTTTAGGTAAAATTTAATTGACTAATAATAACTGAATTTACAAAAGAATCAGTGCATGGCAATACTTCAGTTTTCAAAATAAATCATTTATATTTTGAAAAAGGAACTTTTAAAAGAAGTTCTTTCATTACTGAAGGGCAGTAAAATAGTCTAAGTACCTCAATTACAGCCCAATTGTGTACAACTAGATACACCTATAAGTAATTATGGTGCATTACTTACGATTAACCAACAGCATCCAGTAGTTAAAGATGAATTATGTGTTAAGATAAAGATCTTTAAATTCATAGTCTTTAATAAACCAGTTTTCCTATGAATCTCAAGCATTTAATACTGACTCTGGATAATTCTCAATTTTTGCTGTGCATTAGAATCATCTAGGAGCTTTAAAAAATACTAGCGCCGGCCAGGCGCAGTGGCTCACACCTATAATCCCAGCACTCTGGGAGGCCAAGGTGGACGGATCATGAGGTCAGGGGTTTGAGACCAACCTGAATAACATGGTGAAACCCCATCTCTACTAAAATTACAAAAAGTAGCCGCGCGTGGTGATGCACGCCTGTAATCCCAGCTACTCAGGAGGGCGTGGCAGGAGAATCACTCGAACCCAGGAGGTGATGGTTACAGTGAGCCTAGACTGCACCACTGCACTCCAGCTGGGGTGACAGAGTGAGACTCCATCTCCAAAAAAAAAAAAAAAAAACTAGTGCCCAGGCCTCAACCCAGACCAATACTTTGGAGGCCTGGCATTGATACTTTCTACAAGCACCAATAGTACAGATGTTTTATATAAACTGTTAGGAAAAACTTTGCTTAATAAGGCTTTGGCTATTAGAGAGAGCTAGTTAATTAAGGTATACCTGGTTCTCTCAAATGTTCTTTGTTTTTTCTATTTACTCATGTATTCATTCTTCACACATTTGTGTAATTCTGCAAAGTACCTGACATTGTGCCAGGTACTAAGAAAAAAGCTAAGTAACATCTAGCCCCTGACTTTAGGAAACACACTATATGTTGTTATTTAAAGTTAGAAGACACTTAATCTGTAAAGAGAGAGAAACATGGTGGTTAATAGTGTGCTTTGGAGTCAGACCTATCAGAATTAAATCCTGTCACTCACAGTCATATGTGACATCAGGCACAAGTTATATAAAAATCTCTGAGTTTCAGTTTCCGTATCTATAAGACGAGTATTATATTATTGATCCCATAGGGGAGCTTTAATAACTAAATGCTTTTTAAATAATTAGCACTTTGCCTGGAAATAATAAGTGCTCAGTAGATTGTAGCTATTAGTATTGTGTACAATCCTCATACACACTTTCCAGATCTTTCACAAATTGCAAATCAGTTAAGCAAAATGTATTATGACTCCTCTAAATGGCAGCGTCAATGTGGTTCAATTCACAATAGTAATGTTTGACTTACTGTTATTTTTAATCAGGCAAATTATTCTCTATTAGTGTCTCCAGTGTTTGAACAAACACAATGCATTTGATGACTCTAACAGAATGGGTTATTACTATTGAAAGCTCAATGATTCTGAGTGTCCTGGTATTTGAAAGCTACCACGATATTAATGTATATGAGTAACACTCATCATACCATGTCATGTGGCAAGATTTTTTGTAATTTTATTCATTATACGCCAGGTTCCTAAATAGTGGCTTTCATTTATTTTTTGAAAAACTTAGTTTCTCTTTAATTAATTGGGTGGATTCTTAAGCCACTGCAAGATCTACCCAAAATGTAAGAGAAAAAAAAAAAAAAAGGAGACGAAGTCTTACGCCATCACCCAGGCTGGAGTGCGGTGGCACAATCTTGGCTCACTGCAACCTCCACCTCCCAGTTCAACTGGTTCTCCTGCCTCAGCCTCCCGAATAGCTGGTACTATAGGCGTGCACCACCATGCCCGGCTAATTTTTTGTATTTTTGGTAGAGACAGCATTTGCCATGTTAGCCAGGCTGGTCTGGAACACTTGACCTCAGGTGATTCACCTGCCTCGGCATCACAAAGTGTTGGGATTACAGGCATGAACCCCCGTGCCCAGCCAAAAAACAGATATTTTGATAGAGGTGATAATAAAGTTAACTTTTTATGCACACACCACTGATTTGTACATATAATGTTCTCTTAAACTTAATAAAGGGATTTTACATTAATAGAAGATACCGTTTCTACCAACAAGCAGTATTGGTGATTTTATTTTACCTCTACTTTATGTTTCCAATGATGAATGTTCATGACTAGAGAACAATAGGTATCAGTGATTAAAAAATCAGTATCAGTGTTAAAAAATCTGTTCTGCTTAATACACACAGCACATACATGACAAAAGAAAGACTAATATTTGCTGTTTATTTTAAAGTGTTGTCTTCACATTTGCAATGACTCTGATCAACAGTTATTTCTAGTATCCTAGTCATGATCATAACAACATAATCTTGGGCAGGAATTTTAATTTTACAATTCTTCTTCATTTCATAAGTGCATAAGGAATTAGAAGATGTAAGGCACAATTCTTAGCAGTAGCTAGCTTTGTAAGTCTTCTTAAATATTGTTATTCCAAAGGACTTCAGTTTTTGTAGTCTTTTAATTACAGTCAAATGCCAACAATTAAATGTCAATTCATTAAAATGTCCTACATAGTCTTACATTAACTTGAGGTCTATAAGGTGGTCTTTTAAAGAATTTCTTTTCATAAAAACATGTTGAAGGCAATTTTATTGTTTACCTAAAATTGCTCCAAAAATACAGTATATTTTTAAAATCATCTTGAAGATATTCTCTCAAATAATGGGATATTTGAAATGCAAGGAAGGCAAGGCTCTCACTTGACAATATTAATGTTTATCTAATATGTACGGCAGTTAAGTTAGTTATTCATGTATTTTACAACACCCTAGGGGTTTTCTTTAGGTACATGAAGGTAAATTCTTTTAGATGAAGAAAGTTTTCTCATAATAAGTAGCAAAACAAGTGTTTAGTAAGGTTGGATTTCTGGTCCATTAAGCATGTATACTTTTGTATGTCATTAGAGTTGAAAACACAAGAGAATCTTGTGAAAGCTTATGGAGGGTTTTACAGAAAAACAGACTCATAGGTAGAAAAGGAGTGAAAGGTAGAACTATAATGTGGGATTAGACATTATGACCAATGAGGAGGACAGCAATCTCTAAAGCAGGACATAAAGTATTGACAGAAGCACCAAGACTTTGTTTGCGTAGTTTTTTTTTTTGCTATACTCTAGTAGGTAATTGATATTACCTACCCTGCCTTATGGTTTATGCTAGTGTTTGTTGTTGATCCATGTTTTAAATTGTACCTTTTCTTTTTGCATTTCTTCTGTGATAGCCCAAAAAGTTATTATCATTATTTTTAAAGTATTAAATGTATAAAACAAAAACTTTTGCATCAAAACTGTATTCATCAAATCAAAGACTTTATGTTTTTCATCATAATAACCCTTGATGTTTCTGTAGCTTCTTGGACACTCAGACTTTGTTAAACGCCCTCACAAGCCGATGTTGACCAAGGTTACAAACCCCTATCCAGTGATTTTATAACATCCCCAGTTCCCTAAACTGGGAGTTGCCACAAAGCCACCATACTTTGCTCTTCTCGAGCTATATCTCATTTGGATTTCCATTTGTTTTCAATGAATACTGTATTGGTGTATAAATGATAAATTACTTCTGATTTCCTTCCTTATATTTCACTTTATCCGTTCCTTCTCTGTGCTAAAGTATCTATTCTGTTGCAGCCGCGCCTCTCCATGTCTTGATCGTGACAACAGCAGGTGAACTACTGCATAATTCTTTCTCTGAACATGTTGCCTATTCCTCTCCCCCTTTTGCCATCTCCTTCTGCGTATTCCTTGCCTCAGGATGCTTTAGTGTGAAGATACCTAGCCAAAGAGATACAAAGATTGATGTTCTCCAAATTGTGGCTATTGCTGAATTCCCCTTTCTCTGTGATGAAGAGAAAGTGGTATTTTTAATTTCAGTGGAGATAAAGTGAGGCTGTCCCAGACTTACTGTGGACTGCCTGTCTTGGTCATGGGTCTCCACATCTCCAGCTTCTTTTGTGAGAAAAAGTGCTACATAGAGATGAAAAATGTTGTTCCCCACAATTATGCAAATTGGTTGAGCTATTTTAAGGTTTTATTAAAGGTTATGATTTTAAGTGGCACTTAGCAGAGGGTTTTTTTGTTGTTCTGGGTTTTATTTTAAGTACCATATTCTAGGTGAGGCAAAGGCTAAAAGTGTATTAATAGTGCATTTCCTTGCTAATACTGCTATAAATGCAACTTTTTGATATTTTAGAAATTGTACTGCAGAATGACTCTAGTCAGTGTTCTGAAGATACCCATTATTCTGTTATTTATTTAAAGTTATTTTTAAAGGTTCTTATTAGACTGATAATTATAGTATTTTTATTATACAGTCATCCATTATGGTACTACAAATTATCAGTCTATAAAAAATACAGTTTTATATTTTTATTTTTGAAAACTTTTATATACATCCTTATACTTTTTCTCAAATGCACGCTATTGTCTTTCCATACATGAACGCAGTGGTTGATAAATAATTATTTGGTGATTTTAACAAATTTGAACTACTTTTTTCAAAGCCATATCCAAGCAATGTTTAAGTTTACAGAATTTGGAGGATTAGGAAGGAATTAAGGGAATTATAGAGGAGAAAGAGCTCATGCTATGGTTTTTCTCACAGTACCTCAGAAATCGGATTTAATCTGAGGCCCTCTTGCTATGTATATGAGGATCACTGAAGCACTCTGATGATTTTTTCTTCCTGTTCTTTCAACTAACTCTGAATGCTGCAATTTCCTCCCCATTCCCATCCCATGGTCCTCAATGAATTAAAAATAAAACTAAAGGAGTAGTAACTTTGGGGGTGGAGGATGTAGTCCTCAAAAGACTGGATCATGGTTTTCTGCTGCCTCCTCTGAAGCATGTACTGTTTAGCTAATCAAATTGTGTATTTGTAGGCAAGTCATCTGCATAATAATGGTTGCTTTCGCTTTTATTCTTTTTAAATTGTGATAACATTGTATCTCACAATTTAGAAAATTTTTAAGAGTTTCTACTTTGCATGATTGCTGAATTTCATTTGGAGAGTAAGAGATGCAATCAAAGCTAAGTGTTATATGATATTTTTTATATGTACAGTCTTAAGTCAATGTTTAGTGCAGTGTGTATACACATTCTCTGCAAAACAGCTGTTTTAACCATAAAGCAAAAATAATATGTATTTCCTGAAGTAATAGCAGTTTATTTTCCAATTAGGAATTCTTTCAGTGCATCTGAAATGAAAGATTTAAGTAGGTTTCCTAACCTAGTTAACAGTAAACTGTGCATATAATTTCAATACTGGAAGGCAACTTGGAGTCTATTTAGTAGAAGTCTCCCATTTTCTGGATAAGAAAACTGAAACCTAAAGACGTTCGTGACTTACCTGAGGTTACAACATTAATTCAAAATAGAGATATATCTAGACCCAGGGAAGAGCATGGTACTTGTTGCATTCTCCTGTGCTTCGTGATAATGGTATTTTTATATCTTATTTAAGTAAACTTCATAAACGAATACAAACTTCATCATCATATTAAACTACTTAGCATACTTCCAGGTTCATTGTAGGTACTCAATAAAGGTTAGTTTCCCCATTTATTTTTCAAGTGATATATTGTATTATTTTAAAGATATTTAAAATACATAAAATCCTATAAGTGTAGAGAAAGGAAAATGATAGGAACAGGCATTTATTGAATTCTGTATGCTTTACCCACACAAGATTTCTCACCATAACCTTAAGTGGTAACAGGATTATTTGTCATTGCCAGGTGAGGCTTCAATCTTAAAGCTCATAGATGACAGGCAGAGCCATCAATCTCTATTACCACCTCCTCTAAACATATTTAATTATATGTTTTTACTTCAATTATTTTCATCTCCAAATGTTTATAGGGATTATGTTGTCCCATTTTTAATCTCCTGCAAACATGAGAAAAATCATATTGATTCAGTCAACTCTAGTATGTGAACGACGCATCTCACGACTCACACCTTCTAACCTTTCTCATTTTCCTGTGGTACATAAAAGTACGTTTGCTTACAATTTGTTTTTTGCTGATTTGCAGTTGTGTTTTACGTGGTAGAATACCTGTCTCCTAACTCTACTACCTGTCCAAATAGTGGCGCTTTTGAGTATTCTGATATTTTTAATGAAAATGCTCAGATGCTTACCTAATTTTATATTATCAACTATTTGGATTAACTGATAAGCATACTGACTATTGTCAATAGACTTTTCATCAGCACCTAGCTATAAACTTGAGTTATTTTTCCTATTCCTTCTTATTTAAAGAAAAGACTTCTTTTATTATGCAATTTTGTAAATTTAGCATTTTTATCAGTTGTTTGGCAATTGCATTATTTGAGTCTAATTTGTTTAGAGTATTTTCATGATAGATTTTATCAACAGTTTTACTCATTTTGGCTATTAATATTTAGCTTTTTCATATCTTCCAATATTTTAATTTCTTTCTTGACATCTTTCTGTTTTACTTTCTTCTCTCTCTTCTCTTTCTCTTCTAAGGAAAATTTCCTCACTACAGCTTGGTGGGTTTTTTTTGGTTTGTGTGTCTTCCTTTAGTTACTTGATAAAAACATGAAGCCTTGTTTTCTTTAAAAATTTAATTTAGGCTGGGCTTGGTGGCTCATACCTGTAATCCCAGCACTTTGGAAGTCCAAGGCAGGAGGATTGCTTGAGCCTAGGAGTTCAAAACCAGCCTGAGCAACATAGGGAGACCCCATCTCTGAAAACAAACAAACAAACAAACATTAGCCAGGTGCAGTGATGCTGCCTGTATTCCCAGCTACTCGGGAGGCTGACATGGGAGAATCGCTTGAGCCCCAAAGATCGAAGTTACAGTGTGCTATGATAACACCACTATACTCTAGCCTGGGTAATAGAGTGAGACCCTATCTCAAGGAAAACAAAAATTATTTTTTCTCTGAATTATGCATATTGGCACCCTAATTTTTCCAATTTGCTTTGGATTTTTGTGCAATACTTAAATATTACTTTCCAGATTTACAATGACACAGAGATTCTTATAGGTAAATTTATCTGCTTGCAGCTTCAGGCTTTACGTGCTTTTATTTTGATTTTCCCATTTTTGATCTTTCTTCATATAATTTTCACTTCTATTAAAATGGTTTATTTTGTTAAATTCAAACTTCTGGTTTTTGCTTACTCTCATTTTCTACCAGTCCTCTATCAAAGGAAATCAATTTATTAGGTCTCTTTATATGTATTAGAGCAGGAATACGCCTGTAGAAGAATATTTAACATTAAGGATAGTCATTCCTAACTGCTTTCTTACCTCTGAATATAGTGATTCGAATGAATTCTGACTGCTCTGATTGTCCAGAGACTAAAGAATTAAATTTTCTCCTATGTTAGCCTTAGATATAAATATATACAGCTCCTCACATCTTGCCCTTTTCACTGTGTTGTACATTCGCTTATTCAACAGTTATTTATTGACTGCCTGCTAAGTGCTCCGTCCACACTGTGCCAGGCTCTAGAGGACACAGGAAGAAATATGGAGAACATGCTCACTGTTATTATGGCACTTTTATGGCTCCTATGTGTGGACTTAGTCATTTCTCAGTGACCAGGAAAGTAAGCAGTTCCAAGTAATGACAAAACCATCATGTGACATCTGGGGCTTAGACCATAAACTTTTTGGCAGCAGCTGCTATGTCTTTACTTTCTGTATCCTCAGTTCTTAGCAGGGCACTTGACACTTAATAGGAGCTTAACAAATATTGCATGAAAAGGAGCATAGAAATGGAACTATAGAGCAAGTGAGAACAAAAAGAGGGTTTCAAGAGACACAGTCAATGACACAATCAGGGCAAGTAATCTAACCTGTAGTTACTTAAACATTGTTACAGTCAGGCACTTAGCTACTTCAATTCACTCTTTAGAGAATGGGCCACCAGAAGATACTCTACATGTTCTTTGATCCAGGCTCCATGTTATATAGGCCATAAGCCATCAATGTAATAAATGTAGTGGAGAGCTTATAGCACACAACATGAGTGTGGAAACGTCTTAAATGCCTTCAAAGGTAAAAATAGTACTGAGGATTGATAACATTAAGCAGATGTATTATAATAATTACTTACTAGGTTTGAGTTCCTGTCTGTGCACCAATGGAGGCAGTAACCAAAAGACGAAAAAAAAAAAAAAAAAACAAAGGAAATATTAATCTTAATTATCAGTGAGTCAAAAATATTGCAATGAATTTGGAAGCAGCACTAGTTTAAACTTGTCACTTTTTGCTACTTTTTTACAAAAACCAATCTAAGTATCTTACTCAAATAAGAACAATAAAATGGAAAGGAAAACTTTATATCTGTCTAGAAGTGTTACCAGTATTTTCATTCTTTTGAGCAACAAATAGTTCATTTAAAAGTCAAATGAAAAAGAAAATTTTAAAGAATTCATACTTGAAGACTAGTAATAAGAAAAGTGGCAAATATTTTCTCATTATGTTTTGGTAAAGACCAGAAACATCAACACTTCAGTACTGAACTGTGGATTGTGCTTCCTAGTTTTTACTCCTTCCTGAAAACTTAAGTGGGCTAGGTATGAATGGAAGGTCTATCCTGGCCCCTGCATGTGGGAAGGACTGTGCTGCCTTTTGTGGTCTCATCCTGCATGACGTGCTTCAGACAGGCACTCTGGGCTCCTTCGCACCCATTTTTATTACTAGCAACAGGATTTCTGTTTAATGGCATGTTTAATAAGTTGTGTGTTCTGCTTTGAAGAAGATGCTAAGATATTTTTCTTCATTTATCTAAAAAATAACATAAATGTTTTGTGTTTATATCCCATAACTTAACTTTGATAAAATACCTTTCAAATGTTTTAAATGTTGTCGTGGAGGCAATATCTAGGTGGGACAAATCCAGTTGGTTCTGTGCTGAGCAGATTATAAGCGGAGCCATGATACACCTATATGTTGCTTTCCTCTTCCAATTTTGGTGTAAAGATCTTGCAAATGCAATGAAAATGTGAAAAGACACTAATGTAATTTGTGAAAGAGCATACACACAGTTTGTATGTCTTTGTGTACGTGTACACAACCCTTAGGTTGCCGTGCTGTTTAATTTTTGCTCCTTGACATGGTAAGTGCCTGGGAGACTTTAATGAGTGTTAATACTAACCAAATGACAAGCATTCAAATTAACCTGAATCAGGATCTGCTAAGACCATCCCAAAGGAAACAACTTCAAAGTTAAGACAAACCCATTCTCTTGGTACACTTAAACAAACCAAGTCATCCTGGATTATAGTTCTCCTTTTTCATGAACCATTAGCCTAGAAGAAAAGGAGAAAAATTAATAGGGATGCTGTTAACATTTCTAAATTATTAGCTATAATTTTTACATTCAATTTATTACAGTTTGAGAAAAATCATGATACAGATGATACGGATATCCTCCATCTGCATGAGCCCAGGGTTTCCCACGCCTGAAATTTCACTTCAAAAATGGTGTATAGAGGAGTCTACTTGTTCCTTATCCACCCGCTCCTCGTTTAAATTAGAATGGTATGGCAGAGAGATTCCTACTCAATAAGTAAAAAAGTACATTTTAACCAGCAAATTGGTTCAATTTAAAACATTTAATTATTTTGCTTTTCTCCTCCTTTAGAATATAATCAGTTAAAAATCTATATCCTGGGTAAGATGATGTTGGAACAGGATGCAGAAAAACTGCAATTTGGTTTTTCCTCTCTGCTTTGTCCTTGTATTATTTCAACATGTAGACTTTTCAGGATATACACGTAAGGAAGCAGAAGTCTTTCCATTTATAACAAAAGGAAATTTGTCAATTGTTCTTTATGTAATTTCATTCCATTTTCCTTCAAAATCAATTAGGCTTATTTTTAATTTACAGTTTATATTGAATATCACCATTGTCAGCAAAAATTAGAATTCTTCTCTACGGATTAAAATAATATAAAAATTAGAATAACAACAAAACAGAATTAAAGGCATTGGTATAAAATAAAATAACTTTTTAAAGCAAACATTTTACCACCATGCATTTAAATAAAAAAGAGAGATTTTGAGACAAAGCATTATGGAAAACAACTTGACAAAGCTTGTTCATCTGCGCCTAATATTTCCAAACATATCTAATCTTCTATTTTAATTTTTAGTTTCCTGGTTAGTTTTATGGTGGATGCCCGAGGTGGTGCTATGCGAGGATGCAGACACAATGGGCTCCGGATCATTATTCCACCTCGGAAATGTACTGCTCCAACACGAGTCACCTGTCGACTGGTCAAGCGCCACAGACTGGCAACAATGCCTCCAATGGTGGAAGGAGAAGGCCTGGCCAGTCGCCTGATCGAAGTTGGACCTTCTGGTGCTCAGTTCCTTGGGTAAGGGTTTCTGATAAACCTCCCACTTAGTCACCGATGAGCTTGTGTCCTCTACATGAAATCACTAGGATGGCATGGAAAAAGGTACGTCAAACCATTTTGAAAGAGGATTGGCACCAGTGAAATTTTTAAAATTGGAAGTAGCACCTCAATGCTTGACTCCACTTACACGCCTCTTATTTTAAGGCATTAATGAGTTAAACATTCAGGTTGAATACCACTTCTTCTTTTTGAATGTAATAATAGCTGCCAGACCCCCAATGTGAATAACCAATATTTTAGCTGATGGTAGGTATTTTTTTCTCATCTGAGAATTAAGTGGTAAAGTCACAAAGAAAAAATTCTGCTCTGTTCCAAACATAAATGTAAATTCTCATGTAGTTATGAAACAGAATCATTATCTTTACTTTGGAAAGCAATGTTGCCTTTACAGAATACCTACAAATTTAATCAATGTTTTTTTTTTTTTTTCAGCTATCAAAATTGCTACCTTGAGCCTTATCATTACATTGGCTATTTAGTCACAGTTTATATTAAGACAAATACATCAAGACTAACTTCAACCATGCTCATTTTGGCAATTTTGAGCAGAATTTAGCGTTTCTTCTTTCTTCTGTTTGTTTGTACGGCTGCTGTTATATTAAGTGGCATTTCAATGTGCCCAGAAATGAATAGCTACAGCTGAAATTAACACAAGGATGAAGTTTTGGTGGGGGACAAGTTTCAAAATATTTTGAAACAAATCAATTGTATTTAAGTCTTGGTGTTTGAAATACTGGGAGAAAATCCTAATAATCGTGAACTCTTTTACTTTGCCGATGTCATGCTGGGAAGAGGATTTCTTGCTTTAGAACTCAGGAAATGTTCTAAAGCTTTGTAATTTGGACCAAACTATTAGCAGATTGCTCCAAATTATGTTCACACACCTGAAAAGGGGTGTGTTTGTATTTCCCAATTATAGCAACCACCTCTCATGTCCTCCAATCAGACAGACCAGAGCTTTACAAGGAGCCTGTGAAGTTCTGGGTTGCATCAGAAAATGCCATTATGTTTGGAGTAATTCCCCAATGATTCTTTTCATATTCTGTGTCAGACCCTGTTCCCCTCATGCTCAGGTAGTTTAGGCTTTTTAATAATCTTCAGATCTGTTGGGGAATATTCATGAAAACATCTGGCCTCTGTACAGGGCAGAGTTTTCATCATATTCCCAACAGCTTGTCTTTCTTGTGGAGCATTTTTACCCCCTTTTTGGCTAGTGCCCTGGCGGTGAACCTAATTAGGGACAGACTGGACAGCTAAGTGCTCTCCTTGCACAGACGCGCCTCCATTGCACACTCTGGGTCTCGGTTCCTTGCTCTTTGTGACCAATGGAGGGGGCAGAACCAAACGCAGTGTGAAACCAAAGTTCACCCTGTGGATCAGCTGGCGACGCTGGGGTTCTGTAGAAAACAATACCTGAAGCTTACCTATGTTCTTTCTTTCACTGCTGCTTTGGATGTACTCAGTAAACTTCACCTGCCAACGGCTCCTCCCCCACTTAATGAGGGAGAAAGTTTGGTCAGCCGCATTCTTCAGCTGGGGCCTCCTGGAACCAAATTCCTTGGGTAGGAGTGACTTAAAACAAATTGATGGCTGCTGGCCCCCCATTCTTCTCCTTCTTCTGCAATATGATTTCTCTTTTTTGTCATTGTGCCCATGACATGTCCCTCTCTATGATTTAAATTCTGTATAACCTATCTTTAGTGGACCATTTCTGACCCTTGTGGTATGTGACTTTTATTTTTGAGTGATGTTTTTATATCTTTCCCCTTAAAGTGCTGTGACCTTCATTTTCGTTTAAGCATGAGATCTGCCTAGTTGTACTATGTGCTAGTTATGATGTTGTTATGATGAATTTGGAGTCTGTATCAAAGCAACCTGGACCCAAAAATCAAAACCCTCCATATATTTTGAAAACGAATGTGACCTAAAAATAATAGGGCAGTGCATGCTCTGGATCCTGAATATAATAGGCATTGGACACAATTGGGCTGTCTGCTTAGGGGCTCAATTAGGGCCACACTGTGTACACATGCCTATTGTTTCCTTGAATGAAGAAAATACAAGCAAAAACCATGAGTGCATGGCTCTTTAGTTCACAAGTAGTCAACTTTCTGACATCTCCTCATTTACGACACATGAAATTATGCAATGTGTAAGCCATTTTCCTCTTAAACCATTTCGTCATTTTGCACCTTGTCGAAAATGTTTTAGGAGATTGGCAGACATCATAGATATGCATGTACGTTTCTTTTGGTTAAATGTGTTCTACTTACATTTATCAAAGGAGAAGTTCCAGAATGCCACATGCACTCACAGGGAAACATTATTTGGCTTAAGATAGCAGCATGTACCTGAGGATTGGTGCCCCTGAGGTGGAGTGCTACTGTGTGACCATCTGCTAGCCTGTGGGCTTCAGGGGATGGCCCACTATGTCCCTGTCCCCAGCAAAAGAAGAATTCCAGGTCACTTTGCAACAGAGTCGAGGTGCTTGTCTTGCTCTTGGTTAGCTCCTGTCCACACTGAATGTTCTGCATTGCTATGTCAGGCCTGTGATCGTGGAGATCCCTCACTTTGCGGCTCTTCGAGGAAAGGAAAGGGAACTGGTGGTCCTGCGCAGTGAGAATGGGGACAGCTGGAAAGAGCATTTCTGTGACTACACTGAAGATGAGTTGAATGAAATTCTTAACGGCATGGATGAAGGTACTTTCAGATGAAGCGTTTTAAAAGAAATCTAAACTGGAAGCATGAAAATGATTCATTTCTTTCTTATGACCTAGGGGTGTGTGTGTGTGTGTGTGTGTGTGTGTGTGTCCCTTGTGGTATTTTACTACAGCAGGTAATCTGCTTTTCTCCTGTAATGATGAGTGCACAATACTTTTGCTTAATTTTATTCCTGTTACATTCAGGAAAATAAAAGCTTTTAAGATATCAAACATCTCATTAAAGAGATGCAGCATGCTTCCATTTTTAGTGTAAACTTGAGCCAAAAATGAGATAGAATAGATATTGTTGTTTCATAACTAAATGAACTGATACTGGATAATAAATCCATGATTTAAAAAAATGCCTAACTTGAAACATTAGATATTTAAGATGCTGATAAAAAGTATTAAGCTATTCTGTTGGAAAACTTACATCTACCCATAACTAGTATGTTATAGAATACTATAATTTTTAAACTTTCTATTATTAAGGGGGTAGGAAAATTAAGTTCATTCAATCTTCTACCTATAATTCAAACAGGAAGTTAGCCAGGGTTGAACTGCATACACATACATACACATCTAGTTTAGGAACTTAGTTTTCCATTAGAACTTCAATCGCTGTAAATCTCAAATCTGTCTTGGGCTGTACAAGGTTGTAATAATTCAGTATGAAAAGAGGAAAGCAGCTCTTATAGTTTGCACAGAGAAAAGGTCCTAGTCCTAATAGTAGAATTCACATTCAACTTTAAGTAACTACAGAAATAGGGCAAGTTCTTTGCTTGCATGCCAGGAACATGCCAAGTTTTGTATAGAGCTAGACACTCAAGAGCAAGTATAGCTGTTTATCAAGTTCTTGAGTCTTCTGTCACTAGTTTCAGATATGGCTCATGGATAGGAAAGAGTAGCCTGACCATAGCTTCTTTACTATTTCTTTCTACATCCTACCAAGGTTTGAATAAGAATAGAGGCCAGGCTTATCTTATCCAAGGAGTGGATGGAGGAAGAAATTATTCTCTCTAGATGTGTTAAGTCAATATCTTCTAAGCAAAGTAAAAAGATCAGGGTTTTTGTTAATAAAAATTGTTCCCTACAATATTTAGCTGCTTCTACTTCTTGGAACCATTCCTTTTGCTGACATTTAGGTTTCGGATATTTTCCTCTGGGATATTTACCTATCAATAACACTGCCAGTGAGTATTGGCATCGTGCCCTTGGATGGGGGCCCACTATTTAACTTTATTTATTTTAAAATGAGCTTTCTACATGGGTATTAATAGAAAGTTAATAGATTAAGTAATCTATTAATAGAAAGTTAAAGATTTGTGTATGTCTGGAAATTTTAAAAATAAATATATGCTAGTATTTGCCAGTGCATCAGTCTTCAATCATGCGTAATCAGATACTGAGACTTTTTACTTTTACTGTCTAGCTATGCCCAATAGTTAAGAAAAACATAGTTGCTATTCCTGCCTCATAATGAATTGTAAATGATTTCTAAAAATGAACAACTTTCCATCGCCTGTTAAAATTCAGTGATCCACATAGTACAAATTTTCTACATTTACACTAGTTTGATTTTTTTTGTATTGCCCTGAATATCTACACTAATACAATTTATAAAGAGCCCATGATCCCATCCTCTTGATGTTAAATTATGTATTTGAAAAGTTAATGGCATCAGGGGAATATTGAAACCCTGAATTCATAATCACTGATTTTTTTTAATATCTACAGTGAGTATCTCAGACACAACCCTTCCACTGGAGTAAACACATAAACATAAATCTTACTCTTCCAAGATAGATTTTATTCCTGCACTATTCCCCTGAAAACCCAAAGGGCTATGTTACTTCTTAAAACCACAATAACTTGGCTTTGAGCTAACTTTGAAATTTGCAAAGAAAGGGAGTCCAGAAGCAACTTCCTCTCCATCACATGAACCAGGAATAGAACAGGTTCATTTCATTCCATATTTGCCCTCACATCCCTCATTTCAAAGGTGGCCCTGCAATGCTGCACCTAGAACTAAGTGTTTATCTTTCTCAGTGACCTGGAAAGTCCTGATTTTCACAAAGAAAGGAAACATGCAAGCTAAATATTGGCAGATCTTGAAATATTGCAATTTTTTGTTTTCTGGTGGTGTTAGGATAGCCTTGCTTTTTAAATTTTCCTGTTATTTCAAAAAATGTGTTTTGCTGGCATTTCTGTTCATTATGAACCAAGTCAATGAGTTGGCTAGAATGCTGTCAGAAGGAAATCTTTGCTTTATGAATGAAGGTGGGTCATTTCTTGTCTCAGTACTGGATAGCCCGGAAGACCTAGAAAAGAAACGAATCTGCCGCATCATCACCCGAGACTTCCCACAGTACTTTGCAGTGGTGTCTCGTATCAAACAGGACAGCAATCTGATTGGCCCAGAAGGAGGTGTGCTGAGCAGCACAGTGGTGCCCCAGGTGCAAGCCGTCTTCCCAGAGGGGGCACTCACCAAGCGGATCCGCGTAGGCCTGCAGGTATGCCCGTGTTAGAGGCAAGTGATCCTAACAGGATTGTATTCTAATGATTAAAAATTAGCTTTGTCAAGGACTGTTACCCTTGATTTATAATCATACCAAAAAGGAAGGTAGTGTTAATAGTAGAGCTAAAGTCAAAATCCATGTTTATTGGTTACTAATCTATTTAAAAATTCACCTTATATTTGGACAATTAACCAAAATTAATCTCTAGCTATAAATGTTTTCTTCTTGTAAAAAAAAAAAAAAAGAGAAAAGAAATTAGCTTTTAAATGAGAAATAAATTGTTAAAGAATCAGATTGTTCTTGGTAAGCAAGAGCTGCCATCAGAGATCGTGGATCTTAGAAAATTTTATATGAGTGCTTAGTAATAATACTGAACTTATGATTGCCATATTTGACGTCCACCAAGCTTATTTATAAGATTAAAAAAATACATTGGGTAAGAAATTTGAAATTAAATATAATGATTCATTCTTTATATATATATGTGTGTGTGTGTGTGTGTGTGTTTTATGTTTTTACTTTGAAAAGGCTCAACCTATGCACACTGAGCTGGTTAAGAAGATCCTAGGCAATAAAGCTACCTTCAGCCCTATAGTCACTTTGGAACCTAGAAGAAGAAAATTCCACAAACCAATTACCATGACCATTCCTGTCCCCAAAGCTTCAAGTGATGTCATGTTGAATGGTTTTGGGGGAGATGCACCAACCTTAAGATTACTATGCAGCATAACAGGTGAGTCACATATGACTGTGTTAGTAGAGAGTTCTGAAAAAAGAAACTTAGATCATTGTAAATATTAAATTACCTTTGTCATAAGATGTCTGCAGGGTCACGTGCATTAATTCAGGGAATACATTTTAATTAACTAGGGAAATGAAGGGTGAAAGGAAACAACTATTATTTACTAAATAAAGTCTGTATGCCAAACTGTTAGATATTTATATGTGTTGTCATTCTAATTTCCACAATAACCCTGTGAGGAAACTTTAACCCCATTTTGCTGAAAAGGAAACCATGGTTGAAAGAAGTTCTATAACTTGCACTATAAATATTTGGTGGTGTTGGGATTCGAAACCATACCCATATGTCTCCAAAGTTCAGGCTTCAAGTCTTCACTGAAGAGATCACTAAATCTGCTGGGGAAAAAAAAAAAGTGTCTTGAGTAATTATACCCAATAGTTCAAACCAAAGTATTATGTTATGGAATTGGTTATGTCTTTATCATTGATCTATTGAACTAACTTTAGAAAAACAACTTAAAGATTTTCAATGATTAACCGATTTTTGGTCTTTTCAATTGGTGGTTGTGTAGTCGCTTTCAGATAGCTACCAAACTCTCCAAAGACACTCCCAGAACGTTGGTAGTCTCTTCATAACAATGCCACCACAAACAGTGAGAGGCAAAAAAAAATCACATGAATAATGTGTTCTAGGGCTAAATAATTTAACTGATAATTTCTCTATTTATCAATAATTTTATGGTGTTGGTATTCAGTAAATGTTAGTACTATTATTAGTAAGAACAGTAATCGTCCCTGGATGTTTTGGTATTGTTAAAATTATATTTTTCATGTCTCTTTTGTATTGGCGGAATGTTCACCTTTATTTTGTTTTCTTTAATTCACCCTTCTTACTAATATGTTTCTTGTAGTTATGGTAGAGAACCACGAGATTATTCCATAAGTTTAATAATAAGACAAAATTTTAAAATATATATACTATAATGAGTGGGAGGAAATCATATGCTTCACTTATGGTCTCTTTCCCAATTGCTCAGTTTTGGTTATTACTATCATTTCTGGGTATCTTTCCCATAATTCCTGCCCCATACGTATATGGTTAACCTTTTATAATGTGCAATATAATGTCATGGATGTGAAACAGGTGAGGCAGAAGAATATCTGTGATATGCCCTGCCCTTATAGTGATTAAATAAAGACACTATAGGGGCCTAGACACCATCTACTCTATTTATTCCAGCCCAATGTCTTTAGACAGGTTTCTCATAAACATTTCTGAAATTTAATTAAAATTATTTTGAAAATTAACAAATAATTTAATGTATTAATTGTTTAAATACCTAGACATTTGAGTTTTTGTATTCTTCTGTGTCATGTAGCTATGCTGAGTATGTATTTTAAAGGCCTACTAGAATAAAATTCCATAACCTTTCTTTGATAACTTGTTCTCTTCTTTAAGAAACTTTAGAGTCAAGACTTTCCTTCATTTCAAACATATATTGCTCTTACAACCCATTGAACTAAAATTTTGTCCTTATCTATGTGATCTTAATTTCTCAGTAGAAATGAAAGACAGGTAGTCACCATCAGCCTTCATGGTAATTTTTCAATGTAAAGGGTTAATCCTTTGACATTCATTTATTTTTTTCATTTACCTTGCAATATTTATTGAGTTCTTACTATTTTACAAACTTTTTTTGGCCAAACTTTTATTGCACATTGAGAGGAAATTTTTTGAAAACAATTGCTTAAAATATGAAGTTTGAGAACAAAAGAATATTTAGTTAGAATAGTTAAAATATTCACTATTTTAACAAAGTGTTTAGCTCCTTAGCTGGTCAAAGGATATTTTAAAATAATCAACTGTATACAATTCAAAATTATCTTCAGAGCCTAGCAATTATAATAAAAGCTTCAGAATGTTAGGCAGAGAACAGAAGGCTTAATAAACACTTATTTAAATAACTACCCTAAAGCTTAGTTTCTTGAGTGTTAGTCTGCTGTTTATTTTCAATGTGTCATTTTTTCGCATGTAGGTTTTAGTCATTTTGTTTTCAGTGTGTCATTTTGAGGGGTTGGATTGGGCTGGTGAACACAGACAAAACCGCAAAGACTTTATTTTAGAATCTAGAGTCTGGAGTTTTGCCTGATTTTTTTCAACAATCGTATTATTTCAGGTGGAACCACCCCTGCTCAGTGGGAAGATATTACAGGAACTACGCCATTAACATTTGTCAATGAATGTGTTTCCTTTACAACAAACGTGTCTGCCAGGTATCGTTATATAGCACAGAAAAGCCCACTATGATATGTTCCCTTCCAAAAAAACTGCCCTTTGTTTTGTTTTATTTTGTTTCTTTATTGTTTGAAAGTTATTTTCTCATTTGATTTTAAATATGGCTTGCCTTTGCTTTAATATTTTAAACTAGATCTGTCAGCAAATAGAATAGTGATAATACAGTAACAAAGTACTACCAATCCGATTAAAATCTAAGGAAAAGGAGTGATTGTCTGCTTTGCCTGTATGATTCTTGGTCAGTAGCAGTTGCTGCTTTTTGTACTTCCAAAATCCTTAGGAATGATAATTTCCTGTTGTCAGCAAAATAGCCTGAATTACTTTTCCAACAGAATCATAACAGCACAAATCTCACCATGGTTTCTTTAAAAGGTTCGAGGCTTCAGTGGCTCTTATACACATTTCTTATTTTTGTATTATGCATCTTTAAAACGGTGAAGCAATCTAGTTTTATTGCTTATGCACACATTAACTCAATTGATTAAAGTTAATTCCCATTCGTTTGGTCTTTAATTGATTGATAAGCATTGTTACCGCTCTTTAACTTGACATTGCAACAACTTTGTGACTTAAGTAGGGCAAGAGACGTTATGCCCATTTTACAGATGAGAAAACTGAAGATGAGAGTAATTAAAATGTACATTCCTATTTGGGGTGAGGGAGAAAAGATAAAAGTGCATGAATAGTTAAGTAATGGCATAGCAATAGTTGGGTGTGGTGGCACATGTTTATAGTTCCAGCCACCCAGAGACACAACTATTGAGTCTACAGTTCTGTGTTTCAATGTGTTTTGCCAATTTAGCATCTATACTGTAATCCAGAAGATGACGTGTTCTGAATAAGAGGTATAGACCAGAGGGAGTAAAAGAATGAGAGAAGGGTGTTCGAATTGGGATAGCTAGAGAGGGTATCTGAGAAGAGGTGACTTGAGACATGTGTGGGAACCTAATAGGCAGATAAAAGTGAAAAAAAGAATAACACGAGCAAAGATGCAAAGATAGAATGAGAAGGTGTAGTGAGGGATAGCAACAATTATCCATGTAGTCTATAATTCAAAAATAATGCTTGAGGCTGGGCCTGGTGGCTCATGCCTGTAATCCCAGCACTTTGGGAGGCCAAGGCAGGTGGATCGCTTGAGCCTAGGAGTTCAAGACTAGCTTCGGCAACATGGTGAAACCCTGTCTCTCACAAAAAAGATACAAAAATTAGCTGGACATGGTGGCGCACACCTGTAGTCCCAGGAACCAGGGAGGCTGAAGTGGCAGGATCTCTTGAGCCCAGAGAGGTCAAGGCTGCAGTGAGCCATGATTGTATCACTGCACTCTAGCCTGGATGACAGAGACGTTATCTCAAAACAAAAACAAAACAAAACAAAGCAAAGCAAAACAAAACAACAAACAAACAAAATGTAGGACTATTGGTTGGCAACACTTTATAAAAGGTCTTACAGGGTAGATTAAGAAGTGATGAATCACCATAAATATATATACAATTTTTATTTGGCAATTTAAAGATTACCAAAAGCCCCAGAACTACATGAAAATAAAAATACTATACAAAAATAAGGCCAGGCATGGTGGCTCATGCCTGTAATCCCAGCACTTTGGGAGGCCGAGCGGGTGGATCACAAGGTCAGGAGATCAAGACCATCCTGGCTAACACGGTGAAACCCCATCTCTACTAAAAATACAAAAAAGTTAGCCAGGCATGGTGGCACGTACCTGTAGTCCCAGCTACTTGGGAGGCTAAGGCAGGAGAATAGCTTGAACCCAGGAGGCGGAGCTTGCAGTGAGCCCAGATCGCGCCACTGCACTCCAGCCTGAGGGACAGAGTGAGGCTCTGTCTCAAAAATAAAAAAAAAAAAAAAAAAAAAAAAGCTGTTGCATTTAAAAAGTCAGCTATTTTGTGAGAACATGTAAAAAATAAGTGAATAAAATAAAGCCAATTAAAATATCAAAAAAGTGAGGAGGAATTATGTTATTGTACTAATAATTTAACTACCAAACAATTGAAGAAACAGTGAACAGAATTAGGTCAGTAGAAAGAGGAAGGTAACCAAGTGCTCGCCATGAGCTAGGAACTATGCTGAACATTAGAAACATTCTGCTAATTGAAATAAGCCAGACATAAAAGAGCTAACATTGCAAAAGTCCACCTATTTGAGGTACATAGGATAGGCAACTTTATAGAGACAAGAAAGTTTAATAGAGATTTAAAGGGACTGAAGTAAGGGGGAAATAGGAAGTTATTTAGCGGGTACAGTTTCTGTCTGGGGTGATGAAGAAGTTCTGGAAATGGATATTGATGATGGTTGCACAACATTGTGAATGTATTTAATGCTACTGAATTGTACACTTAAAATTGGTTAAAATGGTAAATTTTATGTTATGTATATTTTAGCACAGTAAGAATAAAAGACAGGTGGGTCAGGAACTTGAAAGAAAGAGAGGGTAAGAGAATAAGAAAATTTCATGACTTTAAGATGCAGAAATCGAAAAACAAAATTACAAAATGTTAGTAATGATAATTTCAAATTATGGGAAATGGGCCAGGGGAAGGATAGTAATCATGGGCAAAATATTCTAAAGCACAAGAATATAGAATAAGACTTTGGAAGGGCTGGGTGTGATGGCTCACACCTGTGATTCCAGCACTTTGGGAGGCTGAGGTGGGCAGATCACGAAGTCAAGAGATTGAGACCATCCTGGCCAACATGGTGAAACCCCATCTCTACTAAAAATACAAAAATTAGCTGGCCATGGTGGTGCACACTAGTCCCAGCTACTTGGGAGGCTGAGGCAGGAGAATTGCTTGAACTCGGGAGGCAGAGGTTGCGGTGAGCCAAGATAGCGCCACTGCACTCCAGCCTAGTGACAGAGTGTGACAATGTCTTAAAAAAAATACCCTTTGGAAGTATAAAATAACAAAATGAAAATATTTCCATCTAATGACCTTGACTTTCTTTGTGAAGTTAGCTCTCTTACGGCCTGTGGTGAGGGGTGAAGCTTAAAGAGTGTCATAAGATTTAGTAACGTTACTATAGTGAGCACAAAATTGCCAGTCAATGTCACAGACTTAGTTGAGGCTGGAAATCATCAAGTCATTAATTAGAGCCAATAATTAATTCTATGAATTATATTCAGCAATACTTAGGAGTTCTGGAGCCATTTTTAAAAAATGGTTAGGTTGATTCCACTTTAGTGATTAGAGAGTTCCTTGGAAAAGAATAATGAGGGGAGGAAAAGCTGGATAGATTTTGTTGAAAAAAGTTTCAGGAAATGAAATGACAGCTAGGGAGGGGGAATCAAGGAAAATAGAAAACCGTGCAGTGAGATCCTTGTCTTGTGTCTGCTATTGAGCTCACTCCACTAAAGGATTCTAAAACACTAAATATATAGTTCAGAAAATTGAATATTCAGAAGAGTTTCTAAAAAAGAAAATTAGAAATACAATATTTAATAGTTGATCTTAAAAACCTGATGTCTTTCTCTCTTCTCTTCACTCCCTTCTGCCTTCCCATCTATCCTCCTACCTTTCCTTTTTTTCCTGTCTTGCTTTTGCTTTCCTTTGACTTTCTTTCATTATCTCCCTCTCTCACTTCCTTATTTCCAAGAAGCATTTGTTGACTATTTTGATCATATTGAAGGAACTGATTTTATTTTTCACATGGTATACTTTGAACTTTAGATAACTGACTTTATTTATTTTATTAGGTTCTGGCTGATAGATTGTCGACAGATCCAGGAATCCGTTACTTTTGCATCACAAGTATATAGAGAAATTATCTGCGTACCTTATATGGCCAAATTTGTAGTATTTGCCAAGTCACATGACCCAATTGAAGCCAGATTGAGATGCTTCTGCATGACTGATGATAAAGTGGATAAGACCCTTGAACAACAAGAAAATTTTGCTGAGGTGGCCAGAAGCAGGGATGTGGAGGTACTGTACCAAAAACGATAATAATAATTTATGCCATGCTGTTATACCTGTATTAATAGATTACATTTCAAATATAATTTAATAAATAGAATAATTAAAAAGTGAAAGACCAGTTCACATCTTGATTAGTTAGGTCAATATCCAAAATCTGCCATTTTTAGTCATTTTGGACCTATTCAGTGGGACTGACTGGTGTATGTGAGAAGGTAAGATGATTCCTTTAAAGATTATTTGAGGAAAAATTATGAGTTATTGATAAACTCAAAGTATGTAAGTGACTGTAGTACTTTAGATGTTTTTAGCTTTCCTTGTTGTCCTTATTTTTTAATAGTAACTAAAACAGTCTGGGAAGTATATCCTTTTGCATAAATGTTGAAGCAGGATGTCTAGTGCTTTTCTACATTACTTTTTCTTATTTCAGAATTTTCCATCAGTGTAGGTCTTTGGGTGTTGAAATCCAGTAACCTGACTCATTATGATGCCAAAAGTTAGCCAAGCAGGCCAGGTGTGGTGGTTCATGCCTGTAATCCCAGCACTTTGGGAGGCCGAGGTGGGTGGATCACCTGAGGTCACCAGTCCGAGACCAACCTAGCCAACATGGCAAGACCCCATCTCTACCAAAAATATAAAATTAGCCAAGCATGGTGGTAGATGCCTGTAATCCCAGCTACTCGGGAGGCTGAGGCAGGAGAATTGCTTGAACCCGGGAGGCAGAGGTTGCAGTGAGCCAGGATCACACCACTGCACTCCAGCCTGGGCAACAGAGTAAGACTCTATCTCAAAAAAAAAAAAAAAAAAAAAAAAAATTACCCAAGCATAAGTTAAATTTAGGATTTAAACATATTTTGGGTTTGTGGAATAATGGGATACAGTTTTTACAATGAGAACATTATATGCTACCATGCATTAATGATTCCCATTACTAGTAAGAAGAAAGAGCGCTGGACATGCTGTGCCACAGATAGAATGTCAGTTGTCAATTTAAAGGTTGTTGTATGTGTATTATAAGAATTTGAAGTTCCAAGTAGTACTACTACTTCTCTGTGTAAACAACAAGTTGTAATTGCAGCTACTTTATTGTTATTTCTCTCTGTTTTCACTCAGGTGTTAGAAGGAAAACCCATCTATGTTGATTGTTTCGGCAACTTAGTTCCATTAACTAAAAGTGGCCAGCATCATATATTCAGTTTTTTTGCCTTCAAAGAAAATAGACTTCCTCTATTTGTCAAGGTAATATATATATGGAATTTTGTGATGTCTTTTTTTTCAAGATCAAGGAAGAATTTGACTTCCTTTAGTAACAGAAAATTTTTGCTTTTCAGTCATCTTGAGAGTTTTCTTTTTAACCATATTTATAATGTTTTACTGCCCTGGGAAACCAATCATTTTTATTTTTGAGGTTCAAAGTCAACATGAATTTTTATAGACTATATTTAAGGATGAGAACAGGACAAATAATAGCCAACTCATTAATTAGGTACAGCGATCAGTATTTTCCAAATTTGAAGGAAAGTCTATTCTATTAAAACTTTTAAATATTTATGCTTAGATTTAAAAATATATGTGAACTTCACAAGTGTAGAGATCAAAAGAGTTCTTAGTGGCAACTTTTTATAATAAAATCTCTCAAAAGACCCAGGTCTCACTTAAGCTAATAAGAAATTATCTCCGATAGAGCTATAGACTTGATATATTTTCATAAATTCATTCAATAAACAGCATAGAGAATTTTCATAAACTCATTCAATAAACAGCATGTCTCTAAACAAAGACAACAAATCCCTAATCCAAGTTAGGGATTTGAGGTGATATATGCAAGTTTCATTTTAGATTCCAATCTAAAAGGGATCACAAATGAATGAATAAGAGATTCAGGAAAAAAAAAGGAGGTAATAAATTCTACTCTGCTTTATTTTCCAAGCTCATTTTTCTTGTTTCTCACAATTTATTTCGCTAATCTAGCGGTCCTAACGCTCAATCCTATCAGGTATAGGCTGGCTTCTGTCTTTTTTTTTTTTTTTCAGTCCTACTTCACCTACTCATTTCCAACTGTTCATCAGCAATGACTCTTTTTATTTTAACCCCTTATTTTCTTTCCAAACATGTGCTTGCAAACCTCTTATTCAGTTTTCCCAAGATCTCTACTGAGTCTCTCTCATTGTGCCATTTCTGATTCAATTGTTTTGCTTGACTGATGATAGATTCTTACAGATCACCACATTAAGCAGTAACTGCTCGGAGTAATGGATCCATTTAACATAGACAGCTATATAATTAAGCTAATGTTTGATATCATTGATGTGCAGAATCATTCTACAAACAACCCAATACAAAATGAGCAAAGTGCTTCAGTAGACATTTATCCAAAGAAGATACACAGATGGTCAATAAGCACATGAAGAGACGTTCAACAGTGTAGGGAAATGCAAATCAAAACTATGAAGAGATACCACTCCATACCCATTAGGATGGCTATTACTAAAACAAACAAACAGAAAATAAACAAATGTTAGGAAGGATGTAGACAAATTGGGGCCCTAATGCATTGCTGGTGGAAATGCAAAATAGTGCAGCCACTTTGGAAAACACTACAGTTTTTCCTCAAAAAGTTACATATAAAATTAGTATATGATTCAGCAATTCACTTCTCAGTGTACACTCACAAGAATTTAAAGTAGAGACTCAATTACTTGCACACCAATGTTCTTAGCAGCGTTAGCCATGGTAGCCAAAATGGAAACAACCCAGAAGTCCAGATGTCCACAAACAAAATGTGGTATACACATGTAGTGGAATACTATTCAGTCTTTAAAAGGAAGGAAATTCTAATTTGTGCTACAATATGGTAAATGAAATAAGCTAGACACAAAAGGACACATATTGTATGATTTCACTTATATGAGATATCTAGGGTAGTCAAATTCATAAAGAGAGAAAGTATTTTTTTTTTAATTTATTTTTTTGACCTCTCCTTGAAATGAAATAAAGATAGAAAGTAGAAGAGTAGTTGCTAGAGACAGGAGAAGGGGAGAATGGGGAATTATTGTTTAATAGATACTAGAATTTCAGTTAGGAAGATTAACAAGTTCCAAAGATGGAAGGTAGTGATGATTATACAAGAATGTGAATGTACTTAATGCCACCAAACTAGACACCTAAAAATAATTAAAATGATAAGTTTTATGTTACATATATTTATCACAATTTTTTTAAAAAGGAATGAAATTCTGACACATGATACAATATGAATGAACTTGGAAAACATTATGCTGAGTAAAATAAGGCAGACACAAATACTATATGGCTCCATTTCTACACGTTCCTAGAATAGGCAAATGTATAGAGACAGAAAGTAGAATAGAGGTTATTAGGGACTGGGCAAGAGGGCAATGGGGAGCTGTTGTTCAATGGGGACATAGGATGAAAAACGTTCTGGATAGAGGTAGTGCTTATACAACTTTGTGAATGTGCTTAATGCCACTGAATTTTCTGCCTCAAAATAGTAAAAATGGCAAATTGTATGTTATGTATATTTTACCATAATTATTTTAAGAGCTAAGTTCTGAAGACCTAATGTACAGCATTGAACTATAGTTAATTGTATGTAATGTATTATATACTTGAAATTTGCTAAGAGAGATCTCAAGTGTTGTCACCACACAAAGGGGGTTGAGGTGGTTGATATGTTAATTAGTTTGATACGCTAATCATTTCACAATGTATACATATATCAAATCATCACATTGTACACCTTAAATATATGCAATTTTTGTCTACTGTACTTAAATAAGACTAAAAAAGAAAGCTGAATGATTTTTAAAAAGGCTTTCCAAATGGTAATAGGAAAAGAGAAAGGAAATCCTTTGAGTTCTTACCTAGCATTAACAAATGAATTTTACTTTCCCTTTTCAAGCATCATCTAGTTAAAGTAAATACTGCACGTCAAATATGGGTGAAGCATGTATGTTTGTCTTGTTCAAGGTACGCGATACGACTCAGGAACCCTGCGGACGACTATCATTTATGAAGGAGCCAAAATCCACAAGAGGCCTGGTGCATCAAGCTATTTGCAACTTAAACATCACTTTGCCGATTTATACAAAGGTATTGTAAAATCTGCTATAGTGCAATTCAGGTAGTGTAGGAATTGATTTTTAAATCTTGTATTAGGTCAGTGCAAAAGTAATGGCAAAAACAGCAATTACTTTTGCACTGACCAATAAAATGAATACAAACAAAGACTGAATGAAAGCACATGTAATAATCACGTTTGATTCTCTGTCAAATTTACAATTTCCACTTAAGAAAAATCGTAGTGCCACCTGATTTAACATTAAATGCACTTTGATGCAAAAATTATATTAATACACAATGGGCATGGAAGTAAGAAAATGTGACTTCAGATTTAACTTTTTGAAGAAATTTTTAAAACTAATTGGCTTTTCTTCATTATTGTTTTCATGTGCTTTCCTGAAACCATACTAGCGCATTTGGCCCTATGAAAATATTAGAGTTCATCAGCCTCTGTTTACTACCAATTCACAGGTGGCTTACATATTATTAAATTCAGAGCTGCCCCGTGATATTTTATTTTTTCTAAGTAATTATTAATCTTCTAACTTATCATATTTTAGGAGTATATAAACTGGTGTGTTGGTGCACACCTGTAGTCCCAGCTACTCTGGAGGCTGAGGTGAGAAGATCACTTGAGCCTAGGAGTTCAAGGGCAGATTAGGCAACATAACTTGTGTAAATTGTTAGTTAGAATAAAAAATAGTAGAAATAGTTGATGAGTAAAAAACATATCGCCATGTTATGAGGAGTAGATTTAAAACATTGTTGAAAAGAAAAAATACATTAATTCTGACCCCAAGTCTACCTACAGGAATTATTTTCTTTTCAAACCTCTCCCCATCACGTAATTCCTTGAATACTCTGATGAAATCAAAGAAGACAACTAAATCAATTAAATGTGGATAATTTATGTTTCATTCTTTTAAACTTTTTTTAACCAATATTTCTTTTGAATAGGAAGCTCCCACATGACAATCTATAGGTGGATGCAGAAGTTGTCAGTGTCTATATAACAGGTTGGGCAGGGTGATGAGTGGCGGCTGCTGAGACCTGGAGGGGAAGTAGGGATATATTTAAAATCTTAAATCTTGACATCACAAAACAAAAAATGTCCCATATTTCTTTTTCCCCACCACAATTGTCAAATTTTGTATTTGCTTAATGAATTATTCTTTGTAAATAGAGATCAACCATATAGAGAAAAGCTCGTAGCATTAGGTTTGACATTGTAACTTTTTATTAAATGAATAAAATAAAATATTATTTATATATGTAAATATACATGTTATTCCAAGAATTAAAATATAGAAATGGGTATGTCAACCCAAATGAACATAATTTCATTGCATTTTGATGGTGCATAATGTGTTTCGGGGTTTGTATTGCTGATTAGTAGTGAGTCAGCGGAGGCAGTATGCCAATAAGAGCCACAGAGAAATATGTACTGCTGCGGGCAAGCCACCTGAGTGTTACAGAAAGATGACTGAGCTTTGGCTGATTTCAGTGAGCTTTCAGTGTGCTCTAAGAGAAAGCATTAACTTTATTATTACATTTTATTTCTAAGTCAAGACATAGCAGACACAGCTATTAATGCTGTGATAGTCCAGTACAATTTTCTAATTTGTAACTCAAAAAGAAAAAAAAATGCCAGAGATTGTATATTGAAAATATACCTTAGTATTTAATAGCTCTTGGCTGGGCACCATGGCCCACACCTGTAATCCCAGCACTTTGGTACACCAAGGCAGGAGGATCGCTTAAGTCCAGGAGTTCAAGACCAACCTGAGCAACATAGCAAGACCCTGTCTCTATTTAAAAAAAAAAAAGAAAGAAAGAAAGAAAAGAAATAATTTAGTAGCTCTTTGTTAGAATAACGCTTCTAAATATTGCCTGTGTATTGAAAATTTTTCACCATATATAAAAATATACACGCTTCTTTGTAGCTTTTAATATTTTCAATATCTGTAATGATTGGGATATTATCATCACATTCAATATCTGTAATGATTGGGATATTATCATCACTATTTCTAAAGACAAATGCCATCCAGTTCATTTAAGGTCAAACTTTGAGACTGCTGTGGTGACCTAGTATCTGAAATTAGTAAATTTATAATATTGGTTCTTTTGTCTCTTGAATCTATAAACTTTGTATTTAAGCCAATCCTCTTTTCTGCCTGTCTTCTATAAACTGTTAGTAAGAAAAAAAGAGTATGCTAACTGTATGCTTGCCTGTTGATGCTTGTTGAAAGGGTATTTATTTACTCTTTCCTTTTCTTCTAAATACTCTCTACTCTTCCTTCTCTCTTTTTTCCATCTTGCATGGCATCTTGGGGCGGAAAGGAATCAGAGTCAGATCAAGAACAGGAGGAAGAGGTAATTTTATGACAGTGTCATTTGTTAACGGCTGTGTCATTGCTGTAACCACTAATAAGAGCACATAGTTAACCTGTGTTCTTAGAAGGGGTAGGCGGTTCTTCTTAGTAATTAAAGGGGCACAATTTCACTTAACCTCTCTAAGCCTCTGTTTTCTCATCTTGTGGAGCAACTTAAGGGAATAGTAAAGTTTCCCTATAAACTGTTGCCATGTCTCTATGCAATACTATCTTTCTCCACCAACTACTGAGAGCTAAACCATTATCTCAGGGGTTCTTAGTCGGAAGACATCTAGTGGTTGAAACTCTTTTTATACTAAGATGTTATTAATGTCTTAATTTTTAATTAATTAATTTTTAATTTACTACATTTAGTAAAATTTACTACATTTTTAATGTACTAAGACATTATTTGCTTTTTAAACTTCTATATCCTCACAAACTATAGAGGAGTCTTCCAGAGTCTATACTACATGTGATGACATTGCCACTCTGGCAATTAGTGGAATGTATGCTTGCATACTCAGGTTCTAGCATTTTCTTAGCCTTCATTTGTAATACAGGTATCTGTTTATACATATCACTCACCATCAGAAGTTTTTCAGGCTCCTCAGTAATTTTGGGGAGTGTAAAGGGGCCCTAAGACCAAAGAGTTTGATAAACACTGAGACCAAAAAACTTTAAGAGGCATATAGTAGATTCCTTAGGCTATAATATTATAATGCAGAACTATGCTAATAATAAGAATTTCTTATAAAGTAGGATCTTTACTAAGTGTTGCACATGCCTCATCAATATTGATCTCTCACAACCACCTATGAGGTGTTTGTTATTAAATATTACATTATAGATGAAGAAAGCAAGTCTTAGAGAGGTTACCTTGAATAAATAGCTGTATGAATTAAACCTGCTTCAATATTTAAAGCAAATGTGTGTTTGTCTCCATTATAAAGATCTGAAAATGCCCAAATATTATAATAGAAATGAAAAACATAATTGGAAAACTTAAAACAATGTATTTGTTTCTAAGATAGACAGATGCATATGTTATTAGTTTTATGTAAATGTTTTCAAATATACTAGTTTTCTTTTTTTTAAATGTTATTCCAATGCATTCAAAATAACAAATATAAAAAAATATAATAAATACACTTATACCCACCAGCTTAAAATGTAAGACCATATCAGTTCAGAAGATGCCCTGGATTCACTTTTTTTCTGATACCTTGGCAATGGAGCAGGGCGAGAAGGGTGATTATAGACTCACTGTCCTGCCGTACATAGCCATATACACAACCGACTTAAGACTGAAGTCATTCTTTCCCTCAACTGCACAGTCACTCTTTGCTTCACATATTCCGTTTCCTTCCTGTACTCAGTGACCCTACCACCACAGCTGTTAAAAATGATAGGGAAGCCAATTTTGCCCTGTTCACAAATCACTTTTTCCTGTTAGATGATTTTCCTACTGAATACTTTGTGGAACTATTCAGGGCAATAGATCCAGTTCATATTCTTTTCAGTATCTGGAATGCTGACTTATTATTAATGATAATGAAACTACTTCTGTAGAACATATCACCCTAGCATTGCTGTTTCTCATCCTTTCCTTTTTCTCCATTAAATGGAAACTTATTATTTAATACTGACTTCACTCTTTTTCTGACTTATTCCCTAATAAATATGTATCCCAACATCAAAACCAGCCTGGGTCATATCTTTCCAGGATTAACATGCTAGAAAGGACTTTCTACCTGTAGTGTCTAGAAAACAGAAGTTTTTTTCCAAAGTCAGTATAAGAATCATGGAGACTCTCAGGAAAAACTGTAGCAAATTACTCTGACCTTCCTATGGCTATGGTGTCACCCAACATGTATAATTACGGATAGGAGCTTTTTGTGCACACCAGGGGCTATGAGCCAAGGCAGTATTTGTAACCATTCAATTTATGTATGTTTTCTTTCAGATCGATATGACATCAGAAAAAAGTAAGAATTTAAAGAAAATTGAGTTTGTCTGAAAGCTGGCTACCATAAAAAGAAGCATGAATTAAAATGCAAGCTAGTTGCTATTACTAACCACTATAGTAATTAAATTTTTATATTATCCTTATTAATCATTAATATATTTATAAAAGCAGCTTGGCCAGTTAAATTACAAATATACCTGATTTGCGAGCTAATTAGCAGTAAAATGCAATGATTATTCATCTAAGCATTCACTTTCTTTTGACATCCTTGTTAACCCTGGTATTGCTGTTATGCTTGTTTAGAAACCCACCCTACCGTTTTGTCCATTTGTTAGCATAACATTGTCATCTCATTATTTTTTAAGCACTGACATGACAGTATCACTTTTTATGTAATGCAATAGTGACTTCTGTAGAGAGCTCATTATTTTTGTAGGATACACCTGCAAAAGTGATACTGTCTAATAGTTCTTAGCTGAAGCTAACCCCATCCAATGCCTGCCCCTTCCCCCATCCCACTCTTGCACTTTTTACTGTGGTGAAGTGTAACCAACGTCTTTAGAGCTGAGGTCTAACAGACTTCTGTGAAAACTTTCTGAAAACAAAACAAAACAAAACAAAAATAAACAAAAATGAAGGGCCAAGAATGCAAAAATTAAAACCTCCTTGATAAAGTTACTAATCACAACAGCATATTATTATAGGGCTAATTTTAAATAATGATGCAAATCCCAAACCTGATCTAGTAGAGAGAGAACTGTTTTTTACAGACCTTAAAAGAGCTGTCGTAGAACTCATTTCAGGTTTGTAATAGCCAATTAACATTTTAGTTTGTTGGACTGTTTCTAGTGACTCTCTGGCTTCTTATGTGGAAGCTCCAGTTGAATTTTACAGATTTCTGCTTTCGTGCCCCAAATGCTTTTTAAAAATATGATTTTCAAAGTTTATTGAATATCAATAAATTTTATTTCAGAGTTTATTTTGATTTGCTGTATTTCAGAGTATATTCCTAAAATGAGAAAACTTAGAACCATGTTCAATATGCTCATTTGGCCCTATACAATGATCTGAGGGCTTTTTTTTAAAAGTCCTAGGACAATGTAATTTACTACCAAGTTTTTGAAGTTGCTTTGAATGAGGCTTACCCTCATGTTAAAGCATTATTCAGATCTGGAATAGTCACATATTCACATACTGTATCTCCTCAACAAACACAGATTCTCCCAAGAGAAGGCACTTTTGTGTATATGACATGTCACATTGCCTTCATTGATTCCTTTTTTTAAGTGATTTTACTTTATTCTCTCACTTTCTTCTTCAGAACTACTCCATTTATTTAAATGGCCTCTTACTTTGCTCCCCGATACAAACTAGTAAGAATTAAAAATTAATTCATCCATATGGCTCAATTGTTAAAAAAAAAAGAAAGAAAGAAAGAAAGAAAAGAAAGATAAAAAATGTTACCATGTTGCTATAATGCCATGGATTTTCCTGAAGGATTTCTAGGTGTTTTGAGTGTTTCAAAAGTTTTAAATACAGACTCATGTTTGCTTTTGTTTTAAAGATAATCATTAGATTATTTTCATCTAGGTGTAAACTAATCTCTAAAGAAGGGCTCTGTGGATGGGACTCTTACCTGAAGTCTTTTTATGAGCACATTTTAGAAGAGTTTACTGAGTTTTCTTCCTTACCTTTAATGGGTATAAGCCCCCACAACCTAAGCCTCAAATATACCACCTTCAGCAGCTTATGCATGGACTCGTAGAGAAATAAGTACACTTTGCCACAGTAACATTTTACATATCTGTTCTAAATTCCTGCCATCCTCCTGCCCATGCGTTTCAGCAAGGCCGCCTCTCCCAGCAGTTTTACTACACCTTTGCTTTGCATGGAAATAACTTGGCTTACATAAACTGTGTGTGTGTCCTGTGTGACTGTCTCTGACTTGGGTTGCCATGCATCACATTTTAACTTTGGACTCACTTATAAGTTTAATCACAATTATTGTTTCTGTTGTTTTTCTTTCCTTTCCTTTATTTCCCTCCTTGGTCTTTCCATTCTGTGTCTAAACAAGGAGGTTGCTCCAAGGAAAGGACCATGCCTCTTAGCATCAGACTGTTTCATTGTTAGGTGTGAATTTCCCTTAGATGAAATGCCGGTTTGCAGCTGATTCAGATATATTTTATATAGTCTTTGTATATTGGTAGAACTAAACATACTGAATTTCAGATTTTTATATGATTAAAAATGTATATACATCATTAGATGTTTTTCTGAGCTTGCTACTACTGGCTTTCTCCTAGAGGAAATCAACTTTCTGCAATTTCTAATGCTTTTTTTCTCCATGGTTTTTTTTTTTTCAACATTGATCTGTAACGTCTGAACAATCTTGAGATACCTCTGTGTAATTTCACTGCGTTCTTTGTTTTGATATGTAGTTTTTTTGTGTGTGTGTATGTCTTGTTTTAGCTTTGTTGTATGTGTGGATGTGCTACAAGTGAGAAAAATTAAGCAAGTTATTTCCTGCTCATTTTTCCTTTTCAGTTGTTTTTTTTCCGTTATCCTTGCTTTGCTCTTGTACCCTGAGGTCTTGTGGATCTACCATTCCCAGCCCATTTTGTTGCCCCTCCCACCACCACCACAGGAAAAGACGCTGTGTCGTTTCAGTCCTGATTACATTTGCCAATATATTTTTTGATTTCCATTTTACTTTCAATGTTTTTCATTCACATCAAAGATGATGAGACAGAATCTACAGAAACATCTGTCCTGAAAAGTCACCTCGTTAATGAAGTTCCTGTCCTAGCAAGTCCGGACTTGCTCTCTGAAGTTTCTGAGATGAAACAAGATTTGATCAAAATGACCGCCATCTTGACCACAGATGTGTCTGATAAGGCAGGTTCTATTAAAGTGAAGGAGCTGGTGAAGGCTGCTGAGGAAGAGCCAGGAGAGCCTTTTGAAATCGTTGAAAGAGTTAAAGAGGACTTAGAGAAAGTGAATGAAATCCTGAGAAGTGGAACCTGCACAAGAGATGAAGGCAGTGTGCAGAGCTCTCGGTCTGAGAGAAGATTAGTGGAAGAAGAATGGGTTATTGTCAGTGATGAGGAAATAGAAGAGGCTAGGCAAAAAGCACCTTTAGAAATCACTGAATATCCATGTGTAGAAGTTAGAATAGATAAAGAGATAAAAGGAAAAGTAGAGAAAGACTCAGAGCAGCTACAGACAGTTCAAGATAAGGCAGGGAAGAAACGTGAGACTCTGGCTGTTGGCAAGAGCTCTGAAAAGGAAGGGAAAGACATACCCCCAGATGAGACACAGAGTACACAGAAACAGCAAAAACCAAGCTTGGGAATAAAGAAGCCAGTAAGAAGGAAATTAAAAGAAAAGCAGAAACAAAAAGAGGAAGGTTTACAAGCTAGTGCAGAGAAAGCTGAACTTAAAAATGGTAGTTCAGAAGAGTCATTAGATGAAGACCCAGGTTTAGCCCCTGAACCTCTTCCCACTGTCAAGGCCACATCTCCTTTGATAGAAGAAACTCCCATTGGTTCCATAAAGGACAAAGTAAAGGCCCTTCAGAAGCGAGTGGAAGATGAACAGAAAGGTCGAAGCAAGTTGCCCATCAGAGTCAAAGGCAAGGAGGACGTGCCAAAAAAGACCACTCACAGGACACATCCAGCTGCATCACCCTCTCTGAGGTCAGAGAGACATGCGCCAGGGTCTCCCTCCTCTAAAACAGAAAGACACTCTGCTCTTTCCTCTTCTGCCAAAACTGAAAGGCACCCTCCAGTATCACCATCAAGTAAAACTGAGAAACACTCACCTGTGTCACCCTCTGCAAAAACGGAAAGACATTCACCTATGTCATCTTCGAGTAAAACTGAGAAACACTCACCTGTGTCACCCTCGACAAAAACTGAAAGGCACTCCCCTGTGTCATCTACAAAAACAGAAAGACACCCACCCGTTTCACCTTCAGGCAAAACAGACAAACGTCCACCTGTATCGCCCTCCGGGAGAACAGAAAAACACCCGCCAGTATCGCCTGGAAGAACAGAAAAACGCTTGCCTGTTTCACCGTCCGGAAGAACGGACAAGCACCAACCTGTATCAACAGCTGGGAAAACCGAAAAGCACCTGCCTATGTCACCTTCTGGCAAAACAGAAAAGCAACCACCTGTATCCCCCACTTCAAAAACAGAGAGGATCGAAGAAACCATGTCTGTTCGGGAGCTGATGAAGGCTTTCCAGTCAGGTCAAGACCCTTCTAAACATAAAACCGGACTCTTTGAGCACAAATCAGCAAAACAAAAGCAGCCACAAGAGAAAGGTAAAGTTCGGATAGAAAAAGAAAAGGGGCCAATACTAACCCAGAGAGAAACTCAGAAAACAGAGAATCAGACAATCAAACGAGGCCAGAGACTCCCGGTAACGGGCACGACGGAATCCAAAAGAGGAGTTCGTGCTTCCTCTATAGGAGTTAAGAAAGAAGATACAGCTGGAGAAAAGGAGAAAATTCTGAGTCACAAAATACCTGAACCTGTTCAGTCAGCACCTGAAGGAGAAAGCCACAGAGAGAGCGAAGTCCCCAAAGAAAAGATGGCTGATGAGCAGGGAGACATGGATCTCCAGATCAGCCCAGATAGGAAAACCTCCACTGACTTCTCTGAGGTCATTAAGCAAGAGTTGGAAGACAATGACAAATACCAACAATTTCGCCTGAGTGAGGAGACAGAAAAGGCACAGCTTCATTTAGACCAAGTACTCACTAGTCCTTTCAACACGACATTTCCACTCGACTACATGAAAGAGGAGTTCCTTCCAGCTCTGTCTTTACAAAGCGGTGCTTTAGATGGCAGTTCTGAAAGCCTAAAGAATGAGGGGGTAGCCGGTTCTCCGTGCGGCAGTCTGATGGAGGGGACCCCTCAGATTAGTTCGGAAGAAAGCTATAAGCATGAGGGCCTAGCAGAGACCCCTGAGACAAGCCCAGAAAGCCTTTCTTTCTCACCAAAGAAAAGTGAGGAGCAAATTGGGGAAACAAAGGAAAGCACCAAGATGGAAACCACCACAGAAATTCATTCAGAAAAAGAGCATCCCACAACCAAAGACATTACTGGTGGCTCTGAAGAGCGAGGTGCCACAGTCACTGAGGGCTCGGAGACCTCTACTGAGGGTTTTCAGAAAGAGGCCACTCTAGGCTCTCCCAAAGACACAAGCACTAAAAGAAAAGATGATTGCACAGGCAGCTGTAGTGTAGCATTAGCTAAAGAGACACCCACAGGACTGACTGAGGAGGCAGCCTGTGATGAAGGTCAACCTACCTTTGGTAGTTCAGCCCACAAGATACAAGCTGATAGTGAGGCTCAGGAATCCACAGCCACCTCAGATGAGACAAAGGCCTCGCCGCTGCCTGAGGCTTCTGTAAAGACAGATACAGGAACTGAATCAAAGCCTCAGGGAGTCATTAGAAGTCCCCAAGGGTTAGAACTTGCACTCCCTAGCCGAGATAGCGAAGTCCTCAGTGCTGTGGCTGATGACTCATTAGCAGTGAGCCACAAAGACTCTCTGGAAGCCAGCCCTGTGCTAGAAGATAACTCTTCACACAAAACCCCTGATTCTCTGGAGCCAAGTCCTCTGAAAGAATCCCCTTGCCGTGACTCTCTGGAAAGCAGCCCTGTTGAACCAAAGATGAAGGCTGGAATTTTTCCAAGTCACTTTCCTCTTCCTGCAGCTGTTGCCAAAACAGAACTCTTGATGGAAGTAGCCTCTGTGCGGTCCCGGCTACTCCGAGACCCTGACGGCAGTGCTGAGGATGACAGTCTTGAGCAGACGTCGCTCATGGAGAGCTCAGGGAAGAGTCCCCTTTCTCCCGACACCCCCAGCTCCGAAGAAGTCAGCTATGAGGTTACACCCAAAACCTCAGATGTAAGTACACCAAAACCAGCTGTGATTCATGAATGTGCAGAGGAGGATGATTCAGAAAACGGGGAGAAAAAGAGGTTCACACCTGAAGAGGAGATGTTTAAAATGGTAACCAAAATCAAAATGTTCGATGAACTTGAACAAGAAGCAAAGCAGAAAAGGGACTACAAAAAAGAACCCAAACAAGAAGAATCCTCTTCGTCCTCTGACCCAGATGCAGACTGTTCAGTAGACGTGGATGAACCGAAATGTACAGGCAGTGGGGAGGATGAAAGTGGTGTCCCTGAGTTAGTAACTTCAGAGAGCAGGAAGGTGTCTTCCTCTTCAGAAAGTGAACCTGAGTTGACACAGCTAAAAAAAGGTGCTGACTCAGGCCTCTTACCAGAACCAGTGATTCGAGTGCAACCTCCTTCACCACTTCCATCAAGCATGGACTCCAATTCCAGTCCAGAAGAAGTACAATTCCAGCCTATCATTTCCAAACAATATACTTTCAAGATGAATGAAGAGATTCAGGAAGAACCAGGTAAATCAGAAGGAGAAAAAGATTCTGAATCCCATTTAGCTGAAGACAGTCACGCTGTTTCCACTGAAGCTGCAGATAATTCTTTTGATAAGCTAAACAGAGACACTGATCAGCCAGAAATCTGTGGTGGCCATGGATGTGAGGCCATGAGTCCTAGCAGCTCAGCTGCTCCTGTCTCTTCAGGTCTGCAGAGTCCAACTGATGATGATATTGATGAACAGCCAGTCATCTATAAAGAATCATTAGCTCTCCAAGGCAGTCATGAAAAAGACACAGAAGGAGAAGAGCTTGATGTTTCTAGAGCAGAATCTCCACGAGTAGATTGCCCCAGTGAAAGCTTTTCACCTTCGTCCTCTTTGCCTCATTGTTTGGTATCTGAAGGAAAAGAATTAGATGAAGACATATCCACCACATCTTCTATTCAAAAAACAGAAATCACAAAAACTGATGAAACATTTGAGAACTTACCAAAGGACTGCCCCACTCAAGACTCATCCATTACTACTCAAACAGATAGATTTTCCATGGATGTTCCTGTGTCTGACCTATCTGAGACGGATGAAATCTATGATCGCCAAATAACTAGCCCTTATGAAAATGTCCCTTCCCAATCTTTTTTCTCTAGTGAAGAAAGCAAAACCCAAACAGATGCAAATCACACCACAAGTTTTCACTCTTCTGAAGTGTATTCTGTTACCATCACATCCCCTGTTGAAGACGTTGTGGTGGAAAGCTCCTCTAGTGGAACTGTTTTAAGCAAAGAATCTAATTTTGAGGGCCAGGACATGAATGTGGAATCCCAACAAGAAAGTACCTTGTGGGAAATGCAATCAGACAATGCCTCTTCATCTTTCGAGCCTACTATGTCAGCTACAACAGCAGTTGTTGGTGAACAAATAAGCAAAGTCATCATCACAAAAACTGATGTGGATTCTGATTCTTGGAGTGAAATTCGGGAAGACGATGAAGCTTTTGAGGCTCGTGTGAAAGAGGAAGAACAAAAGATATTTGGTTTGATGGTAGACAGACAATCACAGGGTACCACCCCTGACACCACTCCTGCTAGGACCCCAACTGAAGAGGGGACCCCAACAAGTGAGCAAAACCCATTTCTGTTTCAGGAAGGAAAATTGTTTGAAATGACCCGAAGTGGTGCCATTGATATGACCAAAAGGTCCTATGCAGATGAAAGTTTTCACTTTTTCCAAATTGGTCAAGAATCCAGGGAAGAGACTCTCTCTGAAGATGTGAAAGAAGGGGCTACTGGGGCTGAGCCCCTACCGCTGGAGACATCAACTGAATCACTAGCACTTCCAGAATCAAAAGAAACAGTGGATGATGAGGCAGACTTACTTCCAGATGACCTGAGTGAGGAAGTAGAGGAAATACCTGCTTCGGATGCTCAACTTAACCCCCAAATGGGGATTTCAGCTTCCCCTGAAACACCAACAAAAGAGGCTGTTAGTGTAGGGACCAAGGACCTCCCCACCATGCAAACGGGTGATATGCCTCCTCTGTCTGGTGTAAAGCAGATATCCTGCCCTGACTCTTCTGAACCAGTTGCACAAGTCCAGTTAGATTTTTCCACAGTCACCAGGTCTGTTTATTCAGATAGGGGTGGTGATTCTCCCGATTCTTCCCCAGAAGAACAGAAATCAGTAATTGAAATTCCTACTGCACCCATGGAGAATGTGCCTTCTACTGAAAGCAAATCCAAAATTCCTGTAAGGACTATGCCCACTTCCACCCCAGCACCTCCATCTGCAGAGTATGAGAGTTCCCTTTCTGAAGATTTGCTATCCAGTGTAGATGAGGAAAATAAGGAGGATGAAGCAAAACCAAAGTCCAAACTCCCTGTCAAAGTACCCCTCCAAAGAGTTGAACAGCAACTCTCAGATCTAGACACCCCTGTCCAGGAGACAGTGGCTCCTCAGGGACAGGACATGACAAGCATCGCACCAGATAATAGAAGCAAATCTGAATCTGATGCTAGTTCTTTGGACTCAAAGACCAAATGCCCAGTAAAAACCAGAAGTTACACTGAGACAGAAACAGAGAGCAGAGAGAGGGCAGAGGAACTTGAGTTAGAATCAGAAGAAGGGGCCACAAGACCAAAGATACTTACATCTCGATTGCCAGTTAAGAGCAGAAGCACCACATCTTCCTGCAGGGGTGGCACGAGCCCCACAAAAGAAAGTAAAGAGCATTTCTTTGACCTTTACAGAAATTCCATAGAATTCTTTGAGGAGATTAGTGATGAGGCTTCCAAGTTAGTGGATAGGCTGACACAGTCAGAGAGGGAGCAGGAACTAGTTTCAGATGATGAAAGTAGTAGTGCCCTGGAAGTATCAGTAATTGAAAATCTGCCACCTGTTGAGACCGAGCACTCAGTTCCTGAGGACATCTTTGACACAAGGCCCATTTGGGATGAGTCTATTGAGACTCTGATTGAACGCATCCCTGATGAAAATGGCCATGACCATGCTGAAGGTATTTGCCAGCCACTGGGATTCCCTGTGCTACGCATGTCATAAAATTGATATAGTTTTTTTGTATGTTGTTTTATTTGATGATTTGTGTCTCATTTTCTTTAAGCTTTCTGTAGTGGCTAATGTGTTTGTGTAAGCCCTTTGTGTTTTGTGCTTTCTTTGTATACTCTTGTCTAAGAAAACAATCTCAAGATTGAGTAATGAGAATGCTTATGGAAAACATAAACATAATAACCAGGCAGCAGTGATCTTGCCTTTCTTTAGCCTCTGCACGTAATAAGGCCATGCGAGCTTTGAGTTTTGTTGTTCTGAAGTCCCGAGCTTAGACTCAAATTAAGCACTTTTGCACATGAATATATTGTATTTTGTTTCGTAGTATGAAGACTCATTGCTTTTCTTCTTACCTTTGCATACTTTAAAATAATTTGTACTTACAATTTTGTAATCATTAGGAAGCCATTTGCTTGAGAAGATTTCACATAACATGAAATTCTAATTGTTGTGGATCTGTTTTTGATTCAGAAAGGTTGGATTTCAGATACCATTGGTAAATACTTTAAGCAAACAAACCTAAGGTAAAAATATGCTTTTCATTTATGTGGTAGATGAATGGAGAATGTACTCTAATTAGATGCAGCAGACAACAAAAACTCAAACTTTGCACAGTTTAAGTTGACTGTGAGGGGATGATGGCTCTTTGACTTATGAAAAAGGAAACCATAGATGGCTTTGAAAAGTAGCCTGTGTTCTTCCAATATCTCTACAATGAAGACTGCCATTCTTAAATTGAGGTTATACAAAATTTCCTATACCATGGTCTAAAATGCTGCCCATCAATCAGTGGGAGTTAAACATGAATGGGAAAATTATAGTTTATAGGAGAGAGTAGTATATAAGCTTAATAGCAAGAAGGCAGAAACTTTGCCCCAAAGATGTATATGCATACAGATACAATATACACATATAAATGCATATGCTTTTATCCCTGTTTCTCCAAGGTCACCAGGACCAAACGCTATTTCTGGCCACACTAATCAGGATGGCCTAATCAACTCATGATCAACATCTCTTGTGAATCCCTGCTGTGTTTCCTTTCAGAAATGACCTGGAAATGATCTGTCCCTCCACAAGCAATAATAAGAGGTCCTAGCCAATTGATCCACTTCTGCATCCCATTTATGATTTCTCTGGTGTTTCGTGAACAAGTGGTGGTCTTCTTGGTGGGCAGTATTCTCTCCAATAATTTAAAAGAAAAGTCATAAGATTAGTAGAAATCAGCAACTTATATAATTATGTCTAGTAACTAGTCTTGATTAAAGAGATATGGAAGCAGATGGTTTTCATGATTCATATTAGATCTATTCCCCATTCCACCCCGGAAATCAGACATGCAATATGATCTGAAATGTAGTATCTAGTTTGTGCTTTCAAATATTTGGAGAAGTGACTTCCTTTCTTTGAATGAATCAGTACTGTGGTTCCTCTCCTGTCATAGACAACCTTTGGCCATTCTGTTTTTGACCTTCTCCAGATCCACAGGATGAGCAGGAACGGATCGAGGAAAGGCTGGCTTATATTGCTGATCACCTTGGCTTCAGCTGGACAGGTAAAAAGAATGAGACCCAGGTTTTCAACAAAATCTGACATAGATGCATCAGTCAAGTGTCATTCACAGCATAAAAGGTACCCCTCGCTTTCTTGAGAAAGAATATATGAAAAGAAGAATAAACTAAGTACCAGAAAACCTGGGCTCTGCATCAGCTATTGGTATATATAGCCCAGGGCAGGCCTTTTATCATTTCTGAGATTTAGAATAATATAACTTTCCATTAGAAGATTTAGAGAATATACCCACCTTCAGGAACCTCCTTTGGCAGTTGTGAATATCTAAATTTGGGGGAGATTATTATGTTTCAAAATAATTTTTAGATGTAATTTTTACCATATTTAATGTGAGATTTAACCAGGGCTCCTTCTTTTATATACCTTATGTCAAAAATCTTCATAGTAAATAGCACTAAAATTTGCTTTGAGTAAGTGTTAAAACACACATGAATGAGATATTTCACTAATATTTTTGAGAGATGAGAGTGTTTATTGTAGAATTTTTATGTTAATAATTTATTAAGGAAAAGTTAATTCTAAAATCAATATACTTTATTTACACATTATGATTTGTAGGTTTTAAAAACTATACACTTTCATCTACCTGTGACTTAACCTATTAAAACAAGATTGTCAGTGTGGCTTTTTTGTTTTAGTCTTTTTTTTTTTTAATATCACTTGTGACTACTTCAAAGAGACAAACATTGTAAAATAATATTCTTCTCCTTTACATTTCTTAGATTTGGTGACGAATAGGAGCCCATAATACTCATAAAGATAACTGATAATTTAGAGTACATGACTGAAAACAGAAGTGGCCACTTTCTCACTTTTAATAATCTTAAAGTAATTCTTACATACTGATCAGACTTAACTAATTTGGGGATTTAGGGGAGAAAATGATACCAAACTATCCCTGATTGACTTACTAGATAACATTCAGAATTATTTATTTTGCTCTTTAAATATCTTTGTATACATACCTACATAGTAAATGCAATATGTATATATTTGGTAAAAATTCACATCCTACCACTATATAGAATGACATAAAATGAAAAGTAAATATGACTCTCACACCTACGTCTGTCTTCTAGCCATGTGCCTCAGAAATAACTGCTAATACCTTCTCATGCTTTTAGAAAAAGTATACAGTGCTTATATTTATGCCTATTATTTAAAAGTAAGAAAAGTTTTACTGAATAATATTCCTCATAAATAGTGTTAACATATACATATGTATTTCATTCTTTTAAGTGGGTATTTAATTCCACTATATGGAGGTTCCATAATGTTATCAATGGCCTCTGTTGATGGGCTTTAGGTGGTTTCCTGGTGATGGCAGTAAATATTCTTGTGCTTTGGTATATTTTTGTGAGTATATCTATAGGGCATATTAGAAGTAGAATTGCTGGGAAAAAGATACATATATTTTTAATTTTGAAAGATATTGTCAAATTGCTTTCAAAAGAGGTCACCCCATTTACACACCCACACACACACACACACACCCCATAATGTATAAGCATCCATATGTAATGGTTTTTTTGTTTATTTTGTTTGTTTTGTTTTGTTTTATTTTATTGAGACAGGATCATGCTCTGTTGCCTAGGCCAGAGTGTAGTGGCACAATCATAGCTCACTGTAACCTCAAACTCGCAGGCTCAAGTGATCCTCCTGGCCCAGCCTCCTGAGTAGCTAGAACCTCAGGCAAACACTACCATACCCAGCTAATTTTTTAAAATTATTTTTTGTAGAAACGGGGTCTCACTGTATTGCCCAGGCTAGTCTTGAGCTTCTGGCCTCAAGCAATCCCTACCACCTCAGCCTCCTAAAGTTCTAGGATTACAGGCACGAGCTACTGGGCCTACCCAACCTATATGGAATGTTAATAGTAGAATTCAAAGGAAAACTTTGTGTCTTCTTCCCTGGATCAGTTAATGCTTCCTCGACCTCTTATTCACCTGACATGAAGTCAAAGACAGGCATTTATCCAACCACCATAATATAGCTACAGCTAGTATTTATCAAAGTATCCAGAAACAGGATTTATAATACTCAAAAACATCACTTATGTTAATTAAAGGGAGAAATGTTTTCTTTCTCTTTTTATCAGTCATTTATTTTCCATTATCTTGCTTAAAAGCATAAGCAAGTATTAATGATCTCGTTTGCATTTTGAAATCAAATGGGCCTGAATTATGCATATCTTATCATCACTGCCTCATACTTATTTTCACTATGCAGTGATCAATTCTATACCCAGTTTTAGGGAAAAAAATCCACAATTAGTACTAGAAGAACAAAGGCACATAAGAGTCACTTCTAATATGTAGAAATTAAAGAACCCAAATACTCACACCACAATATAAAGAACACATCATTTACAAAATCACAAAACAAGGTGTAGAGACTGAAACCTTGAAGTTACTGTGTTTACAAAGTAGTATTTTATCTTCTAGAATTAGCAAGAGAACTGGATTTCACTGAGGAGCAAATTCATCAAATTCGAATTGAAAATCCCAACTCTCTTCAAGACCAGAGTCATGCATTGTTGAAGTACTGGCTAGAGAGGGATGGGAAACACGCTACAGGTAAGTGGGGAACTATATGTGTATTGGGCTAAAGTTGGACATGTCTTGCTCAACAACCGCATCTTGCAAATTCAGTAAAACAGTAAAGAAGCAAATGCCATTAATCCACAGTACAGCAGGTCCTTGAGTAATATCATTTTGTTCAATGTCATCCCCTTATAACGTTGATGAGAAAAAAGAATTAATTCCCAGCAAGGCCACTGTCTGTGCATAGTTTATGTATCCTCCCCATGTCCATGTGGCTTTTTCCCCAGTACTCCAGTTTCCTCCCACATCTCAAAGATGTGTATATCAGTTTCACTGGTATTTCTACATTATCCCAGTCTGCGTGAGTGTGGGTGTGTGTGAGTGCCCCCTGCAATGGGATGGCATCATCTCCCAGGTTGATTCCCATGCAAAGTGCTCTGAGCTGCTGGGTTAAGTTCCAGCCACTTGAGACCCTGAACTGAATAAGGGGATTGGGAAAAGAATGAATGAATTAATACAAATTATTGTCAAATAAAAATGTGTACAGTGTATGATAATTATACAAGTGCATGAAATAAATGATACCTTAGGAAAGTACTCAGCAAGCCCACCATATTTGTTATTGTTTGTTTACGAACGGCATGGTGGGAGGAGGTGCTCCTTACAATTTTCACTTTGTGAAGATTTATTCCTTGATTGAACCCCACCACTACTATGACCGCCATCACTCACTTGTTCCTCAAAAATTGAATAATTATCTTATTTGTGTTTACTAGTCTTTCTTAAATGTATGTGTAACTCACTTTCACTTCAGTGTTTAATATTAGAAGTATTTGGGGTTTTATTTTGAAGTTTGGCCATGTTTTTGTGACCAGAACATTGTTTTCTAAGAATCTATCAATGATGTTGAGTGAGAACTTAGTGAACTACTGTAAGCAAATGAGAACAAGCTACTGTCACTTCTAAAGCATGCATGTTGCATAAAAACTCTTGCACAATATGTGTATGAACAGCATTAAATAACAGCCGTCACTTCTAACAGTAATGTTATTCAAACCGCAATGTTTTTAAAATGTTGATAAGTGGACACAATTGCTTTATTTAGCATTGTTTCACTGGTAGTGCATTACCTTCTGTTTCTGCTTCCTTTACTCATAAATAACATCCAGTCTATATTTATCATTCCTTTTCTTTACATTCTTCTAAGTAGGATTGTCAGATTTAGCAAATAAAAACAAGGACGCCCAGTTAAATTTAAGTTTCAAGTGGTCAGCAAATACATTTTTAGCATAAGCATGTCCCATGTGATATTTGGGGCCTATTTATACTAAAGAAGTATTTGTTTTTTATCTGAAATTCAGGTATGGCAGGTGTCCTGTATGTTATCTGACAATTCTACTTTTAGGACTTGTGCTCATGCTGTGCCACTTTTTTTAATATGCATATCTCTTTTGTCTGTTGGCTTATTTTTACAAAGACTTTTAATTAGGCTTTGATTGTTTTTTTCTGTACAGATATCAAAAATTGAGTGAGGCAGTTAAGTGAAAGAGATTTCTAAGAGTACCTCTCAGAAGTAATAAATGCTCTTTCTCTAATGTGTCAGATACGAACCTCATTGAATGTCTCACCAAGATCAACCGAATGGATATTGTTCATCTCATGGAGACCAACATAGAACCTCTCCAGGAGCGCATCAGTCATAGTTATGCAGAAATTGAACAGACCATTACACTGGATCATAGTGAAGGTCAAACTGTGTGTGTGTGTGTCTATGTGTGTGTGTGTGTATATGTTGTGTCTGTGTGTGGTTAATTGAGGCACTGGACCTACTGTCTTTTTTTGTTTGTTTGTTTTTCAGAAGGGAGACCGTGGCCTATGGTGATCATATGTTCTTTTCCTTGCTACCCTGAAGCTTTCCTCCCTGTTTTACACACCCTCCCACCTCCACTTCATGCTCATTCTTTGTTATTTCACAGATAACAAAATGATCCATTGAATTCCCTTTCCTCAGTTCCATGGTGGCACTTCTTACACTTGTATTTTTTTACGCTACCTTAGCCATGTATTTCTAGGCTCACAACTAGGACTATATCACTACCAGTGACTGTACATTTCCTCTTTTACTTCTGCACCGACCGTGCTTCAGACCCTTGGGGACCTCCAGCCATTGGCCCTACCACATTTTCAGTATTAAAGTTTCCCTAACCTGTTCTCATTCGTTTGTGGTCTCTAACACTGTTTTGTTTTGTTTTTTTTTTTCTCTCTCTTATCTCTATTTTACTTATTATCTTCTTCCTTCAAACCTCCAACACTGTCTCTTTTCTTTATTTATACCCAGCTGATGACCAGGCTTCCTATTTCTTAGAAAATATAGGAATAATCAGAAGCAAAGGTCTATATTTTTCCACCACAAATCTACCAACATGAGTGCATCTCAATGCATGTACTTACTCTACCTTCCATCCTATTAAAATGGATAAAATTTCCTCACTTTGCTAAAGCTATCATCTCTTGTTTTATACTAGATTTCATCTCCTTTTACGCAATCAGGGACTCCATTCCTGCAAGTATCCATTTTGGCTTCCTACCACTAGACCATACCCAACAGCATTAAACCATGCTTTAATAGATCCCATCTTTAAAAACAAAACAAAGCAAATAACTCCTTTTACCCTATATGTCCCCCCTGTTTTACTGCTGTTACTCCATCCATTTGATAGGAAACCTCTTAAAGGAATAGTCTGAATTTCTTGTCTCTGCTTCCTCTCTTCCCATTCCCTCTAAAACTCTCTGTAATTCACTCTAATCAATCTTATAAAATTCACCTATTGTTTCCTCATTGTCAAGCCTAGCAGGCAGTTCTCATTCTTCCACTTACTTTGCCACTGAGTAACATTTGGCATGAATAGTGAAGCCTTTCTTCTTAAAACATTTTCTTTACTTAAATTTCATGACATTCTTGCTTCTTCTTCTTCTTTTTTTTTTTTTCTACTTTACTGGCTGTTTCTCCTCACTCTTTTTTTCTGTGGCAGTTTACTTCTCATGGATATGAATGATGATGTATCTTAGTGTTGGGCAAGAGCCTCACAGCTTGTCCTCATCTCCCACCTCTCTCCTTATGGCACTGGTCCTGCACGCCTGGCCTCCTTGCCATTCCTCTGCTTTCTCCTGTTTCAGGGCCCTGGTATTTTCTGCTTCCTCCACCCTAGCATGTTCTTTCCTCAGATCAACATATACTTTTTTCTCACTTTATTTAGGTCACTGCTCAAATGTTACCTCCTAAGCAGAGCCTTTCCTGACAAGTCTATTTAAAATACTAGCCCCATTTATCCTCTACCTTTATCCTGGTTTGCTTTTCTCCCAATATTTATCATAAATATATATCTGCAGAAATGCAAGTTCAGTGAGGACAGAAGCTTTTTCTATCTTGTTCACTGCTATATATCCAGCATCTAAGGAGCACATACTACGTAGTTGATGCTCAATATATATCTGTTGAATAAGTGAGTCAATAGATGAATGCCAGTCACTCCTCTGCTAAACATCTTTCAATGACTCCTCATTTCCCTGGATATAATGAAATTCCTTAGCCTGTCATAAAAGACTCTACATAAAAAGAGTACTATCCTCATAGGCTAGAGTGAGGATTAATCAAGTTAATACTTGCAGCGCACTTGGAATGGTGCCTAACAGAATAAATTTTCAGTATATGTTAGCTATTATTTGTTATGATGATTATTAACTGTACTCTTCTTACTCTTCAGATTCTGTGCTTTGACTATCTCAGTCCATTCCCACTTACCATCAGGTCTCCTCGGCATGTAACACACTCTGCATTTTCTTTCCAAATTCTTACCCCATGTTAGGTGCTCCCACACTCATTGACTGGCACCTATGACCCAGTTGCTCTGCATTGGAATTAACTCTTACTTGCATGGACTCTTCTACATGATCAGTATCTTGAAGGTGGATGCAGTGTCTTCTTCGTCTTTGTAATCCATCAGCCCCATCTCAGGATGTAACACATAGTAGTTACTTAATAAATATCCATTCAATATAGGTAAGCTTCAACTAAATACTTAAATAATTCTCCCTTTAGGGTTCTCAGTACTTCAAGAGGAGTTATGCACTGCACAGCACAAGCAGAAAGAGGAACAAGCTGTTTCTAAAGAAAGCGAGACCTGCGATCACCCTCCTATCGTCTCAGAGGAAGACATTTCTGTTGGTTATTCCACTTTTCAGGATGGCATCCCCAAAACTGAAGGGGACAGCTCAGCAACAGCACTGTTTCCCCAAACTCACAAGGAGCAAGTTCAACAGGATTTCTCAGGGAAAATGCAAGACCTGCCTGAAGAGTCATCTCTGGAATATCGGCAGGAATATTTGTGAGTTTCCAAAGAAGGCCTGTCAAATGTAATACCAAAGAAACAGGCTAATGTGGATGCCAGGCATATATAAGCATAACTAGTTTTTAAATAATTTTAAAATGACCCTACCAATCACAAGTGCCAGAGCTAAAGGAAAAACAAAAGCATTAACATGTAAGAGACATAATTGTGACAGTGTTTGGGGCACAGACCTACAAGAACCAACTTCCAGAGCTGTGACTTTGAACAAGTCCTTAAGTGCTTTGAATCTCCATTTCCACATCTGTAAATTATAGTAATAATACACACTTGACTCATCTCACAGGGTCAAAAGTGTGTTTATGAATGCTTCATCTAAACTGTAAAATTCCCTGTAGATGACATGGCCATGACTTATAATATTGCTGCACCTCATTTGCTCTGTAACACTTCAAATATGGAGCTCATCATGCCATTGCTGGTTAGGAGTGTGATCAGTGATGATGTAGCTACCACAGCCAATGGTGCATTTCAACCAATGCACTGTGAGGTGCATATGAGGGGACTAGCCATAAAAATATAAATGCAATGCAAACTAGCCACATAGAATAAAAGACTATTAAAATGTGTTGGAATAGAGTTGGGGTGGGAATAAAGATAAGTCTTATGAAGAGCTTCTGGCTGAAGGAAGCTACAGAGCGTAATTCAGCTCAGAATTTAAATTCCAGCCTTTATGGAAGCCAAGGAAGAAAGAGTTGTGTAATTGACATTGATTGTCCAGAAAAAGAAAACAAATTGTGAGAAAGGCCAACATATCCCTAAACCTGAAGTCTGAGAATAGGGTGTCATGAGATTGTATCAAAGCATTTCACTTGTCATTTGGTGAGTTTTATGGTCACTGACATGAGAAGAGGATGAAATGGGTAATGAAATTACCTCTTCTTCTACTGAGCCACCCTTGCCCCATCAACCTGTAGGTTTTAAGGGTGAGCATAAAGAAAATATAAGTAAGAAGGAGAAGGACTAAGGAAAAGATGGGAAGAAGAGGAGAGGATAACAGAGACATTGTAGGCATTTAATATCTATGGAGTGATAGATTGCACTAAATACCAAAAGAAGGCACAGAAAAGGCAAATAATCTTACTTAGCAGGTGAGGTTATCAAAGTTATATTGGAGTAACTCCAGACTATCCATGAAAAAAGTTTCCATGTCAACAGATGCCTCTATTATTAAATGAAACAGTTTTTCAGAGGTATAATAAGAATTTCCTTGTATTTGTAGTTATGATAACTATATTAACATGGGGATTTATTTAATTCTGCCAAATTTTGATTCTTGCTTCAAAAGCCTTATTATCTACAAATACTTATGTAAAATTCATCGCATCCTCAATATCACCTTGAGTTATAAAAGAAAAGATGAAACTATAACTTACGTACATTGTAGAGGTTGGGTAACTGTAATACATTTTAGGATAATTTTCATCTTTAGAATAATACATCACTCTCTGCCAGTGCTAGATCTCAATGAGCTACAACTCTATATCTCGTCAGATTATTTTTCTTCAAATGCCTTTCTTGGCCAAATGTACAAAAACTATTTTGACACTCATAGACTATGGAAAAACCAGCTCCATCTTACCTTTCAATTTGCTTGCTTGAGCAGGAGGTAAAATGCAAATGTCCCTGAAGTCTCATTTGACTTTTTCATTCCAGTGTGACAACTCCAGGAACAGAAGCATCAGAGACTCAGAAGGCTACGACAGTACCTGGCTCTCCCAGCAAGACACCTGAGGAAGTTAGCACCCCTCCAGAGGAGGACAGGCTGTACCTCCAGACCCCAACATCCAGTGAACGGGGAGGCTCTCCCATCATACAAGAACCCGAAGAGCCCTCAGAGCACAGAGAGGAGAGCTCTCCGCGGAAAACCAGCCTCGTAATAGTGGAGTCTGCTGATAACCAGCCAGAGACCCATGAAAGACTCGATGAAGATGCAGCTTTTGAAAAGGTAAGACATTCCTCTCCACTTTCTCGCCCACCTGTAACAAAGCTACAAATCTTCCAGTTTCCATTTCTCTGATGGTTTGTTTTTTTCACTTCAAAACAAAAAAGTTAACCAAATTAATTAACCTGGCACATGGAAATCCTCAATCCCTTTTAAAATCTGAGAGTCGATTAATCTAGAAGAAATGGTGCACAGTTCCAGTGCTAGTGATTTGATCATAAGCCCTGATCTTATCACTGGAAAGTCTTTTGCTAAGAAAAAATGAACACGGTGGTGAAACAACATATCTGGGGGAGCTTTTCAAAATTAGTAAAGTTGGGCATGAAAGTTGGTGGCAGAGATTAACAGCAACAGGTAAGTCTGCCATGGGATGTGCTGGGACCAGCAGGCTTGTTAGATCTCTGGCCTGTCAGGTGATGAGCACGTAGACTGTGGATATTGGGTGGGGTTTAGCTGCCAAAATAAATTTTTCTCATTAGAAGCAAGATGATTTTCAAGTTAGATTTTTTTAATAAGATTTATTTTGGGAATGACTGAGAAAAAAAAACATTGTACCTAAACTTACAGCAGTTTCTAAATGTACAAATGCCTGACAGTGGCATATTTCATAGCACTTCCTTTGTCATTAAGTGAGTTTTAAAATTGTGAAAAGGGGTGGGGACCATGGTAAGAAAGTAATCAACCATTGGCCGGGCACGGTGGCTCATGCCTATAATCCCAGCACTTTGGGAGGCCGAGGCGGGTGGATCATGAGGTAAGGAGATTGAGACCATCCTGGGTAACATGGTGAAACCCCGTCTCTACTAAAAATACAAAAAAATTAGCCAGGTGTGGTGGCGGGCGCCTGTAGTCCCAGCTACTCTTGGAGGCTGAGGCAGGAGAATGGCGTGAACCTGGGAGGTGGAGCTTGCAGTGAGCTGAGATCCCGCCACTGTGCTCCAGTCTGGGTGACAGAGCAAGACTCCGTCTCAAAAAAGTAAATAAATAAATAAAATAAATTAAAAAATAAAAAAAAGAAATTAATCAACCATTTTTCTCAAAATATGGTCTATATAGTTCACATACCTCAGAATTGATTGGAGAGCTTGATCCCTTCTCAGAAATCCTGAATTAGAATGAATCCCAGGGTAGGGAGAGAGAACAAGAATTTGCCTTTTAAATAACTCCCCAGAGGATTCTCAGCCACAAAAAAAGTATGAGAATCTGTTTGAATTAAACTTAATTTAATATAAATTAAATTAGATATTGTTTTTTCTTTTAAAAAGTAATAGAATTCAAAAACACTTTATATTTCAAAGTGTTTTTCGAGCAGCTTAGCAGTAAAAGAAGAGTTAAGTGAAATAATTGAAACTTTGGGAAAAATAAAATGAAACAGCATATCTTTGGGTTGAAGACACACATGTGTTTTTGTTCACTGTAAGAATGAGATCTGCTGCTAGGAATTGTCTGAAATCATAACTAAAATTAGGAAAGATCCAGGCAGATGAGAACTGTGTCCTGATTTTTGGCAGTTTTCTTAAATAATAAATTCATGCCATGAATGAATTTTTATTCCAAGTTTGCTTTTGCATAGAATTATTCATCTCTCAAATTCTTGGCTTGAATGAGTACTACTAAAAATGTTTCATACATGTTATCTGGGCTAAAAGTTACCAAATTTAGCCTAAGAATCCATAGGCTTAGTGAAGTTAGACTTGAAACAATTATCTGGATAATACATATGTTTAATCTATACTAAAGGAATACATTTGTGTAAATCATTCTGAATTTCACATAATTTATACAGGCCTGTTCGACTTATTCTTGATGAGTATCAGGCATTTCTTGTAAGTTTCCCATGTGGACCCTTATTTCTCATAACCCTAACTTGGGCATCCAATTTTAATCACTTTTCTTGCCAACCATATTTCTAGGCAGTAGATTCCTGATTATATTTAAAACATAATTTGGTTTAGAATTTACATGTCTTCCTTTAGCAGAGAAAAATGTAAACATAAAACTTGAGTTTTACATTATGTTAAGTAGATCTACTTGAGCTTTGTCTTTTTTAAAAACAAAATTTCTTTAGGGAACAGTAATTCAATATATGACTCCTAAGGTAATATGTGCTAAGCTAAAATTATGTTTTTTGCTTTATCTCTGGCTTTTGGCCAGAGCCCTAAAATACTATTGATCACTTTATCTCAACTTCCCCGTAAAATTATTCTAATATTATTCAGAGTCTGCCTTTTTTGATGCCAGGGAGATGCACTATTGGTTAGATAATAGCTACAGGAAACTTTGATTCCTGCAAAAAGTTCTGCTAGAAACAGGGGATATTCCTATACCTTTGGGTGAATAATTCCAAGCCTAAGCACAAGCGTCAGTGGCTCATAAGTGTTTACTGAACTGCTTAGGGTCTATGTTTACAGTCAGGCTTTTTTTTTTAGGAGTTTAAGTAAAAGAAGTCACGTGAGTAAGCTGCTTATTATTTTGGAGAGATTTTCACAGATGGGTTCTCCAACAGCTCTCAGAATTCCAGAATTTTTTTTCATTCATTGAACAACAAAAAAACAAAAGAAACCAAAACAATCTATTTTTGTTGATGTCTGAGACCAGCACATACTTGTTTTCACCTCTACCAACTTGTCCACCGAAGATTCCGTGAATAAAAGTTTCACAATACAATGTAAGCTAAAGAAGAAACCAGTAGTGAAGTCATTCCTTAGCATGTTAAACAAAGCAATGCTTCCATGCTTCCACCAGGAGCTAACAGAGGAATTAGGGGAGCTGGAGGCCAGCTCAGATGAGGAGGCGATGGTAACTACCAGGGTTGTCCGCCGGCGAGTGATTATTCAGGTACCCGCTGTTAAATTACTGCACGTCAGGGACAGTCCTGTCCCCATACCCTTAGAGAGTGATCAGCCTGGATCAATGAAGGCTTGGCATGTTCCTTAGGTACTGCATGGCCATTCAAAAGCAGACTCCTTAATGCTCATAAGTTCTGTTTGCAAAGAAATGCAGTGGTTCCAGCTTTCCTCCAAGAGAGCCACCAAGCAAGAGCAAGACTTGGCTTCTTCACTTCCACCCGCCTCACCTCTCGCTTAACTATTTTTGTTGAAGTTTGATCTAACTTTGGTCAGATTCTCCTAAGCATGTTATTACCCACCTGCATTTTTCTTTTAAACAAACTAGTTGACAGGATTTTGTATCTCAGCAATGCTTCTCAACATCGCCTTTGGTTTTCTAACATTCCTCACATTAGAAGCACTTGGGAGTAGTTCCTCAGAATTGGTGCCAAACAGTGCAGTGACCCTTTTCTCTCAACTGTTTAGGGAGACGATATGCCTGAAATACCCCCAGAAACAGTCACAGAAGAAGAATACATTGATGAGCATGGACACACCGTGGTAAAGAAGGTATTGTCTGGTATATCCTAACAGGCTTGATTACAAACTTCTTGTTTAAAATGTATCAATTCCATGGTACTGTCACACAAAAATAAGATACACAAATGAAATACCTTTCAGGTTACTAGGAAAATCATTAGGCGGTACGTATCCTCTGAAGGCACAGAGAAAGAAGAGATTACGGTGCAGGGAATGCCACAGGAACCTGTCAACATCGAGGAAGGGGATGGCTATTCCAAAGTTATAAAGCGTGTTGTATTGAAGAGTGACACCGAGCAGTCAGAGGTGAGACAACTTGATTCTCTAAAACCCATTTTATGGAGAGGAACAAAATAGAACTCAAAAAAGATGAATGAGATGGTTTATTCACATTTTCCTCACATCTCCCTTTTATATGGCAGTTTGCTTTTAGTTGCACGTTCCGTTTTTGTTTTCGTGATTCTATGTGATTTTAAGACAGCCATCAGCGAGACTTCTAGGCATTATACTCATTGTTTTTGTTTGGTCTTTTTAAAAATATCGATTCTTTATTTAATTCATGGTTGACCACTGCAGAAATCCAAAAGTCAAATTTTGAAAGAATACAATGCTATTTGCTGGGCAAGCAGTACCCTGTGGAGAGACTGTGTAGAAATGCACTGTGGGGCTTGTGCCTGCTTGGCACACCAGCCTTCTGAAAGTCACTCTAGATAAATATTTGATGTTCAGATTTCTGCATTGCAGAGTTACTAAAATCAGGATCTAGAAACTCTTTGATTTATCCTTTTTGCTTTTTGGTTTTTGTTTTGAGACAGAGTTACACTCTGTCACCCAGGCTGGAGTGCAGTGGCATGATCTCAGCTCACTGCAACCTCCACCCCGGGTTCAAGCGATTCTCTTGCTTCAGCCTCCTGAGTAGCTGGGATTACAGGCACCCACCATCACACCTGGATAATTTTTGTATTTTTAGTAGAGACAGTATTTCACCATGTTGGCCAGGCTGGTCTTGAACTCCTGACCTCAAATGATCCACCTGCCTCAGCTTCCCAAAGTGCTGGGATTACAGGCATGAGCCACTGCACGTGGCAATCTATACTTCTATTTATTTCTGTTTTACTTCCCTCTTTCAGGGACATATTTACTTGCTTCAACAACAATTTGTGGAATTCTCACTATTTTCCATTCATTCACATCCTCAAAATTTTATATTATACACATGAGATTCTCCAGAAATCTACTTTTCAGTTTCTCATAGCTTTTAGAGCTCCTCCTTTGGGGGCTAATTTTATCTTCATAATACCAAAAGAAATTATTTAAATGTGAGAAGAGTTTTTTCATATTATTATGTCTGTATTACACTGAGCAGTTTCTTATTCACAAAACTGATAACTTTTTGTTCAAATAACTAATTAAGTTTGCTTTGGTGTTGTGGAGATACAGTCATGATGTACATATTACCAATAGGTTATAGTTTGTTTTTTTCTAACTCTGCTTCTGATTGCTGTTTTTTGGAAAGCCAGTATGTAACATTATAGTTTTGTCCTTTGTTTTTTAACATAGAAAAAAATTCATCATAGTTACATTTGGCAATCAGACATTGTCTATTGTGTGTCCTTCAATCATTAGGTCACTTTGTGTGAGCCCAGCATTTTGTCCAGTACCTCACAATTTCAGGCTGAGCCAGTGGAAGGCCGTAGAGTCAGCAAAGTTGTTAAAACAACTGTGGTACGTGGAGAGAGGATGGAGAAACATCTGGGGGATTCTAGTTTAGCCACTGATCTTCCTTCAGCCAAAGATGACTTTGAAGAGGTATAGAAGCATCATCATTTTGTCTTTGTGTGTGTGTGTTTTATGTTTTTTTGCATTTGAAAAGAAAATCGTTTGTCATTGTGCAATTCCATACATGAGTTCATGGAAATGTACAGAACAATTCAAGAGGGTAGAACTCCTGTTTGAATAACTTGCAGAGTAATGTTTCCTCAAACTGTGGTGTTCATTGGTGTCACCTTAACAGCTTTTAGAAGTCCAGATAACTAGGATTTGCTTCTGCTGAATCAGACTCAGAATCTCTGGAGCTGGGATATGATTATACATCTTGTTTAAAAGTCACAGAAGTGTCTTGCTTTGTAAATTAATAAGGGAAAGAAATAAAGACATTGTAAATTATATTTGCTAGCCAATCTTTTCAGATATTATCTGTGATAGACCTTAAAGAAAATTCAGATATATTCCATGTCCATAAAATTTAAAAGCATTTACAATTATTTAAGTTCTGGTTTCCAACAATTAGAAAATGGGTCCGCAGTAACAGATCCACAAACTCTACTAAAAATCCCCAAATTCTGAAAACCAAAACAAATTTTGTAAGTTAATTTGGAAGTAAAACTTGAAATAAATTGGCATGGAGCTATTCTGACATGAAGCCTTTTTACTCTACCTAGAGTGAATGTTTAGTGATCTAAAAATGCGTTTGATTGCAGGATGTCACCTTCACCTCCTCTGGGGTGTTAGCATTATACAGTACAGTCATGTATTGCTTAACCCACTTATGCCAGAGGTTGCAATTTTTTAAATTTTTGCGTGAGTGAAAAATCAGACCTTGGTGATGACCTTGAGCAGTAGGATATAAATAACTTCCACATGCCTAGCGATCACTAGGCATAAGTGGGTTTTATGACAGGGATAGGTGCTGGGAAGTACTCGTTAGACAACTTTGTCATTGTGTGAACATCGTAGAGTGTCCTTACACAAACCTAGGTGGCATAGCCTAGATGTACATCTACTACACACCTAGGCTGTAAGGTATAACCTATTGCTCCTAAGCTACAAACCTGCACAGCATGTTACTGTGCTGAATACTGTAGGCAATTATAACACAATGGTAAGTATTTTCCTATCTAAAAATAGAAGAGGTTTAGTAGATATACAAAATAAAAGATTAAAAATGTTCTACCTGTATAGCATACTTCCCATGGAGCTTGCAGGACTGGAAGTTGCTTTGGGTGAGTCAGTGAGTGAGTGGTGAGTGAGTGTAAAGGCCTAGGACATTACTATACACTACAGTAGACTTTATAAACACTGTACACTTAGGCTATGTTTAAATTTTCCTTTAAGTTTTTAAAATCTTCTTTCTGCAATAATAAATCAGCTTACTGTAACTTTGACTTTATAAGCTTTTACATTTATTTTAACTTTTGACTCTTTTGTAATAACACAAGTTAAGATGCAAACATGTTGCACAGGTGCATTAAAAATTGTTTTTCTTCATATTCTTGTTCTATACACTTTTTTCTGCTTTTAATTTTTTAAATGTATTATTTGTTTCTACTTTTTAAGAATTTTTTTTTTTTTTGCTAAAAACAAAGACCTAAATATGTACATTAGCTTAGGCCTACACAAGGTCAGAATTATCAATATCACTGTCTTCCTCCTCCACATATTGTCCCACTGGAAGGTCTTCAGGAGCAATAACACATGGAGTTGTCATATCCTAAGAAAACAGTGTCTTATTCTGCAATACCTCCTGAAGGACCTGCCAGAGGCTCCTTGATAATTAACTGTTTTTTAATAAGTAAAAGGAGTACATTATAAAATAGTGATAAAAAGTATCACTTTTATAATACTTGATAATGATAAGTGACTGTTACTGATTTATGTATTTGCTATGCATAGTAAATGTATTTACCATACATAAACCAGTAACATAGTCATTTATTATCATTATCAAGTATTATGTACCCTACATAATTGTATGTGCTATGCTTTTATATGATTGGCAGCTTAGTAGGTTTATTTACACCAGCATCACCACAAACATCTGAGTAATACATTGCACCATGAAGTTAGAACAGCTATAGCATTGCTAGGTGACAGGAATTTTTTTAGCTCCATTATAATGTTATGGGACCATGTCATATATGCAGTCCATTTTTAACCAAAATGTCATTATGTAGCATGTGACTGCATATGCATTATATTACCTTGCTAAAATCCAAAAGGGAAAAAAAAATCTAAATTTTGAAACACATCTGGTCCCAAAGTTTTGACTAAGGGATCCTGGGCATGTGCAAACATCTACAAAGTACTTTCGCTATTGGAACATTTTGACACTAAATGCTATATGTGTGTCCTCTACTATACCCATAATATGTATTGAAATCATATATGAATTCATTGGATTATTAAAAGCAAACCTTTTTAAATACTTTTAGTTTTCACATTTTGACAACTGGCAATCTTGAATGGTCAAAAATGAATTATCTATGTTATACTGTTTGGGCCTTGTTTGCTTATTTTTGCCTCTGGTTATTATATTTATCATTAAAATCTCCACTGTAAAAAGGAGTTGGGTGAAGCAAGGAGGAAATTGAAAGTCAATCCATATGGATGTTAGTTAGCAGCTTTTGTAAAGTAAAATAACAAATCTCCCACACAAATGAGAGAAACTAAAAGGACTTGTTAAATAAAACTCCAAACTTAAATCTGCTTCTAGGAATTGTATTTATTTATCCTTTCAAGTTTATGTTTTCATACTGACTATGAATAAAGCAAAGCAATAGATTGTTTGAAAGTGTATAGTTTATGATGAGCTTTGTCTTTTCTTTTCTTCTTACTTCAGGCTTTGAGTTACACAGGTAGCCACATGAAAGTCCACTTACCCAGTTTAGTAGAGAATGAAATCCTGAAAGAGGATGGATCAATAATTAAAAGGTTTGGGTTAGCATGGGGTGATGCTTTGCCAACTAACACCATAAAATTTTTTCCATTTTTAAGAAAAGAAGGAGAGAATCCCTACATCTACCCTAAAGCGGATAGAGAACTGCCTGTATCATAGAGCTTTGGTCAAGTACTGGATCTATCAAAGTGTCATCCCTGTAGTATCCTCTTGATACTTTAAACATAATACTAAGTCATAGCAAGAATGAGACTCATGCTTATACAGTCTGACTCCTTGGGTTTTAGCAAGTCATCAACTTAGTTGAAGCCAGCCTGCTGGTATTCCATTGTGTTGATAGATTCAGAGAGCATAGGAAGAAGAATCTAATTGATAGATCACAAATTAATTTTGTGACCAGCTATATTCAGCTCAATCTTAGTAAATCATTACTTTGAATGGTTTGTGGTTTCTTTTAACGGCTGCTGTATGATTCTGCATGTGAGTGGCAAATAACATAAGCATGAGTTTGATACCCATGAAACAAATGTACCTAGCAATGCTGAAACCTAGGGCTTTAGTGAGTTAAGCAAGTGTCATGAAAGCAGTAAGCAGTACATTTTTGTGCTTATACAAGGGGGCTAACTGTGAGGCACACTGGTCTGCCCTGGTCTCTGTTACGGATTTGATGTATAAACTTGGGCACTGTTCCATAGATCTACTCTCACTTCTCACTGGTCCTCTAACAGCACTGTAAGTATTGAGATTAATAAAATGTGCTCAGCTTCTCAGTGAAAAGACACAATGGAAATCCAAGTTACCATCGTGCTTTTCACTTCACTGAAAAGGGGAGAAAGATTGTCATTCAGAGTATGCTACAAAACTATTTTAAGCCTTTAGAACATAATAATTAGAACAGCAAAATTAAAGGTTCTGTCCCAATTCCACCCTCCAATCAAATGGGAAAAGAGCAGCAGCTAGGAATTTAAAAGAGTGTAATTGCTCTCACAGAACTTAAAAAATGCTACGTGAATTAAGGATAAAATGCCTTTTATACTCTCAACTTTTAAGTCTTTTATTCAATTATTCAGATGAAACCACATAATCCACGCATACCCTAACATCATGGGCTCTTCAAACTGGAATAGATTTAGAGATCAATTAATCCAAAGTTCTCAATTACGGCTGGTGAATTTGAAGCCAGGAATATAGACAACTCCATAGAATTCCCACAGCTAGTTAGTTGTGGAAGCTAGTTAGTTACGGAACTCTATTTGTGATGTACAATGCTTTTTTATATACATTGTTAAAGACATCATATACATGTGTATATTCAGAAACACATTGGCCTACATTTGCCTGCACAGAATATCACGAAATGGCCTATAATGGAGGCTTAACCCCTGGCATCAATGCTATAAGGGCTTCTACTAACTCTTAGTAGAAATAGTCAGAAATGTGCCTTTTTGAAGAAAAATAAATGGTTGCTGAATATTTAGGAAAACATCAGATTTAAATCATTGGAATCAAATTTCAGCAAGAACAAATTTAAGTTTGCTTCCAGATGCAGAACAATTCATATAGTATTAAAGAAAAAGGGAGAGTAGAAGAATGTAAGGGAAGAAGGAAGATGGAAACAAGGATGTCCAAAAAAAGCTGAAAGTATTTTGGCTGAAGTAAGTTATTTTTTAAAAACCAGGATGATCGTAACAAATACATAGAGGTATTGGATAATGGCAGAACTTCCAGCTTCTTAACACTGGGAATCTATAAGGAAAATGCTGGGTAAAGCTACAAAAACTGATCATTTCCTACAGAGGTTTTAAGTGAAGATGCATGATGTATGGTTATGGGGACTCAGGCTCTGGAATCGTTGACTCTCAGCCCCACTCATGCTAACTCTGTTATTTTTTATTTGGACTATTGCTAAAATTCTCTGAGATTCAATTTCCTTATTTTTTATAATAATAGTGTCTGGCCCATAAAACACATTCATCAAATACTTGTGGAATGAGAACCTGCATTTAGAAGTATATAGTGAAAAAGGCTGCTCTGCCTATGGAGTAGCCTTTTTTTGTTCCCTTCCTTGCCTAATAGCAGAACCTCCAGCTTCTTAACACTGGGAATCTATAAGGAAAATGTCAAAATACAAAAACTGATCATTTCTACAGAGGTTTTAAGTGAAGATGCATGATGTATGGTCATGGGGACTCAGGCTCTGGAATCGTTGACTCTCAGCCCCACTCATGCTAACTCTGTTATTTTTTATTTGGACTATTGCTAAAATTCTCTGAGATTCAATTTCCTTATTTTTTATAATAATAGTGTCTGGTCTATAAACACATTCATCAAATACTTGTGGAATGAGAACCTGCATTTAGAAGCATAGCAGAAAGGCTGTTTGCCTATGAGTAGCCTTTTGTTCCTCTGCCTAATATACTTGCTTTTACTTAAAAAAAAGAAGAAGAAGAAGAAGAAAGAAGAAAGAAGAGGAGGAGGAGGAGGAGAAGAAGAGGGAGGAGGAGGAGGAGGAGGAGAAGAAGATGAAGAAGAAGAAGAAGAAGAAGAAGAAGAAGAAGAAGAAGAAGAAGAAAGTGAAAAGAGCTGAGAATGAGCAAATTACAATATAATTACTTTTAAGTACAGTTACAGGAAAATATTAGTATGACTTAAAATTAGTATGACTATACAAAAGTTATAGCTCTTGGCCCAATGCAGTGGCTCACACCTGTAATCCCAACACTTTGGGAGGCCAAGGTGGACAGATCACCTGAGCTCAGGAGTTCGAGACCTGCCTGGCCAACATGACAAAACCCTGTCTCTACTAAAAATACAAAAAGTTAGCCGGATGTGGTGGTGGGCACCTGTAGTCCCAGCTACTCAGGAGGCTGAGGCCAGAGAATCGCTTGAACACGGGAGGCAGAGGTTGCAGTGAACCGAGATTGCACCAATGAACTCCAGCCCGGGTGACAGACTCTGTCTCAAGAAAAGGAGTTATAGTAACCACCAGTCTATAAGGGAGGCAAGTAAACAACAGACGGTTAAATGGCAAGAAATACACAGAATGAGCAACAAGCGTGAGACTCTGAGAATCTGGAGGAAGCAGTTGTCTGTCAATGGCTTTTCTCTTTTCCCCTTCCTCCCCCACCATCTCCAGATGAAGCCTTAGAGAGCTGGGCAGATCATCTTTTGTTGGTAGCCACCTTCTTATATATTGGTAGACTAATATTTTAGTTTTTAAAGACCGATGCCTCATAGAAAAGTTCTCTGAAAATAGAATTTTGGGAAGTTTGGGTGAGGTTGTGACTGTAAGGTTTAAGCTGGCAGCTAAGGTGTTTCAAATAAATTAAAAACTTTTTTTTAAGCCTGTCAGAAGGTACTTATGGTACTATTTCAGAATGAACCAAACTCTATTAAGTCAGGGCTACTTAATCAAACCATGAATGATTTTATGGTTAGTTTTCAAGAAGATCAAATTAAAGCATGCTTTCATTTATTTAAAATTTTTCTTAAAGAATTAAAAAATACTCGTTGTTCCAAAACACTCTTTAAAAAATCTCACGAATCGTTTTAGAGAGGGGAGCTGTGTTTAAAAGAAAGACATAAAAAGATATCTACAGTTTGTTATGCTGATAGTTTGGTGTGGAAACATCTAAAGGTAAGACATTAAGTACTCAGTGTAATGGTCACCTTCATACCTAACAGCTGCCCTCTAGCAGTGAAAAGAGCGTAATTCTCTCTTGTCTGCTTTTCTCCAGGACAACAATGAGTAAAGCCATTACACAGAAGAGGGCTGTGGTGAAGGACCAGCATGGAAAACACATTGACTTGGAGCACCTGGAGGATGTACCAGAAGCACTAGACCAGGACGACCTCCAGCGCGATCTCCAGCAGCTCCTTCGGCATTTCTGCAAGGAGGACTTGAAGCAAGAGGCCAAGTGAGGGGCTGCCCAGTTCTCACACCAGAAACCACACATTCACTCAATATGCAGCTTCCTGTTTCAGTAGAGGAGTGACCTAACTGGCCTAATTAATGGGATACCCCGACATTTCCACTGTTAGCAAATATACGGCATTTTGTTTTAGTTTTCCCCCATCCTCTTTAACTATAAAGCTAATTTGTGACCAAAGATGGCATCCTTCATACTGGATGCTGTATCCAATACTTTGTTGTGTCTGTGCTAACCTGGGAACTGGCCACCTCCATTGTTCTTTGCTTCTGCACAAGATCCATGAAAATCCATTGATCAGAAGAACTTCACCTGCAGACCTCTTCAAGTGACACTATATAGGAATCCTTCCAAGGGATATCTATGTACAATGTATATAGTTGAAATGCTCAGATGAACAACATATTAAAATTAAAACCACTGCCTATTGTAACTACACTGGGCATCAGAATAAAAGGCCTCTAGAAATTGCTGAACAATGGTTAATTAAGATATTGCTAACACAATCGAGTGATAATATAGTTTTACTGCAAAAGAAGCACTTCAGACCTATTATGTCCTTAGAACTTCCAGAGTAGCCACTGCTCCCAGTTAAAGGTGGGTTAACAGCCTTGCAGAACTGTCCTGAGACAGTATTGCTGGTGCTGGCCAGCCATGGCTTAGGACTCTCCAACAGCCACTCTGAGGGAGGGGAGAAGGGAGCAGAGGCCACACAGAATGAAACGATGGGGTATTCAGTTGCTAGCAGCTACATTGTGTGGCATTCTAGCACCTTCAGGTCTTTAGATTTTGGACAAGTTTTGGCAGGGTATTTTAAAAGCTATAACTACTGTAGTTTTCCAGTTTTCATTGCTGCTTTAGCAAACCACGCTGTCTTACTGGTGGTACTTTCTTCTGGCCACTGCACTGTAGATAATTCATTGGAAACAAGATTTACTCACTACATAAAAGGTTAAACTCCTTCAGTGTGTTGGAGTGGTTTCTTTTTCTTTCTTTTCTTTTCTTTTTTTTTTTTTTTTTTTTTTCTTCAGGTTTATATCTTCTCTAATACCTGCATGTGGCATTTAAAAATCAAGACCACGGTCAAACCCCTCTTCTAATCACATTAATTGTTTCCATTCTTTTTACCCTGAGTGAGCACTTTTCACTTTCCAGCTAGGTCTGTTTTTCAGCTTGCAGACGAGATTGAGAAATCCTTGAAAATTTGGTTTTGGTTAAAATTTTTGGTTTATTTATTTGAAATCCACACTCCCTTGGAAACTCTTAAGTGCATTTGTGCACTTCTGTTTGTTTGTCTCAAAGAAGGGACTGTAACAATCTGAGTAATTTCCATGTCCTCTTCCTATTCCTCTAGTGGTTGAAGCTGTGTAGCATTTTAACATATATATATTCACAAATATATTCATATAAACAGTATACATTTTGAATCAGTCATTTGTTAAAGAAAAGTATATTCAATGAAGATGAAATTTAAATAAAAAAGGACAGAGTCTATCCTCCAGGGATTGAACATTTTCCAATTATCTGGTCTTTTCCTGTTGTGCAAAAATGACTCATTGCTCCGAATGTCAAAAACAAATGCGACAAACAATGGCACTTCATCATTTAAAGTAATGTTGCCAAGAGAAAAAATTTCCTGGGAGGGAGGTTTCCCACAAGCCAAATCTCCCAAGCCTCAAATGCTAGCACTTTTTGGCAGTTGGATAGGAAATGAAACATTCTTTGGCAGCCAAAATAAGAGAGGCCGACGGTGAAACTTTTTGAGACACCCTATGGCCTTCTTGTCAAAACCTTCACTGGAGCTCAAGAAAAGCATTTCTGTTGTGTTATTTGCAGTGCAGATGATGTCTGTGTAACAACATAATGGTTATTCACCCTTTTTTTGATTTTGATTTTTGCTGTGTTATCAAAAACTTGAATACTGTGAGAAGAAGTGAATTTTCAGTTGACGAATCAGCATCTTGTTCCCATGGTGATAACACTAATTGAATATATCTATGAGGGCATGTATTAGTTAATGGAAAAAAAAATACAACACTAACAATACATAGCTGCAATGTGTACAATGGCTGATTTAATTAAATAAAATGTACAAGTGTTAAATGTGGCAACAGTGATTTGTTCTTCTTTATCACGAATCTGTGATTTCAGGAGAATAAGAGGTTTTAAAAAGATAAGCTAGATTTGAAACCAACAGAAAGACACAAATTGCTTTTTTTCTTAAGGTTTTTATTTAGTCGCTGAATATGCTATATGCCTGGCACTGGATTAAGCACTGGGATAAATAGATTTTGCCTCTGCCCTCAAGAAATTTTTATTGTTCTTGTTATGCAAAAGGAGAAAATAAGGATTTTTGTTTTGGATCACTACTGAATGAAAGAAAATAGGAATTTGGGGACTTGCAGGAGATGAGAAAGGGCAAGTGGGATTGGCAGCACAGCAAGACTGGTTTGGTCCTCTCCCATGAGGCCATGGCTGTCACTAGACACTTTCTGCCTTTGGGAATAGCAGTTGGCTCTGGAGTTTTCTTTCTGTCTTAGAACCTGATAATTTAAAATTAAATGGATATATTAATATAAATAAAGACAGGGCAGGATGATGCAAAATCAAAATCAGTTGTGTTTGAAGAGTTTTGTTTCATTTTTTGAAAAATCCCTTTACTGTTGCTATAATATTTTTTACAGTAAAAACAAAACAAAAAAGACATGATTTAGAAATTAAGTAGGTTTTACTCAAATCTTATCTGGTATGAGACAGGAAGCTCACTGGATCTGATTTCTATCCCTGGTGGATTTATAGGTCTTCTGAAATTAAAATACCAATTATGCTTGACATTTTTCAAAGAAAACAGTTAAAGTTAAAAATAATTCCAAAGTAGGAGTGTCTGTGTGATCGTCTCTCTCCCTCTCATTTGTTTAACGTGCTGTACTTTCTACTTAGAGCAACTCTGGGCTTGTGTTACTTTGGGTTTCATTAAGGAAATCAAAGCATCAGAGAAGTTTCAGTGTCTCCTCATGTTTAATTATTTGCTGTGCAAAACCCATTTTTGTAAAAGAACTTCAGTGACTCATATGCCGTTTTACAGAAATATATTTAAAGGTAGGGTGGGGGAAACTTCCAGACTGAGAGAAGATTATGCACAACTCATAAATCACTTGTATTAGTCATAAAGAGGTGAAAGTGAGACATATAAGCACTCTGAAACAGGCTTGAATTGAATTTGAAATTAGTTTGCTCGTAGAGTCACTTGATTTATATCATCATGGAGAGCCTGGGCGTGGGCAAGTAGTCAGGCAAATGAATAAATCAGATAAAGACAAGTTAAACGTAGGTCTAGTGAGAACCAAAATCACTACGAGGTTTTCCTGAATAACAATAAAAATGAACTGCTTGCTTTCATCATGCTCTAAAAGAAAATGTTTCAAGTCTATGTCTTTTGTTGCCACCTCTGCTTAAAAACTATATGCTCCTTCCTTCAGTTAAGGTATCATTTCTCTTTCTAATCAAATTGAAGCTAGAATTATAATCATAGAACGAATCACCAAAGTAAGAAAATCTTTTAGGTATCTGTGTGGTGGGGATGAGGGTGGTGATGTCCTGCACACAAATTAAAATACTTCTATTGGGTTACACTCAGGCTTTCTGGAAAAAACAAAAGTTCTCCCTGGCTTTAAATTAGCTCCACAGTATGAAGTAAGCAGTGCATATGAATAGACTTTGGATGGAGCTTTCATCTATGGTAAACAGAGACATTTGACAGTGGTACATGTAATAATTCAAGAGATGTCTTCAGTCACTGGAGACCTTCAGTTGTTCAGTTCATGAAATGTTTCTATGAGGCAATGTGACAAATTGGTAAGTGTGTTATCTTATAGTAAGACCTGGAGTGGAATCAGTCCAGCTCTATCTAGCCCCCTTCCATGACTTTGTAAAGGTTTACCCACTGGATAACAATTTCCTCATCAGTAAAATAGGAGACACTGCTACTAGCCTTGGATGTATCTCACTGCTCCAGGCAGGGAAGGGCAGCCAGCCCTGGCCTCTCTGTCACTCCTTAGTGTAGAAGAGCCCCTGTCACCCAAGTGTCCTTGATGTCCATTCATTGTGGACCCATTTGTGACCCTCTGCCTCTTTATGTAGGAGTCAGCCTCGGGGTAGGTGTTAAAGGCATTAGTTTACCCCTCTAGGTTAGAAAATACAGTTAATCTTTTCCTATTAGGGAATCACAGGGATGTTGTCAGTTAAGCCCTTCGATTCACTTCCCATTCAGAGGAAGGATTCTTCAAGATCTCTTTTTTGTTTCCTCAGTGGGCCCTGTATTAGTCAGGGTTCTCTAGAATGACAGAACTAATAGGATATATATATATGGGGAGTTTATTAAAGAGTATTAAATCACACGACATCAAGGTCCCACTATAGGCCATCTGCAAGCTGAGGAGCAAGGAAGCCTGTCCAAGTCCCAAAGCTGAAGAACTTAGAGTCCAATGTTAGAGGGCAGGAAGCATCCAGTGTGAGAGAAAGATGTAGGCTGGGAGGCTAAGCCAGTCTAGTCTTTTCACATTTTTCTGTCTGCTTTATATACTGGCCATGCTGACAGCTCGATTAGATGGTACACATCCAGATTGAGGGTGTGTCTGACTTTCCCAGCCCACTGACTCTAATGTTAATCTCCTTTGGCAACACCTTCGCAGACACACCCAGGAATAATACTTTGCATCCTTCAAGCCAATCAAGTTGACGCTCAGTATTAACCATCACAGGCTCTTATAACTGAGTTCTGGTTTCCATTCCTTTTTCTTCCCCCACACTCTCGATTTTGAGGTGTTTTTTTTTCCCCCTTGTCTGTCAAAACTGACTACAGAATTGGAGAGAGTCACTCAAACTTCCCTACTGAATGGCTGTGCCCCCACCACCAGCAGGCCCTCCACAGCTGCTGCAGAGCATTGCGGGCAGGGCCTGGGCTTGACTGGAGGTGGCTGTGGACACTTTGGCTGTCTTTATGATGTGCAGAAACAACTGAATCATGATATCCACAAAAAATGCACATTGTGCCCATTTTTCCTGGCTATTGATCAGAACTCAGACCTCGTCTAGGCTATGCTACAGAACTTACATGGCACTGGTACAGCAGCAACTTCCGGATGAAAGGTGCCTTGTGTGAATTTTTCAAGTGACTCACAGATAGGTGATACCTTGGAGCCTTAGAGAACCACCATAGTATACCCTTTCTCCTCAAAGAGTCAGGGGGACAATTTCGAGTCTATTGTTCTAACAATCCAATTTGTGTTAAGATTAATGTAGTAGTTTCCTAGGGCTACTGTAATAAAATAGCACAAACTGGATCATTTAATCAACAGAAAGTCATTTTCTCACAGTCCTGGAATCTAAAAGTCTAAGACTGAAGTATAGGCAAGATTTTTATTTATTTTTTTTTTCCTGTGATCGCTCTCTTTGGCTTGTAGATCACCACCTTCTTGCTGTCCTTACATGGACTTTCCTGTCTGTGTGTGCCCACATCTCTTATGTCTCTGTGTATGTCCAATTTTCTGCATTTTATAAGGATGCCAATCATACTGAATTACAGCCAACCTTAATGGCCTCATTTAAATTAATCACCTTTTTGAAGACCCCATCTCCAGATGCAGTCACATTCTGAAGTAGTGGGTGTTATGGGCTTTGACATGAATTTGGAGGAGGAGAGGACACAATTCATCCCATAACAACTGGGTTTAATCAAAAAAAAAAAAAAAAAAAAAAAAGCCCTCTAGGTATTTTAAGAAGGAAGGGATCTAATGCACGGGATTAGAAACTCACACCCGTGTCGGGAGTGCCACAACAATGAAGGCAGGTGTAAACCCAAAAGGATCTGAGTCAGGTCGCAATCTATTTGGAAGTTTATTTTGCCAAAATTGAGGACATGCCTGGGAGATAGGTCTGTGCCTTCTTTGAAAATAATTTTGAGGGCTTCAGTATTGACAGGGGAAAAGCAGGCTGGAGGGGGAAAAGGAAGGGTATGATCACACTACTAAATTCACATGCTGCAAGGGAAAAGGCGAAGGTAGGGGAGTACTCAATTATGTATTCGTTTGGCACTCAGTAAATTGGTGCTTTACAAAGAGTAGCTGCCTGTGGGGATTTTTAACCTTTTATTGTAGCTATCCACTTAGAAACAAAAGGAAAGTCAGTGTCTTGCTTGACTCCGCTTTCAGCTTAATTTTTTTCCTTGTGGCATAGTGAATTGGGGGGTCGTAGCTTTTATTTCCCTTTCACACAGAGGAGCTACTACTGCTTTGAAGAAATCCACCAGTGCAGAAATCAGAAATCCAAGCTGCCACTGAAGGGCTCACATAGCAGCAAACCATATGTTTCTTAGGAGATTGCCCAGATGTGGCTGCAAAAACACTCCATGTGTCTTCTGCCAGAGTCCATGCACCTCTCCCCAGCTGCTCCCAAAGGTATAATTATTTTTCTTCTCTTTCCTTCTCAAATCTTGGGCAAACAACTTTCATCGGCAAAGTCAAATACATAACCCCACTGGAAAGGGATTCCAAAAAATGTATACCTGAGATTCTTCCCCCAACATGCAGGGAAGAATGTAGAATAGGTCCAGAACTATGCTCAGCTGCTAACAATCAACCACAGTGGCTGAGCCACAGAATAACAGACTTCATCCATCCACTAATGCATGCAATTCAAGACCTACTAGATTTTGAACATTGTGCTAAGTGCTCAGGGTAGACTGGGCCAAAATCATCCCAGTGGATCACTTTGGCTGAGTTTTCACTATTGCCAGTTACTATTCAATGCACTTCTTTCATCCTCAGCACAATCCTATGAAACAGATCTAGGTGAGGAAACTGAGGGGAAAAGAAATTGAACAGCATGCAACAAATCATGCAGATAGAAAATGACAAAGCTGGGATAAGAACTCAAGCAAATGGCACCAACAATAAACAACACTCCATCTCTGAAAAACACACACCCTTCCCTTTGAATTCATAATATTGCAACAGAGACATATTGAACTGATCATTTAACAATTAATTAAAAATTAATTTTCTTCTGGAAAAATTTCTTCTTCTTCTGGAAAAATACCTTTTATACAAG